GGCCGGGGATCGAACCGGCGCTGCAGAGGCTGCGGGCAGCTGCGCAACCCAGTGTTCAACCGCTGCACCACCAGGGAGGCCCTGCATATTCACTTTTACATGGATTTTTTTCGACCTTTGGTTCCACATTCCCAGATTCAACCACATACACAGATGGCTGACTATGAGTTATCTCACCATGGCGGTCAGGGTGGTGTCCCTAGTAGTCCCCACATTGTTCAAGGGTCAAGTGTATTCTAAATCTCAAATGCTACAATTAATTTATAAACTAGAAGTAGAAACTATTGTTTCTCCCTTTTATTTCTAAAAAGTTTATACTGAAATAACTATCTCTTGTGCAAACTTACTGAAAAGGATGTTAGATAAGAAAGAATGCCTTAGCTTCCTTTTTTCTTAATAATGTCTTCTACCTGCTTCTCAATGGTGGCAGTAGTAAGCATTAAAATAGACTGAAGGGGGAAAAAAAAACACACAAAAAATGGCAAGATAAAATCCTAACTCCATTCAGGATATTCAAGTTTTAGGAATTAGGATGCCAAGAGTGTGGCCTTTCGTCTTCCTAGTTATAGAGGGAAAATAAAGAGAAAAGTGCCCTATGAAGGAAACGAGATAGTAAATCATGCTATCTGAAAACAACTCTGTTACACATTCTAACAATTCCCCAGAAACATCAGTGGTTTGATGTTAAGAAAATGTAGGTAACTGTCTTACAAAGACTGAACATATAGTGCTTTATATTACCAAACAATAAAGACAGTCTTATCTACGAAGTTAAGATCTACTATGATCCAGAATATACATACAAGAGTAACTGTCATACAAAGCAAAGGTGGTGAGACCATAGGACTTCGTGGGTGGATAAGGGTTAGCAAAAATACTACAGGCTTGGGGAAAATTATGCAAATGTTTCAAGGAGGAAATGAGCAGTGAAGGATAGCTGGGAATACCAATGAAACTGATACACAGCATAGAAAGAGAGCATGCTTAGTGAAGACGCCCAGTTTGGATGAAGCATAACATATATGATGGAGAACAGATGGACAAACAACTGAAGACAATTGATACGAAAAGTTGTAAATGTCAGTAATGACATTATTATAAATAAATAACAAACCAGAACAAAAAAACTGAATCTGAGAAACAGCTCATAGTTATAATTCAGTAGACAACAGGAACTGTCATGACCACAGTTGTACTTTTGTAAATATTTATTAATATCTATAACATTTGCTTATAACATTATATACGTTTCAAATGTGCATTATAAATCACTGTATAAAGCACGTTTACATTCACCACTGGACTAATTCTTTCACCATACAACTGAACCCTCCTAACTGACTATCCCACTTTCCCTCCCCCTTCCCTTTTAGTGACCGCTAATTTGAAGGACCATGGCTCTTGACCTCACAGGCCCTGGTTGATTGCCTTCAAATCTAGTGTCCTCCCCCTGCTCTGCGTTCTATGATAGGAAACCTGACTCCATATAGGCAATGTATTGTAGGTTTCATGTCAGATGTCTTCTAACTGTGGTTAATGGGAAGCTCTAGGGGGAAACTAGAGGGTAGACTCCCCTCACCCCCATTCCTTCTCTGCCTTGGAAGAACCTCCTCTACGATTGCAGCTCTCTCACCAGACAAGACTACTTCCCACTTTCCACACAGTGAACCCAGTTTGAGGGTTCCTCCCGATGACTGTACTGTCTTCCCAATATAGTCACCCTCCCAGTTGGCTCATATAAGCTACTTGTCTTCGTAGCTTTTCTATCACCAGTATAACCAATTCTCTCATTAGATGGCTCCTAGTTAAATACTAGATTGGTTTCAGCTTTCCTGAATGACACTGACTCATACAGAAAGAAACAAATCTACTTAGGAGCCTAAACAAAGTTCTGGATTCTACCCTATAAAAATGCCCCTCCCCCCACCTTTAAAGATAATTTTGGGGGCTCCCAGAACGCTCAAAACCTGTCCATTAATCTCAGAATACTATTAAATAAGAAAAAAAGTTGAGTAGAGATAGTTCTAAAGGTGGATGATGGCGATGTTACAGAACAATGTGAATACTTAATGTCAGAGAATTGTATTCTTAAAAGTGGCAAAATGGTTAAATTTTGTCACATACATGAAAAAAGGTAAGTAAACAATTATACTAAACATTAGTAATATGTGATACTTTGGGAGCTCTTAAGGGGAAAATAACTGTACCTGCTGGAAGAGGTTTCAAAGATTGTTTGACCTGAACCTTGATTGAATACAGGTGTATTAGGAAGACAGGAAGAGAAACACTGCAGGTAGAGGGGAACAGAATACATAAGACTACTTGGAGAAACTCCAAGTAGTAATTTGGTATGCCTGGAGCATCGGGGAGATGATGAATAGATGAGATCAAGCAGGAGAGGCAGGCGGGACCAGTTCCAAAGGGCACCTTGTGTAACACACACGTTTCCCTTGCTATCCTGGAGTAGAATGTTCCTATCCAGTATGATTTAGTAGGTTCTTTTTTGGGGGTGGGGGAAGCAAGGGCATGGTCTGGAAATGCTAAAAAGTTTTTCCATATAAATTAATGATCAAAAATATAATAGCATTCCCAAATCATATAAGAACATTCTACTTCTCTTTAAGGTAGTGGTAAAAACATACACTGATAGCCAAACTGCTGGCCCAGAGGCACTAAAGAAACACTGACACATTTTGGCTTGTTCGATATTTGAAGGAATTCCAGCAAGGCAGCAACTGCCTGTTACTGAGCAGCAAGGGCTGTTTAAGTAGAGCAGTTAGGTGCGAAAGCTAGAGTGTTGAAGAATGAAAGGTATGTGAGGAAGTAAAACAACTAAGAGTTCTTTGAATAAAACTGTGTAGTGAAGGTTGACCCAGAACATTAGAGAATGTAATGTGGAGTGTAGGAAAGTGTTTAGGTGTCTACATGGAAGGGTAAAAAAGTTAATTATATTAACTCTAAGGGGAGAATTTACTTCTCTCTATTCTTAGCATTTGGCACAATGTGTCCAGAACATACCAGGCACCAAAGATTTGCTGAAAGAACATTACGAAAAAAAGGGCCAACAAGAGGGATTGAAGATGGGAAATGGTCATTGACTGAATAAGCATAAACAAAATTGTTTTGGAACACTAGATCTTCTATGTGTTGCTATGAGCTTCAAAATATATAATGCCAAATGAAAAGAGCACCAGTGAGTATGGGGAGATTTGCAGGTTTTTCATTATATATTTACTTTGCACAACCTGAAAATTTTTAGGTGTGTGATTGTTTTAACTTTTAGAATGTCATGTAATGTAAATGCTTTAGGTGGATTTCTGTAACATTAAGGTGAATTGCTAAAACTATAGTTTTGGTACAAAAATTCCAAAGAAAAGTAATGGGAGGCATATGAAAATGGAGTGAGACTGACAAAAGATTTTCAGGATAAGAAATGATGACTCTGAAGTGTTTCTCCATTAAAAAATGTAGGAAGCATAGTAGAGCAGTTGATTTATGCAGAAAATCACATTCTTTTAGAACATACTGATATTATCCCAACATATTTCTCATTATCACAAATGTATGGGAGGTTGGGAGTGGGTAGTCCTACTGGCATCTAGTCTACAGAGGCCAAGGATATTGCTAAACATCCCACAATGCACAGGACAGCTCCAAAAAATTACCTGGCTTAGAATGTCAACGCCCACGTTCAGAAACTACTGAAGATTGTTTACTGAAACTCAAATGGATTACCAAATTGACAAAACTCAAAAATTTTTAAGCAAACAATACTCTGGGAGGAAAAATAAAGCTTATCAATGTACCAACACCCGTCAAGTCGACTTTGTACTGGTTTTTATAAGCCTAATATATATATAACAATTAGATCCAATTCTGATAATATGGGCAAAAGATTAAGCAAGCATTAAGAAAACAGCGATGTTTAATCTTAAGTCATTAAATTAGTTCTCCAATGTGGGAACAAGATTAACTAAACATTAAGCAAGTATTAAGTGAAACCTAAGTCTCCTAGTTTTTCCAAAAATGGATGGCGGAACCATTACCCTCTAATATTTCCTGCAAGCCTTGCTTATCAAGAGTTCATGAACAAATACCACTTTTGGGACAGGATTGGGTACAAGACAAGTGGGTTTTCCTAACAATAAAATAACGGCAGTAATGGCTGTGGCTCCGACGGGAAGATTCATCACAGATGTTTACCATTTACTTTCAGGACTGTCGCTCATGATAGCACTGGTTTGGGCTTTGAGCGTTATGTGGCTCCCAGTCCCGGCAAAAAGAAACCACGTTATTCTTCCAGGAGAAAACAGCAACCAAACCCATTCCCTCATCCTCCCCCATCAGACCTTGACAGACTGGCTAAAGCGACCAAGTTTTTCCTCAAATGGAGGAAAAACTAACCGGGACAAGAAAATGTTCCACGGATAGAAGAGGAATGGCTGTAGCTTCGAAATAAACAACTGGCATTTTAAACCTCCCCACCCGACGGCTTACTGGGGCGCCGGGCTGGAGAGGGAAGATCAACCCCATGAGCCCCCAATTCAAAGTTCTAACGGCGAATTCTGAGAAGGGCGTCCGAGAAGTCTCTCCACAAAGCCGGGTGCCTGGGGGAGTCCTTATTTTTCCTATCTTGGTGCCAACCCCGACGGGGGCCGGTACGGCCGCGACTGAAAAATACGCAGTCGGTGCCCCACACCGACAACCCTCGAACCCGGGGCCCCAGGAAGTGCGCAGGCCAGTCTTTCCCTCCGAGTTCGGGCCTCAGGTGTCCCTCCCGGAGAGCCTCCCGAGCCCTCCCCGCGCCGCGCAGGGGGAGCGGAGCATCCCCACACAAAGACGCCGGAACGGCCCGAGCCACCGGCGGCAGAAGCACCGTCGGAACTTGTGGGCGGGGAGGCACAAACCCCCAAGCTTCACTCCCGGGGAAAACCTTTGGCCCCGAAGGTCCTTCCGTCCTCAGCCGGGTCCAATAACCCTCCCTCAGGCGTCCCGCTTACCCAGGACCAGCCGGGCTACGTCCGAAGGTAACAACATGACCGAAACCGCAGAAGGAGCCGCAGTACAAGACGAGACCCGGGGAAAAGCCAACACAGCGACAGCTTCTGCGCCGCATCTCCCGGTTCCAGTGGCGGCACTGAACCCGCGGCAATTTGTCCCGCCTCTTTCGCTCCACGCCAGCCAATCGTGAGCGTGGAGGGCAGAAAGGCGCCGAAATGCAACCCGCCTCCGTGCGCCTGGGAACTGTCGTCATTTCCGTCCTCCGGTGCGGCGGTTCCGGCCGAAGAGGCGAGCTAGAGGGCGAGCGGCCCTCGCAAGGTCGCTCGTCATTGGTGGGCAGCGCGCAGGCGCGTTGGCGCCGACGAGGCGAATGTTTTGGGCCGGCTAGTACGTGGATAGTAGAGCGCGTGCTGCTTGGTGCGCATGGGCGGGCTGTTCCGGCATTGGCGTGAGCCTCACCCCTTCCTCCCGAGACCCACGCTGCGGGGTCACGCCGGGTTTGAACCGGAAGCGGGAATAGCGCTTGGACACCCGGCTGGAGCTGCAGTCTTCGCCCGTGCAGGCGCGCGGAGCGCGGCCTTGGGCTGCGGCCACCGCCCCCTTCAGCGATCTGGCTGTGGCCGTCCCGTCCAGCGGTAGGGGCGCGGATGCTACGCGGTGGCTAATGCTTTGGGGCTTTCGAAAGTGGCCCTGCCGATCAGACCTCGCCCTCGAGGGCCAATCCCATGCACTCTTTAAGAGCGTCCCCTTACTCCTCTTTTTTACCCCATCTTTACCAGCCCTTCCATCTCATCCTGGTCTCCCGCCCTCTTTCCTAGCTTCCAGCGGGTTTCCTTGAAGCCGCTTCTGAACGCACTGAATTGAGTCCTCCTGCTACTCTGCACTTCCCCTTCCCCTTAGGATCCATATTTTAGTTAGCTGACTTGACTAATTCAACCCTCTCTCTTTTCTCAGTCTTTTAAATCAGGGAGCATTTATTGAGGCTTAAACTACAGACTCGTGATTACAGAGAACGGGCTCTGGGATTACACTGCCGGAATTGGAATTGTTTGTCAGCTGTGACCTAGACATACTGTCTTGTGTTAATCCTTGCCTGTGGTGAGCACTTAACAGCGTTTACTGATGTTTTTACCACGTGCAGATAAGTAAAAAGACTTGTAATTTATGGTGATAACGTGCTAGAGAACTACTGTGATGGTAGTGGACTGAGTGACATTTCTGCAGAAATTCAGTTTGGGAGAATCAGTTCAGTTTTGGATGATGTCTTTCAATGTCAAGTTGCTCTGGAGGATGGTAGACAGAAGGGAAACTTATGTAAAGGCACAAAGTGTAGGAGGTTTCTAAAGTTCAAGAGTGAGGTCTGGCAGATTTGGGCATTTTCAGCATTTTGAAGGCAGAGGAATGGATGAGGTCACACTGGAAGAACCTAGAGTGAGAAGCAAGGAGACAAGGATGTTCTATCCGGTGTGAGCAGAACTATCAACAGAGACTTATAAAAAAGTCAGAAAGGAAGGGAATAAGGAAAAGTGCTAAAATATATTGAGCATTTGTTGTGTCCAGTATTGTCTTAAATATGCATGAATCCTCACAATAACTCTTTGAGGTAAGTACCCATATTGTTTTTCATTTTATCATTCAGAAATTATGTCCTAACTTGCCAAAGTTATCCAGCTTGTAGGTTGGAAGGACCAGGGTTTGAAACGATAGTGTGACTACAGAGCTCATATTCTTTTTTTTTTTTTAATTTTTTTTAAATAATAAATTTTATTTTTATATTCCCCATACAATTGCAACCCCCCCCCATTCTGACCCCAGTCCCTCCCCTCCCGCCCCCACCCCCCAAAAAGTGTCTCTGGTTCATAGTTTTTTGTTGATTTTGATTTTCACTTTCTTATAGTTATTCATTTTCCTGGTCCCTTATTTAAGTTTTCTAGATTCCTGCTATGAGTGAGACTATCCGGTATTTTTCTTTTTCTTTTTGGCTTATTTCGCTGAGCATGATCCCTTCCAGCTCCATCCATGTTGCTGCAAATTGCATGTGTTTATCTTTTTTGAATGCTGAGTAATATTCCATGGTATATATGTACCACATCTTCTTGATCCAGTCATCTATTTTTGGGCATTTGGGCTGTTTCCAAAGCTTAGCTATTGTAAATAGTGCTGCTATAAACATAGGGGTGCAGGTGTTCTTTGGAATTGATGTTTCTGTGTCCTTTGGGTAAATACCTAGGAGTGGAATTGCTGGATCATATGGAAGCTCTATGTTTAGTAGGTCCAGAAATCTCCACACAGCTCCCCATAGTGGCTGGACCAGTTTGCACTCCCACCAACAATGCAGAAGAGTTCCTTTTTCTCCACACCCTCTCCAACATTTGTTGTTGCTAGTTTTTTTAATATGTGCCATTCTCACTGGTGTAAGATGGTATCTCATGGTAGTTTTGATTTGCATTTCCCTGATTACAAGTGATGTTGAACATTTTTTCATATGCCTGTTGGCCATTTGCATTTCCTCTTCAGAGAAGTTTCTTTTTAGCTCTTCTGCCCATTTTTTGACTGGATTATTTTCTTTGTTGTTGCTGAGTCTCATCAGCTCTTTGCAGATTTTTGTGATCAGTCCTTTATCATTAGTGTTGGGTGCAAAAATGTTCTCCCAGTTGGTGGGGTTTCTCTTTGTTTTTGTTATTGTCTCTTTTGCTGTGCAGAAGCACAAAGCTCATATTCTTACCACTAGAAAAGAATGGTGGGGCCAAGGCAGAATTATTATATATCAAGAAAAGAAGATGAAATGTAGATATCATTGTTGAATTTTGCAAAGGGATCAGCTTGGTTGAGATCTGAAAAAGAATACTGGATTTATCAACTCAGTGTTACTTAGGAAATGTGTATCATTTAACTGCATGTTGGGAATAGAACCTGGATAGTTCTAGATTAGTTGAATTCAGCTTTATCTGGTGACACTCTTACTCCAGCTAACTACTCTGTGGTTCCCCAATCTTTTTCAGTTCCTCGAGCCCACCATGAGCTTTTATACCCTAGCACACTTTGGCTATGCAGTCTCCTTCTCTGAAATGCTGGTCTTCTAGCCTCCCTATATCTGGCAACTGTTCATTCAGATCTTGACTCTTATAACCTGAGAAGTGTTCCCTGACAGCTTACCAAAAATGATCTCCATTGTATTTTCCTGTTTTTATATATTTGTTTCTTTTGAGTCATACATCACAACTTGGAATAGTCATTGATTTATTATTGTACTTGCTCCTTGTCTCCTTGACCTGATAGTTCTGACAGCACCTAGGTCAGAATTATGTCTATTTAGTTGATTACTTGTCTAGGTACACCTAAAAAGTACCTAAAACGTGGTTGTTACCCAGGAAATATTGTTTGCATGTATCTGTGAATGAACATTTCCTGTTTCTGTAGGTAGTACTGGACTGTTTTGCTTTTCAAAGTATTCAGTCTTTGAGAAACGGAAGAAGAGAAAGGGTAAATTGTAGGACTGCCTTTTCTTGGAAGTGTCACTTGTTCAATAAACAAGCATTTTTTCACATTGAGGACATCTTTACTATTTAACAATAAAGTTGTCTACCTTTGTGGGTCTTTGGCTATTGCTAAGATGTTTATATTGGTTAGAATCCCATTTTTATTTTCCTTATTGACTCAGTTAACGCTTTAAACTAAGATTGAATAAGAGGGGAGAAGAGTCAGTAAAACGATAAAGAATGTGAAAATAAAAATGACAATCAAGAAGTATAGAATCAAGTAAAAAAGGCTATAAAGTAAATAACAATCTATAATATACAAGTTGCGTGAAGGAGGCTGTAATAGAGATAATGGGGTTAGAAGAACAACCGATAAATGCAAATGGAGAAGAGCTTTAGAGCTATGTGCCAATGATACACATGGTCTGAGTGCCCACAGACAGGGCAGTCATTTTGCAGGAGCAGTTTCTTTTTCTCTGGGAAGATCAGACATGGTCTCTCTTTTCCTCCCAGTTTCATGATTCTGTGAGGTTTCACAGGGGCTGAGTATTGAATAGAATTTACTTGGATGGATGGGAAAAGAACTTTCTCCACCTCTTTTCCTCGTGAGATAATTGTACAAGTAGATAGAGTATTAGTGTTTATAAACAGAGGGAAAATTGTACATATGTCTATTCTAATAAAAGTGGAACTTTTCTGTAAAAAACCTCAGAAATACTGAAACAGAATCCATGTAAGATTTTAATAAAAAGAATGTCAAAGGAGGGTTTGATTATATCAGAAGACATGAAAGGAGAAAGACCCCCATAGTGGCCAAAAGGCATAGTAAAATATAGTTGACATTTGCCCTTTATAAAGGATATCACTGTAACATATTATTTCCCTTGGAACCAGGAATACCATTTTCCTCCTGTTTTTATGTATTAAGTGAGAACCATAAAGCCAGTTGAGATGCAAGTGCTAGACTGATAACCTCCTAAATGTTGCTTCCAAAGCATTAACAGTTGACACCTAGCTTAGCAAAATGATAAGTTACTACATGCAAGAAAGGTGCTTTTAAATAATTTGACAGTGAGCATTAAATCCTTGAGTGCTTTTTCTTAATTCTTTGCCCAGCTAACTTCTGTTTCTATTTTATATTTCAATTTGAATGTCATGATTCTTAGAAAAGATCTCAGAACAATAGAGTATATTATACTCTTGTTATTTTCATCCTGTTATTTTATCCAGTTTATTTGGTTTGCTACTGTAGACAAAGCATACATGTGTATGGTGATGCTTTATTTTGATATATTGTTAAAAATTTCAATTTAAATATAGGAGCATTAAGAAAAGTTATGGTGCCTTTGGTGACAATTTTTCTGGTTTTACAATTAGATCTGTGTTAATAACACAGTTATTGACACTTATTAACACAGAGCTGTCTATGTACCAACTACATATTAATATTAACTGTAGATTAGTACCACAGTCTGAAATAGTTTTATGTATATATGTGTGTGTGTGTGTGTGTAGATATATATATTTTTCTTTTTCCTCCCCCAGTCAATGATATGTGTTCTGAAATTCTGAACCATGAGTCTGGCACTAAATGACCTGCTTATTTGCTGCCGTCAACTAGAACATGATAGAGCTACAGAACGAAGGGTAATATCAATTACTTAAATTTAATCTCTTCTTGAAACAAGTATGTGATTGGTAACTCATTAGCATTTTTTTCTTTTTTTTCATTTGCAGAAAGAAGTTGAGAAATTTAAGCGTCTGATTCGGGATCCTGAAACTGTTCAACATTTAGACCGACATTCAGATTCCAAACAAGGAAAATATTTGAACTGGGATGCTGTTTTTAGGTATTCCATTCTAATTTTTTTACTGTCATTTTGCTCTTTCATATTTATTTTTTATAATGTCTTTTTTTGATGTATGTAGCTCTGATTTACCTCTGTTGTCTATATAGCATGATGCATTGCATATGAAATTGGTGTGTAATATTTATCAGAAGCATGATTTTTAAAGGCTGTTCATATAGGGAAAGTCAAAAATTTTAAATCATTTGTTCACTAAAATTATAAATCCACTCTATGGATTTCCTTGAACAATATATTGTGGGTTTTTTTTTAAATTTTTATTTTTTAATTTTTTTTTCCTTTTTTTAAAAATTTTTAAGTCCTTTTTTTTTTTAAGATTATTTTTATTTATTTATACAAGCACTAGGCACAGTCAAAAGCGCGGGAGGGCGAGAGAATTCACCAGAGCCAGAGCGGGGAGCAGAGCAGGCAGACTGAAGTACACTGCTGAGGGGAGCAGCGGGTGGCAGGAGAGGTCCGCGCACCGTGAGACCCTCCTCCGGTGGCCAGGGAGCAGCCGGGAATTGAACCGGCGCTGCAGAGGCTGCGGGCAGCTTCGCAACCCAGTGCTCAACCGCTGCGCCACCCGGGAGGCCCGGTTTTTTTTTTTAATTAGACTCCCGTGAGAGAATAAATGATAGTGGAAAGAACTAATATGTAAATCAATCGATGAAAGAATACATTCTTGATTATTACTTTGACATCTTGAAATATTATCCTGTCATTGCTATATGTTAAGTTATAATACAACAAGTAAAAGGAATTAGAATAATTCCATATTACTGCAGTTAAACAAAATTCAGATATTGAAAAGACACAAATGATTGCAGGACTGGAGTGGCAAACAAAACTGATGCATTTTTACATTAAGACATTATTTTCCACCAGAAGTTGAAGTTCACTTCCAACTAGAAATAGATAGTAAGCTTTAGGAAAAAAAATGAATAAAATATTTTAAATTAATGTAGAATATTAAGAAGCTTGAAACATTTGCAGTCAATAGAAAAGGTGAGCATTCTTCTTTTACTTTTAGCTCAAAGGTAATTAGATCGACTGATAGATTTGAATGTAGATTACATTTAAAATAGGTGGCCTCCTTTCCTCTGACTACTTAGTTTTTTCAGATACCACAAATATAGTTGTCTAAAGAAGAGTACTGTTTTCTATAAGTTGATCAGGTAGGCCAAATAGGTACCTGACCCTCCCAACTAATCGTGATTATCTTCCAGTCAGTCTTCATGTAAAGACTAGCAATGTTGCTTACTGCCTACGAAAGAGGCAAATCATATACAGATAACAAACAGATGAGAAAGCATCGAGAGCCCTTAGTCAGTAAAGCAATAGAAAATCATGAGATTACTGATTAAGATCTTTGAAGACAATACTTTAAACTAGTATTGTAGGACTGTTTCACTTAGCTGGTACACTGTTCAAAGCAGTGTGGTATAAAAGATGTTCTTTATGATGGCATGAAGGACTTTCTGAAATTTATGACAATTTAAGCATTAAATGTGTTTCTGAAATTCCATTTGTTTTCTTGAAGATTTTTACAGAAATATATTCAGAAAGAAACAGAATGTCTCAGAATAGCAAAAACAAATACATCAACCTCAAAACAAGCCTCCAGGCAGAAAAAGATGCAAGAAATCAGCAGCTTGGTCAAATATTTCATCAAATGTGCAAATAAAAGTAAGTAGTGTTACTTATTATAAATAAATGACATTTTCACCAACAGTGTACCACGGTTCCTTTTCCCTCCATATCCTCGCCAACACTTGTTTTTGGTCATTCTGACATGATCCTTTTTGAGAAGTGTGAGAATGGTATCTCATTGTGGTTTTGATGTGCATTTCCCTAAAGATGAGTGATGATGAGCATTTTATAATGTGCCTGTGTGCCATTTATATGTCTTCTTTGAAGAAGTGTCTATTTAACTTCTCTGCCCATTTTTTGATTGGGCTTTTTATTGAGTTGTTGAGTTCTCTGTAGATCTTGGATATTAGTACCTGGTCGGATGTATGATGTGTAAATATTTTCTCCCATTCATTTGGGTGTTTTTTGTTTTAATGGTAATTTCTTTTCACTGTGCAGAAGCTTTTTAGTTTGATTTAGTCCCATTTGTTTATTTTTGCTTTTGTTTCCCTTGCTGTTGGAGTTGAATCCCCAGAGACATCTGTGAAGCTGATGTGGTAATGTATTTTGCCTATGTTTTTTTCAATGCATTTTATGGTTTCAGGTCTTATGTGCGAGTCTTTTTTACATTGGAGGCATTTTTTGTATATGGTGTAAGATTGTGGTGTAGTTTCATTCTTTTGATGTGTCTGTTCAATTTTCCCAACACTTTTTTTTTTTAAGAAGGTATTATGGAAATTTATTATATTATCATGACTTGGTCCAAAAATTAAAAGAATTAAATATTTGTCCTTTTAATGCTATATGTATGTCCTTAGAACATGTGCAATTTTTTTTAAAAAAAGGTTTTTTTGCATCATCGTTCATTTTTTTTTTTTTTTTAATTTTTTTTTTATAGAGGCATGTTTTATTTATTTATTTATTTATTTGTTTGTTTGTTTTGTTTATACAAGCACTGGGTACAGTCAGAAGCGCGGGAGGGTGAGAGAATTCACCAGAGCCAGAGCGGGGAGCAGAGCAGGCAGAAGGACCGAAGTACACTGCTGAGGGGAGCAGCGGGCGGCAGGAGAGGTCTGCGCGCCATGTGGGACCCTCCTCCGGTGGCCGGGGAGCAGCCGGGGATCGAACTGGAGCCGCAGAGGCTGCGGGCAGCTTCGCAACCCAGCGCTCAACCGCTGCGCCACTGGGGAGGCCCCACATCGTTCATTTTTAAACAACATTTGCTTCCCCTCACCCCCTCAAGTGTTTTCACCCCCATGGAATTTCCTTCCCCAGTGCACCCCTGCACCATCACCTCAGTCCCTTGTGCTCCTCCCTCCCTCTCTCTGATCCCTCTCCCTCCTCCTCCCCTGCAGTATGTCTCTGATTTATAATTATCCATCCGTTTTTGCTTTGTTGTGTTTTGTACTGTTGTTATTTTTTTACACTGATGTCTTATTGGTTTTCCTGTATTCCTGCTGTAAGTGAAGCCATCCGATGTTTTTCTTTTTTCTTCTGGCTTATTTCACTGAGCATAATTCCTTCTAGCTCCATCCACGTTGCTGCGAATGGCAAGAGTTTTATCTTTTTTTGATTGCTGAATAATATTCCATTGTGTATATATACCACATCTTCTTGATCCAGTCATCTATTTTTGAGAATTTGGGTTATTTCCAGGTTTTACCTATTGTAAATAGTGCTGCAATAAACATAGGGGTGCAGGTGTTTTTTTTGAATCAGTGTTTTTGTTGGGTCATATGGTAACTACATTTTTAGAAGTCTGAGGAACCTCCAGACAGCTTTCCATAGTGGTTGGACCAGTATGCACTCCCACCACATCCTTGCCAACATTTGTTGTTGCTAGTTTTTTTAATAGATGCCATTCTTACTGGTGTAAGGTGGTATCTCAATGTGGTTTTGATTTGCATTTCTCTGATAATAAGGGATGTTGAACATTTTTTCATATGCCTGTTGGCCATTTGCATTTCCTCTTTGGAGATATGTCTTTTAAGTTCTTCTGCCCATTTCTTGACTGGATTATTTACTTTGTTTTTGTTGAGTCATGTGAGTTCTTTGTGTATCTTTGTGATCAGTCCCTTATCAGTTGACTGGCGTGCAAAAATTTTTTCCTAATCAGTGGGGTGTCTCTCTGTTTTGGTTATTGTCTCTTTTGCTGTGCAGAAGCTTTTCAGTTTGATGTAATCCCAGATGTTTATCTTTTGCTTGACTTTCTTTGCTTTGGGTAATGAGTCTTTAAAGATGTTACTGAGATGTGTGCTTTGTAGTGTTTTACCTATGTTTTCTTCTATATATTTTATGGTTTCAGGTCTTATGTCCAGGTCTTTTATCCATTTTGAGTTGATATTTGTGCATGGTGAGAGGTGGTGGTCTAGTTTCATTTTTTTGCATGTGGTGGTCCAGTTTTCCCAGCACCATTTATTGAACAAACTGTCCATGTTCCATTGCATTTTCTTTGCTCCTTTGTCAAAGATTAGTTGTCCATATTAGTGTGATTTTATTTCTGGGATCTCTATTCGGTTCCATTGGTCTGTGTGTCTGTTTTTGTTCCAGTACCAAACTGTTTTAATTATTGTGGCTTTATAGTATAGCTTGAAGTTTGGAAGTGTGATATCTCCTTTCTCTTTAGTTTTCATCAGTAGGGCTTTGGCTATTCGTGGTTTTTTGTGGTTCCATATGAATTTCATCAGTATTTATTCTGTTTCTTTGAAGAATGTCATTGAAATTTTTATTGGAATAGTGTTGAATCTGTATATTGCTTTTGGGAGGATGGCCATTTTAATAATGTTAATTCTTCCAATCCATGAGCAGGGGATGTCTTTCCATTTCTTTGTGTCTTCTTCTATTTCTTTTAAGAGTATTTTATAATTTTCTTTGTATAGGTTTTTCACCTCTTTTGTTAGATTTATTCCCAAGTATTTGATTTTTTTGTTTCAATTATAAAAGGGATAGTTTTCTTGATTTCTTCTTCAGATTGATTGATTGTGTATAGGAAGGCTACTGATTTTTGTGTGTTGATTTTGTATCCTGCTACTTTACTAAACTGGTTGATTATTTTGAGTAGTTTTTCTGTAGAGCTTTTGGGGTTCTCCATGTATATTGACATAGCATCTGCAAATAGTGATAGTTTTACTTCTTCTTTCCCTATTTGGATTCCTTGTACGTCTTTCTCTTGTCTTATTGCTCTGGCTAGGACCTCCAGTATTATATCAAAGAGCAGTGGTGAGAGAGGACATCCTTGTCTTCTTCCTGATCTTAAAGGAAAGGCCTTCAATTTTTCTCCATTGAGAATAATATTGGCAGTGGGTTTGTCATATATGGCTGTTACCATGTTAAGGTATGTTCTTTCTATCCCGAGAATTTCAACTGTCTTCATCATAAAGGGATGTTGGACTTTGTCGAATGCTTTCTCAGCATCTATTGATATGATCGTATGGTTTTTCTTTTTTCTTTTTTGTTGATGTGTTGGATTCCACTTACCGATATTCGTATGTTGAACCATCCTTGTGCCCCTGGGATGAATCCTACTTGATTGTGGTTTATTATCCCTTTGATGCATTGTTGGAGTCTGTTGGCAAGGATTTTGTTGAGGATTTTTGCATCAGTGTTCATTAGGGAGATTGGCCTGTAGTTTTCTTTTTTTGTGCTGTCTTTCTTTGGTTTTGGTATTAGTGTAATGGCGGCTTTGTAGAATGTATTTGGTAGTATTCCTTCTTTTTCAATTTTTTGAAAGAGTTTTGGGTAGGATAGGCACGAATTTGCAGCTGAATGTTTGGTAGAATTCATTTGTGAAGCCGTATGGGCCTAGGCTTTTGTTTTTGGGGAGTGCTTTGATTACTGCTTCAATTTCACTGCTTGTAATTGGTCTGTTTAGTTGTTCTGTTTCTTCTTTATCCAGCTTTGGATGATTACATTGTTCTAGGTATTTGTCCATCTCTTCCAGGTTGTTGAATTTGTTTGCATGTAAATGTTCATAATAATCTCTGATTATTCTTTTGATTTCTGCTGAGTCTGTTGTGATTTCTCCTTTTTTACTTATAATCCTATTTATAAGTGTTTTCTCCAGTTTTTTCTTTGTGAGCCTGGCTAGAGGTTTGTCTATTTTTATTTTTTCAAAGAACCAACTTTTGGTTTTGTTAATCTTTTGGATTACTTTTTTAATTTCTATTTCATTTATTTCTGCTTTATTTTTTATTATTTTCTCTCTTCCAATGGCTTTAGGGTTTTTGTTGTTGTTGTTGTTGTTTTTCTAGCTCTTTGAGCCCAACACCATTTTTTGAAGAGACTTTCCTTTCTTCATTCTATACTCTTGGTTCCCATGTCACAGATTGTCCACATAAGTATGGGTTTATTTTTGGTCTCTCAATTCTATCCCATTTGTCTGCTAATTTATTTAAATTTATATGTTTTTGTTTGTTGATTTTATTTTTAAATAGGAGCACCCAGGCTAAAATGTCCAGAACTTTTGAATTATGTTATGGATACAGTGAAAGAGTCATCTAACGGTCCCATTTATGGAGCTGACTGTAGCAACATATTGCTAAAGGACATTCTTTCAGTGAGAAAATACTGGTGTGAAATATCTCAGCAACAGTGGCTAGGTATGTTTTCTGTAATTTTTTTTTTTTAAAAGATTTATTTTATTTATTTATGCATACAAGAACTGGGGTGTAGACCAGAGGTGTGAAGGGTGGGAGGATTCACCAGAGACATAATGGGAAACAGAACAGGCAGATCTACCGAAATACACTGCTGAGGCGAGCGATAAGCAAGACAGGAGAGGTCTCCTGTACCAGGTGGGTTAGTTCCCTGGCCCGGGATCGAACTCATGCTGCAGTGTCTGGGGATAGCTTGATAGAGCTGAGAATTTAACCCTTGTGCCACCAGGGAGGCCCTCTGTGAGTTTTTGCTTATGAAATTTCACCAAAAAGAAAGCAGACAATCTTTCTGAATCCCCATCCCTCAAGTGACTTCAGAGAGTTACAGTGTCTTAATAAAATTATGTAGTTATATAATGTGACATTTTTTATTTATTATATACTTTTTGGACTATTATTGCTAAGAATATGTTGGGTGCCTGCTATCAGAACTGGACTTACAGAATTGAAAGATGACATCCCTTGTCCTCAAAGAGATGACAATTCAGTAGCAGAAAAAAACAAACCAAAAATGATAATTCAACATGATATATCGATAGATATGTTTGAGTATAGTGAATTCACAGATCATTGATACCTAAGCTCAATCATAATTAAGGCAGAAAGAAGAAAACCACCAGACTGAGGTTTCATAAAAGCAAAAGCAAGAGACTTTCAACTGTGTGACTGGCTTTGTTAAATGTAGTAGAAAGAATAAGACTCACAAATATCCACTGGCGTAGACAGTTGTCAGGTCACTACTAAGGTAATGGAAGTCAAACATATCACAGTAGAATATGGAGGACCCAGTGATTTACCACAAAGGTGGGAGTGTGAGTACCAGGGACAAAACTGGTATTTTTGACAATTTATAGGTGAGTGGTACTGAGAGACCACAAAGGAAGGAAGTTATGATTAAGACCAATATATTGGAGTTTCTTGATTGCTAGGTCAGAATGTGTTAAATGGGTGAAAGTAGGATTTGTCTTTGAGATGACTTTAAGCCAGATGTCTTATATATCTTTCAGTTTGCAGATGGCATGAGTATGTATAAAGTCCTCAAGAAATCCATATCTAATGTTCCTTGGGATTTTATTTTATTCTCTTTACTCCTTTTTAATATCATATTATTTCCCATCTGCTCCTTGTGTGTTCCTGAGTCACGGGGCAGTGCTCCTCACTGCAGCCTATTTTTTTTTTTTAAAGATTTATTTATTTATGCTTACAAGAACTGGGGTGTGGGCCAGAGGTGCGGGAGGGTGAGAGGATTCACCAGAGACACAGTGGGGAGCAGAACAGGTGGATCCACTGAAATACACTGCTGAGGGGAGCAGTGGGCGAGACAGGAGAGGTCTTCTGCACCATGTGGATTAGCTCCCTGGCGGGAGATGGAACTCATGCTGCAGTGTTCATAGTGCTGAGACTTAACCCCTCCCACCACCAGGGAGGGACTGCTGTAGCCTGTTTTGAAGAAGTTTGGCTCTATTCTTCTGAGACTTTTGTTCACTTATATCAGCTTTTTTTGTCATGTGGATTCTTAGAGAATTTGCATCGTTTCCCCCAACTAATATATATTAAAAGACCTGAGGCTTGAGCTTTAGTCAGATATAGTATACTGTCCTTATTGGCATTTTCTGTTTTCACCTCTCTATAAGTGAGAAATGATATAGTCTCTCCTGTTTCCTTACCTCCAGATTTTTATATATTAACTCATGGTTTAAACATTGTTTGATTATTTTAGATAGTGAGGAAACCTTGGGAACCACTGGCTCACAGTTCTGTTAACTAACATCAGATATGATAGCAATCATTTCAAAATTGTTTACCTTACTATTTAGTGTTTGAGGTATTTATATCCCTATACACTTGTGCTTAATCTTTCTCATTTTAAACTATATTTCTGTAGAATCCACATGACATACACATGTGAAAAGGAAGATATCCATAATTGTTGTTCTTGAGGACCTTTTAGTGATCTGTTGATGGGAAGAAAATCCTGAATTAGTAACTTTGTTTTCATTTGTTGGGATATAATTTTCAAAGCATTTCACATTTCTACATTTCTTATCAACAGAGACAATGACTGCTTTTTTCCTACACTAATGTTTTAAGGATGCTTATCTGAGTGCTGGCTGTTCAACCGGTGCTTGCACACTCTGCTGCCTGTAGTTGTTTCTTCCTTGAAGGCAGTTCATATAAAATATAGTTAAATGTTGGTGGACTATTTCTTTCTTTTTTTTTTTACTTTGAAATATAGCATTAGTTTATTAAAAATAATATTGAAAAGTGGTATACGTAAACTTAGTTTTTCTTTTTTTAATTTATTTTAACATTTATTATTTAAAAAAATTTTTTTAGACAATATTTGCTTCCCCTCACCCCCTCAGATTGAGTCCCCATAGAATTTCCTTCCCCAAGGCACCCATGCACCATCGTTGGTGGACTATTTCAATTGTATTGATAGAAATTAGCATCATTTTAAATCTTTCTATGAGAAATTATTAAATATGTCAGTTGAACTGTGACATTTAAGTTATATGCTTTGATAATTTTCTTTTTAAAAATGTAACAAGTTTTTTTAAAATTTTTTTTTTAAGAATTGTTCTCTGTATACTTCAAGCTGTATCTCAGGCCTTCACAAGATATTAATAGAGTTTTAGTGGCCCGTATAATTCAAGCTGTCACCAAAGGATGTTGTTCACAAACTGATGGATTAAATTCCAAACATCTGGAGTTTTTTTCGAAGGCTATTCAACATGCAAGGTAATTTCATCTCTTTTTGATTTGTTTGATATTGAAAATTAATTTGCTCTTCTTGCAACACCATGTTTTTCGTTCAGTAACTAAAAATACTACCAAGTTTTAGAAGTTATTTGCCCATTGTAATAGGATTGCTGGATTTCCAAAGACTGTCAGTCACCCAGTACCTCCTGAATATCCAAAATGCAGAATATTAAGTGGTAGACCTTTTGTATTCTTCCTAATATCTAAATAGCTTGATTATACCGTTTTTTGAAGACCAAAATAATTAAGAATAAAATAAAATAGGAATATATTTTGGAAATATTAGTAGCTTACATTTGTGTAACATTACCCAATTTGTAATGTGAAAAAATTTTTATTTATTTATTTCCCCCCCAATTTTATTTATTTATTTATTTATTTATTTATTTATTTATGTAAGCACTGGGTATAGTCAGAGACATGGGAGGGTGAGAGAATTCACCAGAGCCAGAGCAGAGAATAGATCAGGCAGAGTGATGAAGTACACTGCTGAGGGGAGCAGCGGGTGGCAGGAGATGTCTGCATGCCACGTGGGACCCTCGCCCAGCAGCCGGGGATTGAACCGGCGCTGCGGAGGCTGCGGGCAGCTGTGCAACCCAGCGTTCAACCACTGCACCAACAGGGAGGCCCAAATACTTTTTTTTTTTTTTTTTGTGGGACCCTCGCTGGGCGGCCAGGGAACAAACCGGCACTATAGAGGCTGTGGGCAGCCTCGCAGCCCAGCGCTCAACCGCTGCGCCACCAGGGGAGGCCCTGAAAAAATTTTTAAATAGTAGTTATTACAAATTAGTTCAGATAGTGTTTTAAAGCAGGAAGAATAGGTGATTTTCTTTAGCACCAAGTCATTTTTTTTTTTTTTTTTTTTTGAGCATGTAACTTCACAGTTGTCTTCAGTTTGTGCCTTCCCCACACCCAAGTTGTTTCCGTTTATTTTCTGTCATAGACAAGAAAAAAGCACTGCAGGTCTAAATCATATCCTGGCAGCACTCATTATCTTCCTCAAGACTTTGGCTGTTAATTTTCGAATTCGAGTATGTGAGTTAGGAGATGAAATTTTACCCACCTTGCTTTATATTTGGGCTCAACATAGACTTAATAATTCCTTAAAAGAAGTAATCATTGAATTATTTCAACTGCAAATTTATATCCATCATCCAAAGGGAGCCAAGACCCAAGAAAAAGGTAGGAAGAAAGCTTTTACTGTTTAAAATTTGCTTCATTTAGACTTAGAAGCATAAGTATGAAAACTGTATCTTGTAGGAGATCACCTTCCTCTGGATTGCTGTGCATGTTAATGAGAATAATTCTCACTTATAATTTTAGAATCCAGAGCTGTGGTAGCTGTGTTATGCCTTACCATTTGTCAGTACAGTGCTAGGGATTAGGAAGAATACAAACAAATACAGCACACTGCTCCCTCAAGTTGCTGATTATGCAGCACTAATTATGTGCTAAGAGGTATGATAGAGACTCAAAAGAGTTTAGAAAAAGGAGGATCTTGCTTATCTCTCTATTGCTTTTATTAGAAGATCAAATAGGTAAATACAGACTGAGCAGCCGGTTAAATTATTCAGTTCCAGAGGAAGATAAGCACATATTATTACTTTATAGAAACATGAAGTAGAAAGAAAATTAGTGCATTAAACCTTTAAGTTGCTCCAAATCTGTTTGCTGAGAAACCAGAAATAAATGACTTACCTTGCCTTAATTCCCTTACTTTTTTGTTTCACCAAAAGAGTATTACATGGGTAGAATAGCTCCATTTAGTGGATAGGAGGTTTATTGGGTGGATTTGGAGCTCAGTGCATTTCCTCGTGCTCAGGCTATCATAGCCCTTGGGCTTGAACTAGCTTTCAGACCAGTTCATCATGGCTAGTTCAGAAAACTTGTTAAGAAATTATGCTACATTGAATAATAGCAGCGAAAACAGAAACACTGCTGTAGTCACTTTTTATCAAATGTAGATGTGTATTTTGTGGGCGCTTCCAATATGTAGAGTTAAGGGTACCTTCTGAATCTACTGTAAGTCAAGGAATGGTGCCTTTTCTTAGTTTTTCTCTTTCACATAGCTCTCACTCAGATGAAATCACATAGCTCTCACTGAGATAAGCCTGCTCCTAATGACACATTTAGGGCTTTATTAAACTACATATTTTGGATGAATTGAAAATTGGCAGGAAGAGGAGGCTGCCAGAGATGCAAATGTAATTTTAGCCCACAGTAATAGATTTGTGGTACCTTGATTGTAGGAAATGATAGCCCCATTACTGTCCATACTGGTCTGACCACAGTTGGAGTATTATGGTTACCAGACTGCAGAGTCAGCAATTTAAGAGAGGAAAATAAAGGCATGGAGAACTTGGCCCTTATAGAAAAGGAAGGTCTTATTAATTGTAGTTACCTCAGGGAAGAAAAGAATTTAGAGAAAGTTTGATTGCAATTTTGATTGTGTTAATGAGAAAAAGTTAGATCTGAATATGGGAGAATTTCATTCTTAGTTGACTAGAGTAAAATGGACACTGTTATGAAATAAAACTTATAAAGGATATTTTCAGGAGACGCTTCAAATACGGAATAGAAGGCTGGACCAGGTGTCTTCTGATGTTGTTTAATCCTTACCAACATGCATGGGAGTTGGCAATACAAATGGAGTCCATATAGAAATTAATTTTAATTTTTTGGATTGCAGGGGCTTATGAATCAACAAAATGGAAAAGTATCTTATACAACTTATATGACCTATTAGTAAATGAGATAAGTCACATAGGAAGCAGAGGAAAGTACTCTTCAGGATCTCGTAATATTGCTGTCAAGGAAAACTTGATTGAATTGATGGCAGATATTTGTCACCAGGTATAGTAGATCTCACATTTTTAAATTTACCATTAATTTTCATTCTACTGGGCTTTAAAAACCTCTGTTTGGGTAAAAATCTTGCAAAATTACTCTGGACTTGTAACTGTTCCTTCCAAACATCATAAATATGTGGAATTAATCTTCTAATGTAAAAGATGACTCTTTTACATGTATAGAGTTAATGAAAAATAATGATGAACTCTTCTATTATTGTTTATAGGAAATACTGTAACTTTTTTTTTTTTATATTGAACTGGAAATTACATTGCACAAAATTCTCTAAAGTGTATATAGTTCAGCGATTTTTGCAACCATCAATACTGAAATTCTAGAACATTTGTTTCACCCCCAAAACAAACTCATACCTCTTAGCAGCCTATTCCACAATTCTTGCTGCTGTCTACTCCCTGGCAAGCAACTATGTCTCAACTTTCTGTTTCTATATTTTCCTACTTAGGATATTTCATGTAAGTGGAATCATATAATCATCTCTGTGGTCTTTCATGTATGACTTCTTTCATTTACATAATTATTTCAAGGTTCTTTCATGTTGTTCCATGAATCAGTATCTCATTCAATTGTGTGGATATGTCACATTTTATTTACCTATTAAAAATTTTTTTTAAATAAAAGACTTAATTTTATTAATGGGACTGTGGAACTTTGAAGGTTGATTTACATTAAAAGGTTTTATACGATTTATACACTCACATTACTAGTATTTTAGCCATCTCCTCATTTCATTCATCATTTTCTTTTTTTTTTTTGAAAAATTTTTTTTTAAGATTTATTTATTTATTTATACAAGCACTGGGTGCAGTCAGAAGCGCGGGAGGTTGAGAGAATTCACCAGAGTCAGAGCAGAGAGCAGAGCAGAGCAGGCAGACTGATGAAGCACATTGCTGAGGGGAGCAGCAGGTGCGGCAGGAGAGATCTGCGTGCCATGTGGGGCCCTTACCCGGGGGCCGGGAATCGAACCTGCGCTGCAGAGGCTGCAGGCAGCTTCGCAGCCCAGCGCTCAACTGCTGCACCACAGGGGAGGCCCTTTTTTTTTAAATTTTTAAAATTTTTTATATCATTGTGCCATCACCTCAGTCCCCTATTCTCCTCCCTCCTTTCCTCTGATCCCTCTTCCTCCTCCTCCTCCCCTGCAGGATGTCTCTGATTTATAATTGTCTGTTTTTGCTTTGTTGTGTTTTGTACTGTTATTATTTTTTTGCACTGATGTCTTATTTGGTTTCCCTATATTCTTGCAATAAGTGAAACCATCCAATATTTTTCTTTTTCTTCTGGCTTATTTCACTGAGCGTAATTCCTTCTAGCTCCATCCATGTTGCTGCGAATGGCATGAGTTTGTCTTTTTTGATTGCTGAATAATATTCCATTATGCATATATACCACATCTTCTTGATCCAGTCATCTATTTTTGGGTATTTGGGTTGTTGCCAGCTTTTACCTATTGTAAATAGTGCTGCAATAAACATAGGGGTGGAAGGCTTAATGTTTAAGTAAAACTTTCTATCCTGGAGATTTAAGATTTTATGTAATAATTTTCAAATGATATGCAAGTCAAAGATTTTCTTAATGCTAACTTTATGATTTAATCCCTTTGAAAATACAGGTATTCACTTTACCAAGACATCTTGATGCTTTCAGTAAATGTTCCAAAGATATAAAACTAATACATTACTTGGGCATATCTGCTTTCAAGAGAGCCACCACCACAATCATGCAAAATGTTTGATTCTTACTATATTATCATATATATCTTTCTGTAATTTCTCTGGCGTTATGACTTCCCTGTATCTTTATTTGGGAGGAACTTTTTTTTTTCCTAATGAACTGTTAGAAAGCAATAGTGATGAAAACATGTACTTTTCTTTTTGTTGTTTTACAGGTTTTTAGTGAAGATAGCAAATCATTGGAGATTACTCAGTCTTATACTATCACACAAAGAGATTTTAATGATTACAGTTCACCCTGCAAAAAGAAGAAAATAGAATTAGGCTGGGAAGTAATAAAAGATAATCTGCAGAAGTCACAGAATGATTTTCATCTTATACCTTGGTAAAATTATTTTTTTCAGTCAGTGTCGTTTTAGTAGTTTTTCTTGCATGACTTCCAGTTGAATCCTGTAATCTCACTGGCCAGATTAGGTCAATTGTCCACTTCCAAGCCAGCCACTGACAAAGGCGAAGAAGGTGACAGTTGATTGCCAGGATATATTGTGTTCGACCACTATGGCTCAGCTGCTGGCCCAGGGCCAGAGCCACCTTTCTAAGAATATTGCCATAGGAAGAAAGAGGGGGGAATGGCTGCTTGGTAGGAAGTCGGTAATATCTGCCTCCTGGAATTTACTAAGTTGTATACCTTAGCACAAAGAGGTTAGCATGCATAGCACCTCAAACTATTAAATTAGGAAGAAATTGAAAATAGCATTTAGAAATCATAGAATAATTTTTGACTATATGCCATGATGAAAAGTAATTTTTTTCTTATTTGCTATGTTCTTGAGTCTCCTAAAACAGTCACAATTTCTTAAACAAAGAAATTGTGGGATTCTGTGGGATCACGTAGGACTCTAGAATTCTTTTAATTTGTCCTGTTCACCTTACGAAGAAGGAAACTGAAACCTAGAAAGTTTGAGTCACCTAAGGACAATCAGGAACTTGTCAAAAAGTTTTGTGATCGGTGTTCTTTTGATTTTTACCATGTTGATGGAATGTTTAAACATAGATGAAATGGGGGTGGGGAGGAGTGTGTTGATTTAGACACCATTGCTTAAGCTCATATTTAGTTTAGATAGTTGAAGATACCTATTTCAGATTCTTTAATTTGCCTATTCAGTCAGGAGTTATCTTTGGATACCTGCTGTGTGCTAAGCCTGAAGGACACAGAGATGAATAAGATAAAGCTTCTAGCTTGAGTAATTCACATTCTAGAGGACTTGCCTCAGATATTGAATTAATTAATGTCAAGAAAAAAATTTCTTTACTTGTTTTTCTGTTTTAGAGGAATATTTTTCGTGGCTGAAGCTCAGGGTTAGGTCTAATAACTTTGAATATAGAATATTGCTAATTTAATTATTATTTAAAGTTTTTAGGTCAAGAAAATATAACTTACCCAGCTAGCCAAAAAACTGTCAACTTCTTGCTATTTAGGCAGTAATGACTAATAGATATTAAGATTTATTTGAAAGTAGTATGAAAAAGGATGATGGTGATCCTGTAAGTAGGATTATTATATGGGTACAATGTCTGTATTTTCATTTAGCTTGTTAATAGAATGATTTTCAAATTATATATCCTTTTTTTCTTTTAGGTTACAGATTGTGACTCAATTAATATCAAAATATCCTGCAAGTCTACCTAACAGTGAAATGTCATCGTTACTAATGATATTATGCCAGCTTCTACCCCAACAGCGCCGTGGGGAGCGCACGCCATATGTGTTACGCTGCCTTACAGAGGTTGCATTGTGTCAAGGTGGGAAATCACACCTAGAAAGCTCACAAAAGTCAGATTTATTGAGACTCTGGGCTAAAATCTGGTCTCTTACCTTTCGTGGTATAAGTTCTGAACAAATACAAACTGAAAATTTTGGCTTGCTTGGAGCCATAATTCAAAGCAATTTAGTTGAGTTTGACAGAGAATTCTGGAAGTTATTTACTGGATCAGCCTGCAAACCCTCATGGTAAGTGACTGCATTGTACTAGATTTTTCTGTGTATGTGAGTGAATGTGTGTGGGCATGCATGAGCATATATGTGCATATCTCCCTTACCCTGCTCATTTTTGTAGTTTGAAACTTCAGTTAAAGATATGATAAATTGTGGGCCTCCCCGGTGGCGCAGCAGTTGAGCGCTGGGTTGCGAAGCTGCCTGCAGCCTCTGCAGTGCCAGTTCGATCCTCGGCTACCGGGTGAGGGTCCCACATGGCGCGCAGATCTCTCCTGCGGCCCCGCTGCTCCCGTCAGCAGTGTGTTTCGTCGCTCTGCTCTCTGCTCTGACTCTGGTGAATTCTCTCACCCTCCCACGCTTCTGACTGTACCTAATGTTTGTATAAATAAATAAATAAATCTTTAAAAACAAAAAAGATATGATAAATTGTATTTCAAAAACTTTGTTGTTTTTCCAAAACGTCTTAATAAATGAATAACTATCAAGTTAGTTTCAAATGTGGAGCAATTATTAAGGCCAATTTTGAAAAATTAAGCATTTAAATTTCTATTATTTTAATTGACAAGTAATTATTTGCTTGCTACTTGTAAGGTGTGGGGGGTGAGAGGATTCACCAGAGACAGAGTGGGGAACAGAACAGGCAAATTGATGGAAGTACACTGCTGAGGGGAGCAGCGGCGAGTCAGGAGCGGTCTGCTGCCCCATATAGGCAGGCCAGGTGATCGAATTCGTGCTGCAGTGGCTGCAGACAGCTTCATAGGTTGTGTCTTAACCCCTTGCACCACCAGGGAGGCCCCTAAACCTTATTTTTTTTAACTAGTACTGCATATTGTCAAACATCTTCTTAAATGTAGTCAGATTTTTTTCAACATTTTGTGTTTACTTAGTCAACAAAAATTTACTGTATGCTTACCATGTATCACTGACAGCACAGCAGTAACTAAGATAAAGTTTTTGTTCCCAAGGTACTTTTAACCTTGATCATCCTGTTCTGTTTCAGTCCTGCAGTCTGCTGCTTGACTTTGGCATTGACCATCTATGTAGTTCCAGAAACATTAAAAACAGGAATGGAACAGAATATATGTGAAGTAAATAGAAGTCTTTCTTTAAAGGAATTGATAATGAAATGGCTCTTATCCTGTCATTTAGAGGATGACTTAGAAGACAGTACAGTACCTCCAATTTTGTACAGGTAACTTGAGTTCCAGTTAACATGTGCTGTTTTTTATTTCATAAATTGCCCTCCATTACTAATTTGATGCTAGGTGGCTTTATTTCACAGTGGTAACGCAGAATTTCCCAGAACTAGCTCTCAGTATTAAACAGCACCCTTTTTGTAGTGCTTTTAGGTTTCTGTATTCTGTGTTTAGGTTTTTTTACTTTGTTTCGGTCTCTGCCTAGACAGAGGGAATAGGGGGATGCGAATGAAGAGCAGGCCTAAAATTTTTTGAGTGCTGAAGTATTCCTTTGTGATCTTTTGTCAATTGGCTCATCTGAACATATATCCAGGGTGTCTTCTGGAATCATAAAGAGAGTATCTTGTACATGAAACAGGTTAAATTATTGGGGTAAAGAAATGAAAGAAAGGCAAAAATGGCACGTAAGCTCTAGGATGGGACTTTACTGCCCAGTAAGCCTTTCAGCTGATGGTAATTGAACTGAATGATTGACAAACAGACCTCTGGATCATGGTGATTTCACTTGAGTCTCATAATGTTTATTTCAGAAATAATCTTTAAAACTTGGACATAAGTCTGTTTCTAGGAAGTGTACCTAGTGTATGCTCCATAAATTCTCCTTTTAGATGTTATGAAATTCTGTGCACATGGAAGCAGTTTTAATTTTGGATTCAAATTCTTGAGGCCAAGATTTATAATCATAGACACTTAAGTTTAATGCATTTTGCTGCTAAGTGAAGATTTTTATTTTTTTTTATAGTAATTTTCCTCTTCTCTCATTGGAGAAAATTCTTGTGAGTCTCACTATGAAAAACTGTAAAGCTGCAATGAATTTTTTTGAAAGTCTGCCAGAATGGTATGTTATCTAATAGAATTCTGTGTTATTTGAAGATATAGCTTTAATTACAATGGTAATGATTTTGGCAGCTGCATCTTATAATTATGAACTTTAGGTCAATTAAAAAATCGCCACTGTTAGGCAAAGGTTCTTTGAATTGAATGATTTAAACTATCTCTAATTTTAGATCTAGCTTACCGTTTTGAATGCTATAGAGTATGACACATCATTGAAAGAAAAAGAATGGTTGTGATGGGAAATTAAGAACACAAAATTATGTGAAATGAGTTCTTTAAAGATGTAACCCATTTTTATATGTCAAGTAAAATGACTTAGCTTTTAGAACTAAAGATAATTGGGGATATGGAAAACATATATTATAAAACTTCATTTTTGTTGATTGTCTTAAGAAGCTAATGTTTTATCACTGTAACTTAAACTGATGCACTGACTTGAAGATTCTTACTCTGCCTCAAGAGGGCATAAGATAAGAAATATTCCTGCATTTCAGAGAAATCAGAGGGATGCTATTCTTAGGGCTTATATTGGTATTAATGTTTTCCTTCTGAAACTTTGCCATTGAGGTTGTAACTGGTATTCCTTTTTCAGCTATTAGTAAAATTTGCTATTGAATAATTAATTTGATAGCATGTGTCTCAAAGTTCAAAGAAGAGAAACATTTAAAAAAATACTCTATTAATTGTCTAAGCAGTCTTTAAATAATGTAGATTCTAAGTTAATATTTTCATTTTTAATATACTGATGCTATGTGTAGGTGGAGTATTAGGTAGTCTGATTATTAATTAATTATTTTCAAGTGAACAGCACCATAAAGAGAAGGAAGATTCTTCATTCTCAGAAGTAGAAGAACTATTTCTCCAGACAACTTTTGACAAGATGGACTTTTTAACTGTTGGGAAAGAATGCACTGTAGAAAAGCACCAGTCCAGTGTAGGCCTTTCTGTCCATCAGAATCTCAAGGAATCACTGGATCGCTATCTTCTGGGATTATCAGAGCAGCTTCTCAATAACTACACATCTGAGGTGAGACTTTTTAAAAGAACTAAAATCTGGTTTTGGTTCAATTTTGGTAGACTGTTAGGATGGAAAAACAGAGGCAGGAAAAGCACTAAGGATGGTGAGAAATTTGATTTAAAAGCAAAGCGATGAGTACAGAAGTACAATAGAGAAAAATTGACATGAAAAAGGAAAAACTGAAGAAATATAATGAGTTATTTCATTTTTATCAGGAATTCCAGTAGACATTAACATAGAATTCTTTGGGTAAGCTACTGGGGAATAATGGTTAGTGGTTAAATGATGAAAAAGAACCTCTCAGTACAGAGGAGAGAAATGTTACAGTAATAGGATGGGACTGGCACCGGTAGGAGAGGTAGACATGGTTATTGTAATAAATTAATTTGAAGTCACCTTTATTTTAGAGGTCCTTGGATAATTTTTCTCATACCATTTTCTTGTGTCTTCTTAAAATTACAAATTTTCTGTGTGTGTTCTTCTCTTACCAAAAATCCAGTTTCTTCAACATGAAATGTCTTTCTATGACTGTGTGCTGAACTCATCCACATGTCAGAATCTTTGCTAAAGCCATAATGTCAGCCATAATAGCTCATGTTTTAATTTTCATAGGCACAGTAGTTAATATATCTATTTTTAAATGACACAGCCTCTTTATGCTGTGGATATTTGTATGTAAGTTTAACACACAAGCATCTCTTAACCTGTATTGTGAGCTCCTTAAAGGGCATACACGTTTTTATTAATCATTTTATCATCCGCTGTGCCTTGTTGCACGGTAAATGGTACAATATTTGTTGAACAAAATAAAATCTATAAACTACTCTAAGGTGTGGATACAGTAGCCAGGGAGAATAACTCAAAGAACCAGAAGACATGATGTGACTGTGTCATCTGTCCCACCTTTCATTACTGACATTCTGCATTATAGTTATAACTACTTTGATTGCAAAGTAATAATGGTCTTCTATGTTTTCCCAAAATGCCATGTCCTACAGTATCTTCCTACAGTATCTCTTCTCTGTACTGAGAGGTTCTTTTTCATCATTTAACCACTAAACATTTCCTATAGTATCAAATTTAAAAAATAATCTAAAAACCTTGGTAACCTTTGCACATTCTTATGTAATCCTATAAAGTTGGAAGCAGTACCTACTTACAAAAATATATTGTGCTAATTTGTGTAGTTAAAAAATGTGAATAAGTCAAGGCTTGTGTCCTTCAGATGCTCAGAGTGTCACTTTAATGTTTCTCTATATGAATCTAATTTCTACTCATGTACTAAGCATTACAGACATTTATTTGCCTATCAGTTTTTGTCTTTTTCCTCTACCTCAGACACTTCATGTGCAGTATACAGTTTCATTTTATGAGAAGATACCTTACTGGGCCATTAGGAAATACATTTATTTTTCCTGAGATTCCAGGTTATCCCAGTTCTGTTTTTAGCGATCATCAGAATATTTCACTAACAACTCAATTAACTGGACTTTTGTTTCTTTTTTTAAAAAAAGGTTTATTTATAAGAGCTTATACTTATAAGAGCTGGGGTGTAGGCCAGAGGTGCAGGGGGTGGGTGGGTAAGAAGATTCACCAGAGACAGAGTGGGGAGCAGAACAGGCAGATCTACTGAAATACACTGCCAGGGGTAGCAGTGGGGGAGACAGGCGAGATCTGCTGTGCCATGTGGGTTGTTCCCTGGCCGGTGATGGAACTCATGCTGCAGTGGCTGTGGACAGCTTCATAGTGCTGAGATTTAACCCCTTGCGCCATCAGGGAGGCCCCCTGGACTTTTGTTTTTTTTAATAGGTACATAAAATTTGTTTTTGGAAAAGATAATTGTAAAATATTCAAAATTATTATGAAATATGTATTGATTTGTGTTTTACTTTAAGACTACAAATTCAGAAACACTTGTCCGATGTTCAAGTCTTTTGGTGGGTGTCCTTGGCTGCTATTGTTCTGTGGGTGTAATAACTGAAGAGGAAGTGTATAAATCAGAGTTATTCCAGAAAGCTAAGGTAGGACAATTTACACTAATAACATTTATGTTATTTTTAATGAAATGTATTCTTGGAAAAATTGATATATTTGTTTGGAAAAGACAAATTTTTATGGAGGTTAACCCTATTATTTTCATTTATGCAGTTTGAAAAGAAATTATACTTGTGTCCTTCCATAAGATTTGAAATTATTTTAAGATAACTGTAGTAAGAGCATGTCACAAAAGTTAATCTCATTAAAGAACAGATTTTTATCTGTGTTTTTCAAAAATTTTCTTTTTTTTTTCCCCCCAAATTTTCTTGTGATAAACTACCCTAAAGAATTCTTGACCAAGAGTGTTAATCAGGTAGACTCTAACCATGAAACTTATTTTCAGCTCTACATACTATGTCAGTATTTGTAAGAATCGGTTCTTGAAAGTTATAAGATCCTCTTTTAATTCCATGGAGAAGAACTCATAATTATGTAGATTTTTTTCTTTGTTTTGAGATTAAACTTTCCACTATTAAATTTAATGGGAACAGACACATCACCCAAAGCAGTGATAGTGATGGCAAAGATAAATGGCTGGGACTATATCAAATTAAAGTGCTTCTGCACAGCAAAAGAGACAATAACAAAAATAAAGAGAAACCCCACTGACTGGGAGAACATTTTTGCACACAACACTAATGATAAAGGACTGATCACAAAAATCTGCAAAGAGCTGATGATACTCAACAAAAACAAAGAAAATAATCCAGTCAAAAAATGGGCAGAAGAGCTAAAAAGAAAATTCTCTGAAGAGGAAATGCAAATGGCTAACAGACATGAAAAAATGTTCAACATCACTTGTAATCAGGGAAATGCAAACCAAAACTACAATGAGATACCATCTTACACCAGTGAGAATGGCACATATTAAAAAAACTAGCAACAACAAATGTTGGCGAGGTTGTAGAGAAAAAGGAACTCTCCTGCACTGTTGGTAGGAGTGCAAACTGGTCAGATTTCTTGACCTACTAAACATAGAGCTTCCATATGATCCAGAAATTTCACTCCTCAGTATTTACCCAAAGGACACAGAAACATCAATTCCAAAGAGCACCTGCACCCCTATGTTTATAGCAGCACTGTTTACAATAGCTAAGCTTTGGAAACAACCCAAATGCCCAAAAATAGATGACTGGATGAAGTAGATGTGGTACATATACACCATGGAATATTACTGAGCATTCAAAAAAGATAAACACATGCAATTTGCAGCAACATGGATGTTGCTGGGAGGGATCATGCTCAGTGAAATAAGCCAGAAAGAAAAAGAAAAATACTGGATGGTCTCACTCATAGCAGGAATCTAGAAAACTTAAATAAGGGACCAGGAAAAAGAATAACTATAAGAAAGAAAATATCAAAATCGACAAACAACTATGAACCAGAGACACTCTATGGGGGTTGGGGGGCGGGGAAAGGAGGGCTTGGGGTCAAAATAAGGGGGTTGTAATTGTATGGGGGATATAAAAATAAAATTTAAATAAAAAAGAATAAAGCAAAAAAAAATTTAATGGAAAAAAAGAACAAGATGAGTTTTTTATTTAAAAAAATTGTTCATAATTTTTAATTATACGCTCTCATCAAGTGTAACTTCTTAAAACAATTTTGCCTCTTAAGTAAAACTTTATATAAGGTATGCTTTCATACTTTCTCCTCTCAGGTATAATTATTGTAAAATTCCCACCACCCAATTCACCCATGCACCATCACCATAGTCACTTGTGCTCTTCCCAAACCTGTTTTGATTTTTCTCCCTCCCCCTCCCCTGCAGAATATCTCTGATTTATAGTCAACTGTTAATTTTGTTTTTCCTTCTTTTATTCTTAATAGTCTCTAATGCAGTGTGCAGGAGAAAGTATCACTTTGTTCAAAAATAAGACAAATGAGGAATCTAGAATTGCTTCATTGAGAAATATGATGCATCTATGTACAAGTTGTTTGTGTAGCTGTACCAAGGTAAGATATTCTTCCTACTTGACAGTGGAGCCTTTCTAGGAGGCAGATCACTGGATGGTGTTACTATGTTTTGGGTCATTTATAAGATTGCATACTGATTTTAAATTAAACTGAATGGTAAATAAAGGTAGTATCTAGAGGAATAGAGCTGGAGGTCATTGGAGTTTCTCATGAAACTCATCATTTCAGAAAGGTTTCTGAGATTATCTTACCACTTTTATATAAAGATACTTAGGTAGCTTTTATTCTGACTTATTTTCATTTACTGAATAAAAAATTACTGACTAGTAACTATGTGATGTGCAAACCACTATACAGGGCCACAGAGGTGGAGAACTCCAGCATGTGTAGTACTCTTTGCCCAGAGAGTCTTGCATAACATTTGGCAGAAAAGTGCTACTGTATGTTATCTTTGGAGGAGGCCTAAGTGATAGCTGCGCCAGGCCCAAGTGTTGCTAATTGTTGGAAACAATTGTGAAAGCTAATATTAAGTACATGACCATATAGCAATATTACCAGCATAGATTTTGGTTTTTTTTTTTTTTTTTTAAAGATTTATTTTATTATTCATTCAAGAACTGGAGTATAGGCCAGAGGTGTGTGTGTGTGTGTGTGTGTGTGTGTGTGGCGGGGGTGGGGGTGGTGGTGAGAGGATTCACCAGAGACAGAGCAGGGAACAGAACAGGTAGATTGACTGAATACACTGCTGAGAGGAGCAGCAGGCGAGTCAGGAGACGTCTGCTGCGCCATGTGGGCAGCTCCCTGACCTGCGGTGGGTGGAACTTGTGCTGCAGTGGCTGCAGACAGCCTCATAGGCTGTGTCTTAACACCAGGGAGGCCCAGATTTTGGGTTTTGTAATACATGTTTTTGGATTTTGGAATAACTGGAAAAGGAGAGAATTGTAAGCTACAATTATTGCTTGCTTATGTTTAGTATCAATAGCTGGTATTTTACTTTCATGTTATTTATGTACTATGAAAGATATGTGCTACACTTATTATGACTAACAAAAGAGGTTAGTGTTTTTGAAGCAATTTATAGCTTGGACCTAAATAGTAAACTCATTCCCATGTTTCTTATGATAAAGAATAGCCAGTGTAAAAGAAAGACTACATTTTATTTAAGATAGAGAAAATATTTCCTCTCAGGAATAATTGTTTATTTCTTTGTTTACTTTTTTTCAATTAATTACAGCACAATCCACATAAGATAGCATCTGGCTTTTTCCTACGATTGTTAACATCAAAGCTAATGAATGATATTGCAGATATTTGTAGAAGTTTAGTAAGTATGCTTCCTGTCTTATGCTTTTTTTTCTTCCATGGAAATGCTTATAGAGATGCCTCACAATACGCAGTATGTTTTTTAAAATGTGGAAATTAAGTGGAGTTATTTGGTTTGGGAATATATTTGATTGCTTTTTTTTTTTTTTTTAAGATTTATTTATTTATTTATACAAACAATCGGTACAGTCAGAAGCGCGGGAGGGTGAGAGAATTCACCAGAGCCAGAGGGGGGAGCAGAACAGGCAGACTGACTAAGTACACTGCTGCGCCACTGGGGAGGCCCTTGATTGCTTTTTTTTTTTTTTTTTAAGATTTATTTGTTTATTTATTTATACAAGCACTGGGTACACTCAGAAGCGTGGGAGGGTGAGAGAATTCACCAGAGCCAGAGCGGGGAGCAGAGCAGGCAGAGGGACCCAAGTACACTGCTGAGGGGAGCAGCGGGTGGCAGGAGAGGTCTGCACGCCATGCGGGACCCTCCTCCGGTGGCCGGGGAGCAGCCAGGGATCGCTGCAGAGGCTGCCGGCAGCTTCGCAACCCAGTGCTCAACTGCTGCACCACCGGGGAGGCCCCCTTGATTGCTTTTTAATGTCAATACCAAGTGTGGTTTTTATTTTCTCAGTAAGTAGTAATAGTCTGAATTGTAATTGGGAACTAATCGTCTAGGCACATGCTCTTTCTGTTTAACACTGTACCCAGAATTCAAAATAATTCTCTATTGTTAAACATGAAAACAAAACTCTTGCTGTGGTATTTATATTTCCTCTTCCATACAAATGGGCTTATGTTCTACTTACTTTTTTTGTCTGGAATGGTGCCTAACACAGCAAGTACATACATGTATCAACTGAGTGAAAAAATATTCTGTGACTTGATTTTTTTTGCCTAATAATGAATTGTGGTGGTTTCCTCTGTCACTGCATACTGCTGTATTTTACATTGTTTGTAGCAGTAGCTTGGTGCTTTATTATATGGGAATAGAACATAGGCATTTTTACATGATCGGATCTTAACATTTTAAGTGGTTTTGTCATGCAAGGAGTTCTTTGATAAGATTCTTATACTTTTGTCTGTTTTTATTTATGCTATGAAGGCTATAGGATAAATTCTAGAAATGTTGAGAACAAATGTGAATTTCAGTTTTGGGTATTGTCATTGCTCTCTAAGTAATATGCATAACAATGCATATTTCCCCCCTTACCCTCATCAGTGTTGGATGTTACCAAACATTTTTCTTTTGTTTTAAATTTATTTGATGTAAAATTTCTTAATATGCAATATTTTTTATAAAGATTACATATTGTTTTGTTATATAGAGATGTGCAGTTTATTTCTGCATTTTCCTATTTTACATTAGATAGAAATAATACTGCAGTCTTCATATACATGACTCTTAAGTTGTTTGTCTGGAAATTTTAGGTATAACATTGTTCTGAAAGGAACTAAATTGAAAAGACCATCCTTCTTTTTCTTATTTTTAGGCATCCTTTATCAGAAAGCCACTTGATTATGGAGAAATAGAACCAATGGAAGATGAGTCTGATGAAAATCTAATGGAGGTAGAAGATCAGTCATCCATGAGTCAATTTAGTGATTATTCTGCTAGTGTTAGTGATGTAAATGAATCTGGAGAGAGCCAAGTTACTATTGGTAAATATATATTTACTGCTTGGGATTTCTTTTCCCTCTTTGGTTTGATTCTGTAGTATAAATGGCCTCATAGACACCAATTTTATACTTATTTCATTTTCCATCGGTATAGCTTATTTAAGATTGTCCCCTTCTATACATTTTAGATGTTTTTGACTTTTTAAAACTAATTAGCTTCCTATTTTATTCTCCATAGAGGGAAATTAAAATGACCACTAAATAGGACAGTGAAAAAGTGTCCATAGTGCCACTGCTGTTACTGTATATAGACCATTTGAAATTTGTAATCAGCATTAACATTCAAATGCCTTTTTATACCTTGTCTGTTTTCTTTTAATGTTTTGTGTTTTTCATGTAGCTATTTATATTGATAGTTATACATTAATGACTTCATAATACTCCAGTTAACACATAGAGCGTATCTTAACTGACCATTTTTTATTGCCAGAAATTTAGATTCCTACTTCCCATAATTAACAGCACTGCAGTGAATGTTGTCTATAGAGATTATTCCACAGATTATTTCTTAATGACAAAATCATAAGGAAGCCTTTTAAGAAGTATTTTGATGCTTTTAGTATGTAATCAATTTCACCATAATTTTGCTTTCCATATACTTTTATCTCTCTTTTGTTTTTAGAGGGGAGCATATGGAATTGATGTTTAAGATGCTGGTTTTGTACCCTTTAGCTCTGCAAGTGCTTTTTATTTTTAGGTGCCATGAATCCTTTAGCTGAAGAACATCTGTCAAAGCAAGATTTACTTTTTTTAGACATGCTCAAGTTCTTGTGTATGTGTGTAACTACTGCTCAGACCAATACTGTGTCCTTTCGAGCAGCTGATATTCGGAGGAAATTGTTAATGTTAACTGATTCCAGCATGCTAGACCTGACTAAACCTCTCTACTTACATATGGTGAGTTAAGTGAAGTGCTTTGATTCTGTCTGATGTTGCAGGCTGAATGTAATGGACGGATGTAGAAAAATCATATAGTACCTTAACATATTTGAAATTGCTTCCTTGAGAAAAAAAGCTGAGAATCTAGTTACAAAAATAAACTTTTTTAAAGATGGCCCAAGAAAAAAATTTAACTTGATACTGAAACTTTAACACTTTTTGAATGAAAAAATGATAAACATTATAGTTGAAGTCAGAATCTTGCCTTAGTCTATATGCTTTAAAGTTTTTGATGTGATTTCAAAATGTCAGTAAAGTTAGAATACTACAAGAACTCCCATATTACCTTCATAAGTTTCTGTACTTACCATTTTATCACATTGCCTTATTCTCTTTCTCTACATACACCCCCTCACACCCCCCTTTTTTTGGAACCAATTTGAGATTAAGTTGCATAGGTGATGTCCCTCATAGTTCCGTATATATTTCCTAAAGACAGTAATATTTTACCACAGCATTTTCATCAGGAAGCTAACTCTGTGTCTTTGCATTTAGTTGTCTAATTCATGTCTGAAACAGTCAAACTTTCTTCATTCTTCCTTTTGTGACCTTCAAATTTTTGAACAGTACAGCCACTTGTTCTGCAGAATCCCTCACTTTGAGTTTGTTTCATGTTTTTTCATGATTACACTTAGACTTTAGGAGAATATTGCAACAATAATCCTTCTCCTGCCTATCTACCTATCTACCTACTGATATCTCCATTTCTAGTCCAATGGTTTTTTCTCTGAATTTGTAGGTTCCTTTTCCAACAGTCAGAATCCTGGCTTCAGACTTAACCTCAATACATTTACAGGTTTACTGTATTCTTATGTGTGACTAATCTGATCGTGTGGGGTATTCCCTTAGCCCCCACCAGTGTACTCATAGAGAATGAGTGTGCTGGGGGATTCCATGGTCATGTCCCCAGTGCCAGCAGCTGACAAACATGCCAGGTGCTTTCCGTAGCCCTGGGAAACATGCCAGGTGATCCTCTAATTAGAACCTCTTGAAAACATGCAGAGTGAGTGCTGGCAGAGGTCTTGGCCACGTTCTTGTTGTGAACATGCTGGTCACTCCCTGGCCCCGGGAAGTTTGCTTGGTCGAATCCTTTGACCCTGGACTCATCCTGGCAGACAGTGTAGCTTAAAGTCCCTGGCCCTGAGCAGTGGAGAAGGCCGCATGCTTATCTTGCAACTTCATTGTTTAAAGTCAAGATACTCAGAGTAACATCACGTATGACTCTTATGGCAAATATTTTAAGTGTTTAAAATGGTCTAATTTACTGTTCTCATAATAACTGAGAAGGATTAAGAAACATCTTTATATATGTACATGAGAGGAAAGAAAGTCTCCTGATTTCTTAGACATTATCTAGGAAATTACTTGGCAGCAGCTCTCAGACAAGGTAGAAGCCATTATGATTGGCACTTGCTGTGCAGCCCTTTGCGTTCCTGGTACTGAGACAGCCTTACAATGTTGCCTTCCGGGATGCAAAGCCAGTTAATTTCACTTCTTCCCTGCTTTCCAAAATTCACTAATAGAGTAAATTTCAACCATTCAACTCTTATCCACAGGCACTATTTTGAGTGGGTAGGGTTATAATATAGTTTCAATTTCTTGCTGAGACAGTGCTAACAACTATCATTTGTTGAATTCCTGCAATAAATTCTAGACGTTTACTTCATTTCCTTAATCCTCACAGTAACCTGGCCAGGTAGTTGCTATACCCCCATTTTTCAGGTAAGAGTACAAAGGCTAAGATGACAAGTCAGGTTTTTTAACCACAAATAATACTTAGTGCAGCTGAGATTTTATGCCAGTTCTGTTTGACTTCAAACCCTCTTTATACACCATTGCCTGTTTTAAAAATTCACTGCCCTTTGTGTGTGTGTGTGTGTGTGTGTGTGTGTGTGTGTGTTTGTACCTATATATGAATTTTTGGGTATATTTATACTTATTTAAATAAATGGTCTATGGAAAAATCATCATCTACCTATTATCTTAGTATTTAGTACTTTTAAGGGAGCTTCCTGGAGAAGACTATCCCTTGCCAATGGAAGATGTTGTTGAACTTCTGAAACCGCTATCGTAAGAAACTAAAATCATATATTATCTTCACTTTAAATTTAGAAGCTAACCTGTATATTCTGTTAGGCTTATAAAGAGCTAAACTTTCTCTGTCACAGCAATGTGTGTTCTTTGTATCGCCGTGACCAAGATGTTTGTAAAACAATTTTAAACCACGTCCTTCATGTAGTGACAAACCTGTGTCACAGTGATCTGGACGCTGAGAGCACAAGGGACGCTCAAGGCCAGTTTCTGTCAGTGGTTGGAGCATTTTGGTAGGTACAGACTATTTTGTGGATTTCTTATTTTTCTTTTGCTATTTCTGGATACAAAGGCAAATTGCATTTCTCTCAGTGATTTCTTCCAGTCCTGGAATGTAATGATAGACATCTTTTAACAAGAGTAGAAAGTAATTTGTTTTCCCTCCTTAACTGCTTTAATAACTACACTGCTTTTCTCTTAAAGCTTGCCTTTCTTAGTGTGTCTAGTGTATTTCCCTGTGAATCAATTAATAGGTTAACATATATGGGAATAAAGCACAGTATAATAAGACTAAATAGAATTGTTCATATTCCGAAAATGAACACTTGTCACTATCTGGTTATTTGATACATACAGTCACAATCTGAAATTACACCATGATCCTTCTATAGCAGCACATGTATGTCATTTATCATGTTATTTGAGTGATAAAGACTTCTGCATCAGTACAGAATGCAGTTTTGTAATCTTTAATAGAACAGCAAAAAATTAAAATTTTATCCTTGTAAAACAATTTTACTATAGCATCATTAGCTGAAGCTTGGTCATCCCACAATAGGACATAATCATATAAAATAAATAGACAATAAAATAAACTCCTTTTCAAATTAATTTCTTTTAGCTGAAATTTGGGAGGTCAGCAGTGAGATTATGTGCCACAGAATAAGGATTAAATTTAGTATGGAAAGAAATTTTATTTATTTATTTATTTATTTATAAAAAATATTTATTTTTATACAAGAGCTGGGGTACAGGCCAGAGGCACGGGAGGGTGAGAGGATTCACCAGAGACAGAGCAAGGAGCAGAACAGGCAGACGACAGAAATACACTGCTAAGGGGAGCAGCGGGTGTGACAGGATAGGTCTGTGTACCATGTGGGATTCTTGCTGGCCCAGCCAGGATCGAACCCACACTGCTGAGGCTGCAGACAACTTCACAGTATGGCGCTCAACCTGCTGCACCACTGGGGAGGCCCAGAAAGAAATTTTAGAGACAACCTAGAATAACCTGAATGTCCATTAATTATTTTGATTGTGTTTTCATTGGAATAATTATTTGACATTGAAACCCTTTATTTCAGGCACTTAACAAAGGAGGGGAAATTCATATTCTCTGTAAGAATGGCACTAGTAAAATGCCTGAAAACTTTGCTAGAGGTGAGTTATTTCACATTAAACAATAGAATGGTCTCCCCTGAACCTTTTTTAAAATTTATTTTTATTTATTTATGCATACAAGGACTGGGTGTAGGCCAGAGATGCGGGGCTGGGGGCAGGGGGTTAAGAGGATTCACCAGAGACAGAGTCGAGAGCAGAACAAGTGGATCTACTGAAAGACACTGCTGAGGGGAGCAGTGAGGGAAACAGAAGAGGTCTGCTGTGCCACGTAGGTTAGCTCCCTGGTTGGGGATTGAATTCATGCTGTAGTGGCTGGTGACATCTTGATGGTGCGGAGACTTTAACTTCTGTGTCACCAGGAGGCCATTCCCTGAAACTTTGAAAGCCACTTTTTTTTTTTTATGGTGGTGATTTTTCTTAATATTTCCTATTTAAACTCAGTTTTTCTTTTCCAATAGGTTGATCCTTATTCAAAATGGGCTATTCTTAATGTCACAGGAAAAGACTTCCCTGTAAATGAAGTGTTTCCACAATTTCTTGCTGATAATCATCACCAAGTCCGCATGCTGGCTGCAACATCTATCAATAGGTATTGGTCATGTGATCCTGAAGTGTCTGTAGTGCCACAGATGGCATTGTCAGGCTAGCCCAGCCAGTCACTGGCAGTGAGGTTAAAAACAACCAGCACTTACTGAGCATGTACCCAATGCACCCCATGCCTGGCATTGATTTTTTTTTTTAATTCTGACAACTCTATCAGATTCTATTACTTTGTCCAATTTATGAATGAAAACTCTGACTCAGATTTGTAATTTGCTCCATGTCATATAACTAGTAAATATTTGAGTTGAAGAGAGATGTCTATTGTCACTTCTGTGATATATAGAATTTTTTTTTTTTTTAAAGAGGCATGTATTTTTATTTATTTATTTGTTTGTTTGTTTGTTTGTACATGCACTGGGTAGAGTCAGAAGCGCGGGAGGGTGAGAGAATTCACCAGAGCAAGAGCGGGGAGCAGAGCAGGCAGAAGGACCGAAGTACACTGCTGAGGGGAGCAGCGGGCAGCAGGAGAGGTCTGCGCGGCATGTGGGACCCTCCTCTGGTGGCCGGGGAGCAGCCGGGGATCGAGCCGGCGCCGCAGAGGCCGCGGGCAGCTTCGCAACCCAGCACTCAACCGCTGAGCCACCGGGGAGGTCCAATATATAGAATTTTTGAATAGGTGTATAGTTTTACATGAATTTGTAAAATGAAAATTTCACATTTCATATTAGATATCAATTAGATATCCTATATTCTGTTATAGGGCTCTATAACATATTTGAGTACCTAAAGAAGCAAATAATTTCTTTAGGATTACATATTTATCAACTTATTGGGTTGATCTTATTTATTCATTCATTAATTTATTTATTTATTTTTACAGATTTATTTATGCATGCATACAAGAACTGGGGTATAGGCCAGAGGTGGGGGGGGGTGAGAGGAGTCACCAGAGACAGAGTGGGGAACAGAACAGGCAGATTGACTGAAACACACTGCTGAGGGGAGCAGTGGGCGAGTCAGGAGAGGTCTGCTGCACCAAGTGGGTAGCCCCCTGGCCGGGGATCAAACTCTTGCTGCAGAGTCTGCGGATAACTTCATAGGTTGCATCTTAACCCCTTGTGCCACCAGGGAGGCCCTCAGGTTTATTTTAAAACTAAAATGCAGTCTACCTCTACCGTCTCCTTTTGCATTTCTGATACATAAATCTTTATCTACCTCTCTGCTTTATTTTTCTCTAGAGTATTTATTACCACTTGAAAGACTGCTAAATTTTAATACATTTACTTAAGATATAAGCTTCTAGAAGGCATTGGTTTTGTCTGATCTTTCACACCTTAAGCAAAACTTGGCATGCTGTAGGTATTAATAATTTGTAAAAGAAATGAATATTTGAAAAAAAATTATATGCTTTAAAAACATAAAAGCTGAAAATAATTTGAGTATACTGTTCAAATGTAAGTGACTAATAATTAAAGACCATTGTAAAGAAATTGCCTTTGTGGTCATATAAAAACTTGTGCTAGTTATCCATTGATAACTTGTGTTAGTTATCCACTGATATTGAATATGCTGCCAATAATGTTTTTGTATGTATTTTATTCCTCAGATGTGGTACTCTTGTCAGTAAGACCGTAGCTAGTATAAGGATTGCTAATGAATGTGTACTTTAAGTCTTGGAACAAGACTCAGAATGATAGTATGTCATACAGTGATTTATTTTGTCCTGTAATGTGCTTTGGAAGGTAAAGTTTAAGTTAAAAAAATTTCACCTTTGCTTTTTCATTTTATTAAAGATTATTTCAAGATATGAAACAAGGATGTTCTTTTAAGTTGTTGAAAGCACTTCCTTTGAAGCTTCAGCAAACAGCCTTTGACAACACATACTTGAAAGTTCAGGAAGGAATGAGAGAAATGGTAATTTTAGTAATGCATATTTGCTGTTATCATATGCTTTCTATAAATATGCCATATATTACTTTACCAAGTTTGGCCTAAGACAAACTGTAGTAAACAGTTTACAGTATCAAGCTGGACTAAAGCAACTGTATGAGTTGATTGACATTGCTTATTTGTAGGACAGCATTGGTAAAATAATGGCAGTTTCTTTTGGTCCAACTTTCATGTGACATTTTTGTGAGAAAAACAAAATTATGGCTTCCTTTCCTAATTAAAAGCATCTTTTGGGGTAAGATTTGATTAAAAACTAATTCAGAGAACAGATGGCCATAGGAAGATGGATTTAGAAAAATGCTGTTAACAGACTATTATATTATCTTGGTGTTTTTCACTGAACTTGTGATTTCATATATCCCTATAGAATATTTTTTCTTAAAGTGGCAAAATTGTCTTCATGTTCAAATTAATTTATTCATTTATTTATGCTTTGTAAAAAAGATGAGGCTGTTAACAGGAAAAAAAACAATTATAATAAATTAAAAAACAAAACTAACAGGCAACTATTAATGAGAGACACTCTGCAGGGGAGGGAAAGGGATCAAAACAGGGGAGGGAATGTGTTTTTACACAAGGGACTATGGTGATGGTGCACGGGTGAATTGCTAATGGGAATTTTGCAGGGACTGTACCTGAGAGGAGAAAGCATGCATTGTACAAAAAGGAGGAATGATGTAAAATATGTATATAAAAATTTTAATTTCAGGGACTGCTCAAAAAACTAAGGAGGTAATCAAGTCAAAATGAGGTCACTGGAGTAGACCTCATATCTTATATGAAGATGAGATTTAGACACAGATAGTATATAGGGGACATCTTGGGAAGACAAAGAAGATGGTCATTTATAACTAGGATTTTTTTTTTAAAGATTTATTTATTTATACAAGCACTGGGTACAGTCAGAAGCGCGGGAGGGTGAGAGAATTCACCAGAGCCAGAGCATGGAGCAGAACGGGCAGACTAACGAAGTACACTGCTGAGGGGAGCAGCAGATGCGGCAGGAGAGTTCTGCGCAGCCGGAGATCAAACCGGTGCTGCAGAGGCTGTGGGCAGCTTCACAGCCCAGCGCTAAACTGCTGTGCCACCAGGGTGGCCCTGTACGTAGGATTTTAGAATAAACTAATTCTGCTGATGCCTGGATCTTGAATCTTCAGCCTTTAGAATTGTTAGAGAATAAGTTTCTGTTGAATCAAAAAAAGAAAAGGAAAAAAGGATGGGGCAGTTTAATTAAATGACTAGTCTGTGATAGCATACAACTGATAAGGACAATTGCATGAAAGTGAATTAAAAAAATTCAATAGGTTGGAAAGAAGAGTATAAATACTATAAAATTTAATAGATGACATATATTATGCATTTTAAAATGGCCCAACCACTATGGAGAGCTGTGTGGAGATTTCTTGACCTACTAAACATAGAGCTTCCATATGATCCAGCAATTCCACTCCTAGGTATTTACCCAAATGACACAGAAACAGTAATTCCAAAGGGCACCTGCACGGCTATGTTTATAGCAGCACTATTTACAATAGCTAAGATATGGATACAACCCAAATGCCCAAAAATAGATGACTGGATGTGAAGTAGATGTGGTACATATACACCATGGAATATTACTCAGCATTCAAAAAAGATAAACACATGCAGTTTGCAGCAACACGGATGGAGCTAGAAGGGATCATGCTCAGCGAAATAAGTCAGAAAGAAAAAGAAAAATACCCGATGGTCTCACTCATAGCAGGAATTTAGAAAACCTAAATAAGGGACAGGAAAAAGACTAATTAATACAAAGTAATAATCAAAATAAGCAAGCAACTATAAACCAGAGATACACTATGGGGGGAGGGGGTAGGAGGGAGGGACAGGGAGAGGAAGAACTCGAGTCAAAATAAGGGGGAGGGGTGCAATTGTATGGGGAATATAACCAAAATGAAAATACATACATTGTGCAAAGAAAAATGATGTGAGAATTATATAAAATAAAATATTTAAAAAAAAAATCAGTCTGTCACATGCAAAAAGGGAAACTGTTGGCCTGACAGCAGTTCTTTTGAAAAAAGACTTACAAATTTTTACCTCTCAAGAACACAATACAAATCAGCATTGTAATGGTTATCAAAAAAAGCATATTCTGTCTTGGATATATTAATGGGAGGATAGCTATAACTAACAAATTGATAAAAAGAACTTTTGATCTTGTTTGTTTTGGAGAACAGCTAGCTTGTTGGGTTTGATTCCGACTAAAAGTAGAACAGTTTCTTCAACTAGGATGTTGGAGTGTGTAGATGGATCTGACTTACTAGAAATACCTTGTAGCCATTATCAAACGTTTCAAGGGTTGACATTTACAGAAGGAATTAAATCCTTTTGTCTCTTGTACAGAAAGCTGGGACTAATGAGGAGAGTTTTCTAAATGTGAAGAGAAATCTCTATTAAGTATAGCTAGTAAAAAAACAAAAGGATGTGGTAAGGGGAGAGCTCTGATGTCCAAATCTGAAGGGAGAAGTCCTGTATTGTCAAAATATTAACAAGGATGTAAAACAGTGGTACTTCATTAATTAAAAAAAAATGCATCTGTTGGAATATTATAATGATTGATCATTAAACTAGAAGCATTATCATTCTGTGTAATTGCTGATTCTGTTGTTCCCTTTGATAATATTTTAACAGTCTTTTAAAAAGTATGAAGAGGTATAATGATACTAAGCATCTTAGAAATACAGTTGGTAGTTGAAGAGAAGCTGTTAAGCTCAGTTACCTCCTTATAATTTCTTTTTTATTTTTTTTAAAGTGCTTTATATTGACTGAAATTCCTGGCATTTCTTTTCAAAAGATCTTATCAAAAGTAGTGTTTATCTACTTTTAGGTCCATCACTTTAGGATTTCAAACTGGTCAGTGCTTAGGTGTTGTCAAGGTATACTTTGATTTTAGCCTTATTAGTTTATTTGTAATGTTTAAATACTTACAGTATTGTTTTTTAAATTCCTTTGCAGTCCCAGAGAGCTGAGAATGATGAACTTTTGGATGAGATTTATAATAGAAAATCTCTTTTATTGATGATGATAGCTGTGGTTTTATGCTGTAGCCCTGTCTGTGAAAAACAGGCTCTGTTTGCTCTGTGTAAGTCTGTGAAAGAGAATGGATTAGAACCTCACCTCATTAAAAAGGTACATGTGAATCACTATTTTTCATTATGGTCTTCCTTGAGTAACATTTAAATGGTTAAAAAAGTTAAAGCTAGATTTTTAAAGTGGTGCTTATTAAAAACTTGGAGACAGTTTTGTTTTACAGATTTCGGAATGCTGTTAAGCAGTAACTCTTTAAAAAGTATAAAAGTAGGTTTATATACAGTGTCATTTCATACATTCAATTAAAAAGCATTTCACAAGGCAGTGATGAAACTGACAATAGTGAATGACCTGTGGGTGTGCAGATCAGGCCCGCTGGAATAGCCTGTACTGAGGGAAACATGGGTAAAAGGGAGTAGCAAGTGTTTTGCCTGATGGCTCCTGAGGCAGGGCACTGGGATCGAGCAAATCCAGAAGCCAAATTTTAGAGCTGTGAGGCTTTTAATTTGCATGATTTGGGGAGGAAGACTTGGGTTCAACCTTACAATTATATCAGCAAAAAAATGTGGGATGCTCTTCCCTGGCCTGTTCCACCCCCTCAGCAATGATGCTTTGGGAAGTTCCAAACCTTTCCATTGTGGATGTTTACAGGATAAACCAGTGATAGACCAGTAGCTTGATAGACCTTTCCTCAGTCTACCAGCATGTTTTCCATGTACATGTGACCTAGTCATTGGTCTCATGTTAATCTTTGATTCCTTTGTTAAATAAGGGGAATATAGTGTTTGGATTTTTCTTACTCACATCTTGGACTGAAAAGAATTATTTTACTTTAGAATCTTCCTCTGAAATATAATCAAATGTGGAAAATTATAGCATTTTCCCATTTTTTTTCATTTTACAGTTGGTACAGATTTGATGTGTGCCAAGCACAGTGCCAATGATATTTAAATACATCTTTTCATTTAGCCATCTCATGGGTGAGGAATTCATGGTATAGAATGCTTAAAAATGAATGCTTCAAAGTTATACTGTATATAAACATTAGCAGGGATTTGGATGTTATTGTTTTGTTGATTTTTAAAAAAACTATTGACTTCTTTTTGATTTACAGGTTTTGCAAAAAGTTTCTGAAACTTTTGGATATAGACATTTAGAGGACTTCATGGCTTCTCATTTGGATTATCTGGTTTTAGAATGGCTGAATCTTCAAGATACTGCATACAGATTATCTTCTTTTCCTTTTATTTTATTGAACTACACAAGTGTTGAGGATTTCTATAGGTAGGCTTATTTATGGTACATGTGATAAATATTTAATTTAAAATTAGGTATGACCTTCTATCCGCTCCTCTCTTTCTCTCCACCCTTCTCCTGCCCTGCTCCCCTCCTCTCCCCTCTTCTCCCCTCCCCTCTTCCTGATATTGGCTTATAACACTTCTCCTTAGATGCCTATCACTACACCATACCCACCACCCAGACACCTACAGACCTCCACCATACTCCATTACACTAGAAGATATTTAAAATCCCTTTCAGTTTTGATATTTGATAATCTTGCTTTTGAAAAATCAACAATAAATTACTAATCATTTCTACATTTTTCTTTTCTGTTACTTGTCTATAAGCCATTTAATCATTATTTCTGTTGGATTTAAAGTTTAATATACTTGCTTTGGAGAAGAAAATTTTGAAAGTGAAGAGGTTTAAAAACAACTAGAAAGTTAGGTATCAAGATGATGGAATGTAGTTCACAATTGTTTAGTGACCCTTATTGTCTGTTCATTTGGCTATAACAATATTTACATTTATTCTTTGAATTTATAAGTCACTTTCATTTTATAATGCTTTTGCATAAATTGATTATGCAAAAAAAAAGAATTCCATTTCTAATTTTTTTAATCACAGAATTAGGGTTATATAAGTACTCTGTTTTTATGTGACCATTTTTTCAAGATTTATTTATTTATGCATACAAGAGCTGGGGTATAGGCCAGGGGTGCAGGGAGTGAGAGGATTCACCAGAAACAGAGTTGGGGAGCAGAACAGGTAGATCTGCTGAAATACACTGCTGAGGGGAGCAGTAGGTGAGACAGGAGAGGTCTGCTGTGCCATGTGGTTTAGGTCCCTGCTGGCTGGGGATCAAATTGGTGCTGCAGTGGCTGGCCATAGCTTGATAGCCCTGTCTTTAACCCCTGTGCCACCAGGGAGACCCATTATGTGACTTAGCTTCATTTCATAATTTATAGAATTAGAGTAAGAATGTTTAATGATTCAGATAAAGTGATATTCTTATGCTCAATAAAGCACTTTATTATTTTGAGAACTATATTATAAAATTTTACTTTGCAAAGTTATATATATATAAAATTTTCAAATTTTGTATTTTTAGATCTTGTTATAAGGTTTTGATTCCTCATCTGGTGATTAGAAGTCAATTTGATGAGGTGAAGTACATTGCTAATCAGATTCAAGAGGATTGTAAAAGTCTTCTCACAGACTGCTTTCCAAAGATTCTTGTAAACATTCTCCCTTACTTTGCCTATGAGGGTTCTGGAGAGAGTGGGATGGCGCAGCAAAGAGAGATTGCTACCAAAGTCTATGATATACTTAAAGATGAGAACTTATTGGGAAAACAGGTATGGCTTCCACTATTACCTACATTTTAAGCCCTCACTGGTCTTACATGTAATTGGAACATCTTAAGTAGACTTAGCAGTATATTTTAGAGATCTGACATCTTTGTTATGTCATTTTTGGTCATCGTCTATAGTCACTGAATAAATTTGGAAATGAGGCAAGAACATTAGCCCCTTGAGCTATCTTAAAGATCACAGGTACACAAACTTAAATATATTTTCATTTTGTCCTTGCAGATGGATCACTTATTCATTAGTAATTTACCAGAGATTGTGGTGGAGTTGTTGATGACGTTACACGAACCAGCAACTTCCGGTGGCAGCCAAAGCACTGACCTCAGTGACTTCTCAGGGTATGGGCATTTTCAAGTTGGGGAATTAGCTGCAATTTCAGAAGTTTCTTGGGAGATTTATTGGTTGACATCTTCCACTGGGTATTTCAGTTTCTAGGTACATACTCTGCTTTTGCATTCTGTTTCTTTAAAAATAACTACCTTCGATTGAAGTAATGACTATTTGCTTCTACTGGTGTCTCTCTATGGTAATTGCACTTTCTAGTTTGATCCCCTGGTTTGCAAATCCAGGACCTCTTTGTTCCTGACCTCTCTGTAATCTTTGAGCATTGTGCCATCTGTTTTCTGTTGAAATGTTCTTCATTGTTTCTTTGTTCTCTTCTCCTTATTCATGACTTGCATTTTGAGATCTCCTTTTCTTTATCATGTTCCTTAGCTATCAGAATCTTACTGTGCTACAGTTTAATTTGGATGTAAAACCTGGTTGTGAATGTTGGAGTTATTTTTCCAGCTTGCCTGTAAGCTACTTGAAAGCACACCAACTTTTTTTATATACCTCACAGTGCTATGCACGTAAAATAGTAGTATCTATGGTATGGATTGCTGTGTCTTAAAATTGTATTGGACTGTACTGTTAACATAGGGCTTTAATTCAGACCTGAAGGGAAGTGATACTAAGACTTATTTGTGGATTTGCCATAACTGGATAAAAGATTTTTTTTTTTTTTAATAGAGGCATGTTTTATTTATTTATTTGCTTGTTTGATTTGTTTATACATGCACTGGGTACAGTCAGAAGCACGGGAGGGCGAGAGAATTCACCAGAGCCAGGGCAGGGAGCAGAGCAGGCAGAAGGACCGAGGTACACTGCTGAGGGGAGCAGCGGGCGGCAGGAGAGGTCTGCGCCGTCATGTGGGACCCTCCTCTGGTGGCCGGGGAGCAGCCAGGGATTGAACCGGCGCCGCAGAGGCCGCGGGCAGCTTCGCAACCCAGCACTCAACCGCTGCGCCACCGGGGAGGCCCCTGGATAAAAGGTTTTTTAAGTAAATCATTTAAAATTAAGTCTTAGATGGTAAAGGTGTTGAGATATTCTGGTTGATGTAGATAGACTGATAAGTCACTTGTGATTTTGAAAGTGTAGTTCTTCAATAGAAAAATAATTTTAAAATCTGGAGTTATTAACAGTCTAAATTTTCATTTTAGAAGTTCAATGATCTATCAACAAAACCTTATTTTGTGGGTTTTTTTTTTTGTTTTTTTTTTTGATAATTTTGTTCTGACAATGATTGCATTTTTTTTCCTGTAACTTTCAGGGATTTAGATCCTGCTCCTAATCCACCTCATTTCCCATCACATGTTATCAAAGCAACATTTGCCTATATCAGCAACTGCCATAAGACTAAGCATAAAAGCATTTTAGAAATTCTTTCCAAAAGCCCTGTAAGTACACGTTACGATTATAACTCAGGAGACTTTCTTTTTTTTTTTTTTTTTTTAATATTATTATTATTATTTTTAAAGATTTATTTATTTATTTATACAAGCACTGGGTACAGTCAGAAGTGAGGGAGGGTGAGAGAAATCACGAGAGCCAGAGCAGGGAACAGAATAGATAGCTGACGAAATACACTGCTGAGGGGAGCAGCGGGCGGCAGGAGAGGTCTGCACACCATGTGGGATCCTCGCCCAGTGGCCAGGGATTGAACCGGCGCTGCTGAGGCTGCGGGCAGCTTCGCAGCCCAGCGCTCAACTACTGCGCCACCAGGGAGGCCCATCAGGAGACTTTCTTATTTTTAAGCTAGAAAATCTGTGTAAGTGCATCTTGAGAAAAAAGTAAATAAGTGAAAATAAATGAAGAAATGCTTTCATTTGCAACTTTATTTCTTGCTATTTTACTAAGTATTAATTGAATTCATTTTTAATTATAATGTATTACATGTGAGGCATGAATTTTGTGATACTATGGTCATGTATTAACTCAGGAATATAATATATATGCTATTTAATTATAGTGTACTACAAATTAGACAGTTGTTTTAAAAGTTTGAGATAGTTATTTTCTTAATGTTAAACTATGCATTTGATATCAAGTCCAGAATGAAATTCTACAATTTGGTTGTTTGGAATATAGAGTGTATTTACTATAACTGAATACATGTGATTACTTAAGTTTTTACTAAATATGTATTTATTTTCTAGGATTCCTATCAGAAAATTCTTCTAGCTATATGTGAACAAGCAGCTGAGACAAATAATGTTTATAAAAAGCACAGAATCCTTAAAATATATCACTTGTTTGTTAGTTTATTACTGAAAGATATAAAAAGTGGCTTAGGAGGAGCTTGGGCATTTGTTCTTCGAGATGTTATTTATACTTTGATTCATTACATCAATAAAAGGTAAATAAAATATTTAGGCCAATATATAAGTAGTTTTTATACCCTATTATTTTAATTGAAAATGTATATGCTTCTAAGAAGTAAAAGCCAAAGTATTGTTTCTGAATTTTGCTTTTTAAATATTTGTTGTATTTACGTATTACTTAAAAAAAAAAATGTATAACTACTCCATCTCTAGAAACCTTAAACATTAAGGGTCTTTCACATTTTAAATAAAATATTCTCATTTTAGATGACCTGAAATGTGTGTTACAGTAGCATTTCTGGTTACCAATTCCACACACACATCCAAGAGTTCTCTGGCATTAGCTGGCTGTTTTATCATTCACCTCAATTCTGACACCATCTATTCAGAGATAGTGTCAGATCCCACAGGTGAAGGTCTCAGTCCTACAAGACTGATATTGTTTTCATTGCTTTGGGGTATATACCAAGGAGTAGTATTGGGTGAGGGGGCATATAATAATTCTTTATTTATTTCTGTTTTCCGTGGTGAATAAGGTCTGCTTTGCTCCCTCCAGAGCCAAGGGCCAGGGTCCCCCATTAGGAATGGGGACTGCAACTTTTATGACTGCTTCCGAGTTGGGGAGAGTGGTGGGGCTTGGTTGATTAAAATCCCCATAAAACTTTCCTGTATGTTTAAAGTTGCCTTTTCCTTGATTCACTGTTTGCTTGATTGCTGAAAACCTCTGGTTGTTTTATAGAGTTCTGAGGAAGTTCTGACAGTTCAATGTTTCTGTCAGGCTGGGAGCTTAGAACTGCCTACTCTGAAATTTTGCTGTCACTTCTCTTTTTGGCTTTAAAACTATTAAGGGATTGATATAAAAGTGGCTTTTATGTGAAGCCACAGCAAAGTTAGAGATGCTAAATAAAAATGACTTTTGCAGGAATTTATATCAAAGTAGTTTTCTAGAACTTACTATTTTTTTCCCTACATTAGGCCTTCTCATTTCATGGATGTGTCATTGCGTAGCTTCTCCCTTTGTTGTGACCTGTTAAGCCGGGTTTGCCGCACGGCTGTCACTTTCTGTAAGGATGCTTTAGAAAACCATCTTCATGTTATTGTTGGGACACTTCTACCCCTTGTGGGTGACCAGATGGAGGTTCAGGAAGAGGTAATTCCCCACATTTCATAATGATAATTGAAATACATTGATAAAGTTACTCTTGGAAGTTGCTGGGAGTACTGTGCTTACTTGATGTAATTTTAGTGAAAATATTCCTCATAATGGCTAAAAAAGTGTTGTCAGTAAATCATTTAATTACAGATCACTTAATAATTTTGAACTAATAAATAACCCAATGGTTTCTGTCTTTTATGGTAAAGTGTAGATGTAGTCAACACTTCATTATGACTGTGTGAGGTAGTGCATATGAAAAATATTTCAGTAATATCTGCCTTTCTGTATTTCAGTGGCGAATCTGTAGTAACTCCTCATGTATCTGTTGAATAATTTGAAAGCACAAAGACAGTAATAGTTGGGTACTTTAGATGTAATTAGACATTTCATCTGAACTCAGTTTATAGAATTTTTGTCATTTATTACAATGGGCTTGGTTATATTTTGCTTTAAAATAAAAATTAAATCATGTCTCCCTTTTGACTTTCTTTTTTAATTATCTTTAGGTATTGGACTTGTTGAAATACTTAGTGATTGATAACAAGAATAATGAAAACCTCTATCTCACAATTAAACTCTTAGATCCTTTTCCTGACCATGCTGTCTTTAAGGATCTGCGTATTACTCAGCAGAAAATCAAATACAGTAGGGGACCTTTTACACTCTTGGAGGTAATAAATTTTCCGTTATTTTACTATTTTGTATTAGAGAACATAGACAGTAGTACTTTTTGAAAACCTGTAATGCTCTGAGTGAAAACCTGTAATGCTCTTTTTTGATTAAATAAAACAAGCTCTCATGTAACAAACAACTGAATGTTATAGCCTCTCACATTGCAGTAAAAATATTAATAGTAAAGTTTCTTAGTAAACTTTGAATATGGATGAAATGTGTCATAAAGTAAGCTTGATTTTCAGTGTACATCAAGATCCATTATTTCAACATTATCATCTGATCCTTGGAGGGACAATTTATTTATTTATTTTTTATTTAAATATTTTATTTTATATAATTCTTACATCTTTTTTCATCTTTGCACAATGTATGCATTTTCGTTTTGGTTATATTCCCCATACAATTGCATGGAGGGACAATTTAATGTTTGCAAAGGAGATGATATTTAAGTTTTAAAGAGTATTTTAAGTTTGAATCCTGTTTCAACCCATTTGAAATTAATAATATCTCTGTCCAGGTATATTTTTCCCTACAAATCTTACTATATAATTTTAAAATTATGCTCTCTGTTTGACTATATATCTATGAAAATGTGGTTAAATTTATTAAGATATAGAACTAATTAAAGTACTAAAAAAATAGAAATATGAGCTTTTTCCCAAGTATGCTATAATAACCTTAAAATCTGTATTATCATGAGAGAATCTATTAATATTTAAAATGATTAAAACACTGTAGGATACAAAATGGAAGAAAAATTTATTTCCACCTTGTTTGGTAGTAATAGTGATTCGTTATTATCTGTAAAAGGCACTCAGTTTTTTCTTTTATTGCTTCCCTCATAGACTTAACCAATATATATCAAAAGCCAGTTACATTTTTAACTAATTTCTCTTTTAGGAAATTAACCATTTTCTCTCAGTGAGTGTTTATGATGCACTTCCATTGACGAGGCTTGAAGGATTAAAAGATCTCAGAAGACAACTAGAACAACATAAAGATCAGATGATTGATCTTATGAGAGCATCTCAGGGTACTAATTTAATGACATGGTTATTTGTACCTGTTCTTTAAATACTCTTGTGAATTCTTGCTCTTGGTTTACTTGGCCATGGACTTAATTTAGATCCTACCTGTTTAGTTCATACCTGCATCACCTGTATCACTTTCTAAGTGGTCTCTTCCACTTTAACTACTCTTATTTAATCCAACCTCTTTATACCTCTGCCAAAATGATTTCTCTAAACCAAATGTAATAATGCGATTCTACTACTCAAAAAATTTTACTTCCTAGTGCCTAAAAAATTGGAATTGTTTAGAGTCAAAGCATGCAAGATTATATCTCTGTCTATTCTTCTAACTTCCTTAGATAAATGTGTCTCATTTTAAGCCTCTTAGCCATGTACATATGTATATGAATATGTGTTGGGTGTGTATATGTATATATGTGTGTGTATATATACACACATACATATATGAATAAGTATTTCTAGCTTTTTTCCAACATAAGAACACAACCATATTTATGTTAATTTGATTTATTTCCCTTTTGACTTTCATCTTTTAGTACCCATTAATTTCATATTTATATTGTTATTTTTATCAGTACTTTTGAAAGCTAATTTTTATTTTGACCATTTGAACTCAGTTTCTAGTGAACTTGTTTTCAGCTATCTTTATAACATCATAAATATATAATATCTATAGACAATAAATGTACATAATAACTACAGAACATAGATACACACATAAAATGTGAACACCTCTGTCTCCTTTGGGTATTTTATTGGCCTTGACCTGTCTTGTCCAATATAGCCACTAGTGTTTAAATTTAAATGAATTAAAATTTAATAAAATTTAAAATGCAAATTCTTTACCATACTAGCCAGTCATGCTCTCGATAGTAACAGGTGACTTGTGACTGTTATTGGACAATACAGATTATATTGTCTGTATATAATCTGCAAGATTATATACAGAAGTTCTGTATATAATCTGCCAGAAGTTCTGTTGGGTGTGCTAGTCTAGACTAAATGCTAGCTAGAGGTTAGTAAACCAAGTATGCTCCCAAGACCCTTTCTTGTAATGTTGAATGACTCCTGTGTTTCTGTTTGTGATTTTGCTAAGGTATGGACTTCTCTGAACAATTTACTGCTCTTCTCTTATCCATGGTTCTGTTTCCTAGGGACGTTCATACACATTCAGTTCGTGTTTTGAACTGTTCATGATTTGAAGCCTTTTTTAGAAAATGATATACAAGTTTCCCAGTCTGAAAAGTTAATATATAAGCATGTGTTAAGTGTTGGCTCCATGATAGTTTAAACTAATTTATTCAAAACTGCTCCTAGATAACCCGCAAGATGGCATAATGGTGAAGTTAGTCATCAGCTTGCTGCAGTTATCCAAGATGGCAGTGAACCACACTGGTGAAAGAGAAGTTTTAGGTAAACAATTTGGCTGAATGAATGAATTTTTTGTTTGAGTGGTCACCTTAGGAAAGTTGGAAATGTCTATTTGTACTAGGGTACTTCCCTTTTTGTTAAATTTTTTATTGAAATATATCTTACAGAAAAGTACACAGATCATAGATATGTTAACTTGGAGAATTTTTGCAAACAGAACACACCTGTATATATAGCTCTCAGATCAAGAAACATTACTTTTCCAGCACCCTAGAAGTTTACTTTGACCAAGGAATTTATCCCTTTGTCCCTAAGAGCATTGCTTCTGGGGACAAACCCCACTTATACAGGAAGCTATGTGACTTTATTACATAGCATAAAATCTTACTGTTTTGTGCCCACATCTTATCTCCTATTTAATGGTGAAACACTGAATACTTGTCCCTCAAATCAGGACTATGGCAAGGTTGTGCACTTTTACCACAGGTCTTCAGCATTACACTGGTGCTTCCAGCCAGGGCAAGCCAATGAGAAAAAGAAATAAAAAGCATCCAAATTGGAAAGGAAGAAGTAAAACTACCTCAGTGAAAGGTGACATGAACATATATTTAGGAATTCCTGTAGAGTCTGCAAGAGAGCTATACTTGCAGGATACAAGATGACCACAAAATTCAATTGTATACCAGTAAAGAACACTCTGAAATGGGAATTCCATTTTATCTATAATTCCCTTGACAGTAGCATTTAAGAGAAATAAGAACCCAAGGATAAGTGTAATCAAGGAGGTAAAAGATCTGAACATACGTTATTTGTTAGAAGTGAGTCAGTAAATATATGTAGCCCCTGTTCAAGGGGAGGGGAATTAGGCTTCACCTTATGAAAGAAGGACTGTCAAACAAATTGTGATGGATTTGAATCAGTTCTGCTATGACTGGGAAAGAGCATGGGTGGGTCCTCTGGCATGTTGAAAACGTTCTATATTCCTGCCAGTAGTGAGAACAAGTGGAAAAAACAGTAAATGCATATTTGAATTTTCACTGAACTGTGTGCTTAAGAGTGTGCAGCACCTAAAAAATGTTTTAAGAATTTATTAATAATCTCATATAGTGGTTATTTTATCCATCCTTAATATTTATATTCTGTTACTAATTAATCTGTCTCTTGGATATGGTTTTATGGGAGGAAATATCTGTTGCCCACCTAGGTGATTTCTAAAAAAAAAAATACAGTATTCTGAAGTTTCTTCTACCTATTCAAAATATTTGAAGTAATATGAATCTGGAAAGATGCCTAAATGCCATTGTATATTTGAAATTAGATAGTTTGTTTTATGTAAGATCTCTTAGCTATAACTACTAAAATAGAATTTCTGTATATAGAGGCTGTCGGAAGCTGCTTGGGAGAAGTGGGTCCTCTCGATTTCTCTACCATAGCTATACAACATAGTAAAGATACATGCTATACCAAGGCCCTTCAATTATGTGAAGATAAAGAAGTTCAGTGGACCTTCATAATGCTCACCTACCTTAATAATACACTGATAGAAGATTGGTGAGTATTTAGTAATACTTTTATTGATAGCAGTTACTTAAAATCTCATATGCTAGGAGAATAATTTCCCATATAAATTAACATTTCCAGTAACTAAAGCTTTCTCCTTTAAATTGACATGCCTTTTTAATCTCAGGTATTTAATGAATATCATCTTTTTTTTAATTCACATAATCACTGAAACCTTGTTATGTGCCAGCCACTTGATAGCGATAAACTTATCAGACTGTGTTAAAATCTGTGTTAAGTTCTAGTGAGAGCAGACTAGATAAACAATAAGAAATCTGTTAGGTGGTTCTACACAGAATGTTAAGATGGGAGAAGATGTATTTGAGGCACTTATCAAAATCAGAGCTGCCACTCTACTCTCAATGAGACTGTTTTGATCTTTTTATTTTTTTTTCAAAGATTTATTTATACAAGAACTGGGGTACAGGTCAGAAGCACAGAAGGGTGAGAGAACTCACCAGACACAGAGTGGGAAACAGAACAGGCAGACGGACCAAAGACATTGCTGAGGACAGCAGCAGGTGAGGCAGGAGAGGTCATCCACGCCATGTGGGTTTCTCCCTGGCCGGTGGGGCATCGAACCGGTGCTGCGGACAGCTTCGCAGCACGGCACTCAACCGCTGCGCCACCGGGGAGGCCCTGTTTTGATCTTTTTAGAAATAAGTTATAGAGCAGAAATTTCATGCCTCTGAAAGTCTTAAACTGATCAGACAGGGTTTTTCCTTTCCCATTCTCTATTCAAAACACAATTGAAACAGATATTATAATTTCACCTTGCTGGTATGAAATTATTTTTGCTTTCTATTACCCTTTTCCCACTTACCCACTTATTTTTCATATATTTTAGCACCCCTTCAACCTGTTCTCGGCATGGTAGGTTCAAATGATTTTTGCCCACAACTGTACATCTTTCTAAAGTAAATGTGTGTTTTGCATTTGTTTCCCCCCCCCCTTTTTTTTTAAAGATTTATTTATTTTTTTATACAAGCACTGGGTACAGTCAGAAGCATGGGAGGGTGAGAGAATTCACCAGAGCCAGAGCGGGGAATGGAACAGGCAGACTGACTAAATACACTGCTAAGGGGAGCAGCGTGCGCGGCAGGAGAGGGACCCTCGCCAGTGGCCGGGGATCGAAAGGGCGCTGCAGAGGCTATGGGCAGCTTCGCAGCCCAGCACTCAACCGCTACGCCACCAGGGGAGGCCCTGTTTTCCCTTTTCTTAGGGAGTAAATGATTGGCTGTATGTCTGCCTACAGTGCTGTTACTGTTGATTTAATGAACATGTATCTTTCTCTTATTGTTGTTATTGTAATAAAAAGGCTGGCACCGTTTCTTTCCCAACGTTGTATTATAAAAATTTTCAAACATCATAAAATTGTAAGAATTTTACAATAAATACTTGTCTATCATCTATCTATCTAGCATTAATATTTTACTACTATCCTTGCTTTCATCTCTAGCCATCCTTCTATCCACTTATTAAGCCATGTCATTTATGTATCTCAGTGTATATCTGGCATAGCTCTTGAAGAGATTTTCCAGAGAAAATGTGCAAGCATTAAGTGTTACATTTGTTACATAGAAATTTGCAATGGCTGTTCTGAAAAAGGTGCACAGAACTATTAGTGTGACTTCAATTTGAGAACAGTAGGGAACAGGTCCCATTTGTTTTTCCTGTCTTTTTTTAGAGGAAAAAATCATTACACGTATAGGGGGCTTTGGGTGTACAAAGGACAGGTTGACCAAGTTGTTCCCAGAATAGCTGGTTATGGATGACTTCTTGAGGTCAAGTGCCACCTAGATGAACCACCAGGAATTGGCTGAAAGATGATTTTTTTTTTAATTATTTGGGGGTTGCATTTTTGTTCTTCCATATGTGCACATGTTCCACTCACTCTCCACCAAACCATCCTGCCAATGCCCCATGAAAGATGATTTAGGATACAAATCATAGCTAGATGATTTGCTAGGCAGGGAATAGCAAGAGCGAAATAAACTTGCTGTGTTTGAGGAACAGAAAGAAGATGGTGCAAAGAAAAATGATGTGAGATGAAATTAGAAAGGTAGGACTAGATCTGATTAAGGAATTTGGATTTTATTTAAAATATTTAAGGAAGTATGGAATTTTCAGCAAAGCAGTGTCATGTCACAACTTACATTTTTACTTCAGCTTTTTAAATGGCAAATGGATCATGATGGGTATTGTGAAAAACAAGGACTGCCGGTGAAGCTATTGTAGTAGTCTGTGGGGGAAGTGATGGTGACCTCAGTGAGGAGGAGATGAAGCATTATGGAAGCAGAGCGTGCTTTTAATATAGAGCGAGCAGGACTTGCTGAGGAATTAAACAGGGAGGAGTGAGGGAAAGAGCGGAATGGAAGATCAATGCAAATTTACGGTTCATGTGTCTGGGTCTTATATTGAGAAACCTAAAAGGGATTAAGTAAGCCTTTACCCTCCCTGGCTGCCTAGGGGTTAAGTCTCAGTGCTATCACCAATAGGCCTGAGTTCTATACTGGCCAGGGAGCTAAGCCACATATGGCACAGCAGATCTTTCCTCTCTTGCCTGCTGTTCCCCTCAGCAGTGTATTTCAGTAAATCCACCTGTTCTGCTTCCCACTCTGTCTCTGGTGAATGCTCTCACTCCCCCACAGCTGTGGCCTACACCCCAGTTCTTCTATGTAAAGAAAAGTAAGCCTTTACTTGGCAGCTCATCCTCATTTACAGTATGAGCTTTATGGCAATTCTTGACAGCTGTCACACTGTTAGTGCTCTGGTTAGTTCAGTCTTCCTTTCTTTCCTTTCCTCTAGTTTTTGTAAAAGAACCTTCAATTTATTTTTTTAGTGACTTTTAGATGTTTTCCTAATGATTTTCAACTCACTTCTACTCAGAATAAGTATATACTTCTGTCTAAAAGTATTCTAGATCATTGTTCTAGAATAATGTTCAAGACAGTTCTAGCCATTTTGCCCTACCCCAAATTATTTGTATCTCTTATATTATCAAAAATTACTTTCTTAGGTGAATTAGTATTCTTTCATTCTCTCTACTAATTTTTTTCTGTCTGTTTTGAAATATGTCTTATGAGTCCTTCTTAACTTATAGTAGTTATAAAGGAAACTACTGTAGTGAATGAAGGGAATTGCTGTTGCCCCCATGAGTAATTCAAGTTTACTAAGAAATATTAAAAGTCCTTTGATTACTTTGGATTTGATGTTATAGAATTTTATTGATAAATATAAGGATTTCCTATTAAAAAAAGAAAAATTTCCCAAAAGAAATTTTAAATTTTAAATTTTAATTTTTTCATTGGAAAAAATCATCAAGATTAATAGTTTTGTAGACATTTGAATTGTATCTGCTTTTTAGTGTCAAAGTGCGATCAGCTGCTGTTTCCTGTTTGAAAAGCATTTTGGCCACAAAGACTGGACATCGTTTCTGGGAGATTTACAAAGTGACCTCGGATCCCATGCTGATCTATCTACAGCCTTTCAGAACATCGAGAAAAAAGGTCTTTCAAGCAATAAACGTTTATTGAATGCCTCCTATATCTAGAACAGTTCTATTTGTTGTGAGTTATGAAGACCAAGTTGCTTAAATGATATTCTACTTTCTTAAAAGTAATTCCAGCTGCATTTTTTGTATTCAAAAGATGTGCTTTTTTACTATGGCAGCATGGAAGAGCAGAAATAGGTAGTAGAGATAGAGAAGTAATGGCTGAGTTGGGGGGACAGTTCTTAAGGACTGGACTTTTTTTCTTAGGAGTAGAAAGGCCTACTTCTATCCCATTGAGCAAGTGTTTATTTCCAATAAGCAAGTGTTTATTTCCATAGCAAGTTAGAGTATCACAGCCCCTAGTGAAATATAAGGTGACCTCTGGAGTTCTCCCTTTTCCATGTTGATTATCAAGGTTCTGTGGAAAGTTCTCTCTGAAAGATGTTTTAAGAATTCTTGCTTCTCCTTTAGTCTAAGCATTCTTTTTAAATATTTTATTTTCATAAAGTGACGGGGAAATATATAGTTGAATTGTCATCAATTTAATAGCAGCATAAACTCATCTTGGAAATAGTACTTTTAAATATATCATAAATATAACTTTGGGGTTCGCTGAAATGACTACTAACTTAAACTGTTAATAAAACTGGCACTATAACCTGTAAAGTACTATAGGTTTAAAAGTTTTAAAATCTCACTTCTTGAAATCAATTCTGTGTGTTAGATTTAGATTTGAACTGGCTTTGTACCAGAGAGGCAAGGCAGACAGTTTGTGATTCATATATTATACTAATAGTGAGCTGAGAGTAAGGCTCCCATTTCCTGTTGTCTACACCAGTCATTTTTTACATACCACTCTGTCATTAAACAAATGTATTTTAATTTAAAAGGTAGCCATTGCCTCCATTTAGTTTTGCCTATATTTGTTTTATTTGAAATAGGTTTGTTTATGTTTGTTTTGTGTAGGGAGAGTAAAATGTATTTCTAATTAGCTTATTTACATTTTTGAATCTCTTTCTAGTTTTTAGAAGTACCCAGACTTGACAAAGAAAACCCTTTAGAAACTTTGGATGATACAAGCCTGTGGATTCCGCAAAATGAAAATCATGACTCTTGGATAAAGACATTGACTTGTGCTTTTCTGGACAGTGGGGGCACAAAAAGTGAAATTCTTCAATTCTTAAAGCCAATGTGTGAAGTAAGAACATTCATTAATTTGGCTTAATCCCTTTCTACCTCTGCTTGTTTCCTTTTAAGCTTTTTCTTTAGTACTAGTTTTTTTTGCTTGCTCCATCCCATGGTCTCTGTGTATGTGGCCTCTGCCTACAGTGCGCTGGGTGGTGGGTGGTCTTGGCCTCTGATTACAGGGTGGTGGGGTCTCCGTGCAGCATCTCAGAATGCAGTTGTAGCTAGGCAGGCAGGCCTTCTTTATTTAGTTGTAATGGTAAGCAGTGGGATTCCACTGGGGGGTAGGGTAGCTGCATACCAGATGGGTCCGCATAGGGGCCTTGAATAATTTATTACCATAGTTAAAATACTAATGATAGCAATTTCTTTTATTAACCAAAAGTCTGACTTTTTGCCTCTTCTCATAAGATCAGCGTCATTTACTTTCCCTGATTGACTTTCTGCAGTGAGAAAAAGGTGGGGAAGTCTTTAGCCATGCTTTTTTATTTTTGAAGGTATTATACAGTTTTTTCAGTAGTGTAAAGTTCAGTAGTATAAATGTTTTTATCAAATGTGTCATCTAAAACTGCACAATATGATAATGCCCTAAAGGCTTAAAAAAGCTAACCTGATTTACAATGTGTCAAGCATGGGTCAACAGAAATGTGAGAACACAACGTATATGACTAGGCCAAATGCCTGCCAACTCATCAAAAGTAACCAATAGGGAAATGAGTATGTGGTAAAGTGGCCTCATTAAAAACAGTTTTAAAAGAACTCCTTGTTTCTACAGGGAAAGAGTAGACTGAGGAAATCATTGCACTCTGTGACTCTACACTGCATGTGGACACATCAGCAGAGAAGCAGGACACACACACATACAAACACCTCGTTTCTCACTAGTAAACAAAAATTTTTTTGTGATAGAAGATAAAATGTTTATAATATCCATATATATATTTCTAGCTCCTTAAATTCTCTCTTTCCAAAACTGATTTTTAGATTTGTCTTTAGTTAAAAAGGAAGAAGTGTGCATTGGTAATCTAAAATATGTCTCAGGTGGTATATGGTGAATATATAAAGATGGTATCTTGGCAAAAATAAGGCTGTGTGCTGATTTAGTGTACCATATGTATTAAAGCACTTTGGAGTATACTAAAACATCCAATTTTTATATCCCCAAATCAGAGTTTATTAAAAAAAAAGAAATTTTTTAAATTTTCACATGACCGTTGTAGCTCTTCAATGAGTGTAGAAAATGTGTGAAAATGAAATTCTCAGCTTTTCTCTTAAAACTTGGATTCCCATTTTCTTTTATGTCAAAGTAGAAAACTACTTCTGTTTCAATTATGAAATTTTATTTACAGTAGTAACATAATTTCATTTGTAAACAATGTTCTATTTCATCTGCAAATGGCCTATACTGGAAATGAGCAATTATAGTGTAACTCATATGTGTTTGATATAGTCTAGTTTAGTGATTTTTTTTTTTTCCCTAAACACTACCAGGTACATGTGTGTTTTGTTTATTTTTAGCAGTACATTAAATTCATGACAGGTTCATCTGTCATTCTGAAAAAATTTTAATATGTTTGTAACAGGGAATGGAAACTTTAAATAATATAGTATCTTAAACTGTTGACTGTGTTTGTATATTCTAGGTGAAAAGTGACTTTTGTCAGACTGTGCTTCCATACTTGATTCATGATGTTTTACTTCAAGATACAGATAAATCATGGAGAAATCTGCTTTCTGCGCACATTCAGGGATTCTTCACCAGCTGTTTCAGACAGTCTTTACAAACAAGTAGATCCACAACCCCTGCAAATTTGGATTCAGGTATTCTGTTAAATTTCTAGCATGTGTACTCTGTGTGTGCGTGTGTATGTGTTGAAAACAAGATATGTCCATGAATCTTCAATTTTTTTTTACTAATTTGTACTGTTACCTTGTCAGTTCTAGAGAAAGGTAAATTTGTTTGAATCATTAAGGTGCTTTATAGGCTTAATTCTATAACCTCTAATCATCTATTTCTTCATCTGTGCAGTAGAGATAAAGGTTATGGTAAATTTTCAATGAAATGTTGTCTGTAAGGCTCCTAGGGTAATATTTATTGCATAATGCTTCCTCCGTAAGTGATGGTGGTTAATATGTGGCAACTCACTGACCTTTTGGTATGCTCTTGTCCAGTAAATAAGAGCAGCTTTGGACCTCCCCGGTGGCGCAGCGGTTGAGCGCTGGGCTGTGAAGCTGCCCGCGGCCTCTGCCGCGCCGGTTCGATCCCCGGCTGCTCCTCGGCCACCGGAGGAGGGTCCCGCATGGTGCGCAGACCTCTCCTGCCGCCCGCTGCTCCCCTCAGCAGTGTACTTCGGTCCTTCTGCCTGCTCTGCTCCCCGCTCTGGCTCTGGTGAATTCTCTCCCCCTCCCGCGCTTCTGACTGTACCCAGTGCTTGTATAAATAAATAAATAAATCTTAAAAAAAAAAAAAAAAAAAATCTTTAAAAAAAAAAAAAAAAAAAAGAGCAGCTTTTTACTGCTCTTGTCCAGTAAATAAATGCAACCAAATATTTTAGGTATGGTACCTATGATGGAACTTTCATATCAAAGCTCTGGCCAACTCATTTTTAAAATTTTGTTTAAATTACAAAATTATATTTTTGTATAAAATACAGAAAAATTGCATAAATTAAAAAAATTAAATTATCCATGTAATCCTGTGATTTAGGATGGCCACAATTAACATTTGATATGTTTTTAGAAATAATAATTAGTTTACATTTTATATATTCTTACAACCTACTTTCTTTTCATGCTATGTGTTTTCCATACTAATTGCTATTATGAGTAGAAATTCTACCAGACACATAATACATATGTGTATAGTTGAGGACTCATTAAGAGTTAGTTTTTCAAATCTAAATTTTAAAAAAGAAAAATATTCACAGATCTGTAATGTTAATCTGTTGTCTTTAACATACATTATTAATTTATATTATCCAAAAATATAAAACTAGGCACATATTTGCTTATTGTACTTCAAAACTAGTATAATTCTAAGAAAAATATTAATTTAATATCCTATTTTGCTGCAACTGAATTGCTCTTCGCAAAATTGACTGTGGTTCCAGTCAATGGGGGCATCAATTGTGATTATTTGGTTGGTCTAGTTGTTTCTTTTACTCTACTATATTTACTTGATGTGACTTATTTTGATTTCACTTTGTTCTGTTTCATGGTTTTTTGTGTTATTTTCTATTATCTAACTGCAACTGTAAATCTACTACTTGAAATAATGTACTTATAAACACAGATGTGGATGCCCATTCTGGAGTTCTATTACATTATAAGAGGGTCATGTAAATGATCCAGAATATGCTTACATGAATTTTTTTAGGCCTTTGAATAAAAAATTTCTAATATTACTATTCTCATACTTTGCAAACTAGATTGTATCTCCTATCCTTTATTTGGGAAATATAAGTATTTGCCAGAAAGCACTTAACTTTAAATGTTATATCATTTATAGTAGTACTGAAGAGTTTTATTATGTCAAGCTTAACATAATCATTGCCTGTGATAAACTGACAATTTGTTATCATGAACATGGCCAAGATTCTTTTTCATTTGTTCACATAAATTTATGATAGAAGCACTCAAGGGTAAAATCAGCCAGTTTCACTTTATGTCTGTATAGAGTGCCAATATTTTTATTGCCTTAAATGAAAATTTAAATATCACATGTAAAATTCTTTTATAAAAGGAAAGTAAATTGGATTTCCATCAAATTAAAGGGTTTATCTTCTTTTGAGGTCTGTAAATTTCACTTGGATGTCCATGTGCATCTTTTTTTTTTAATAATTCTGTTTTAGTCTTTTTTAATTTGTCTTTTTTTTTAAGATTTATTTTTATTTATACAAGAACTGGGGTACAGGCCAGAGGTGCAGGAGCATGAGAGGATTAACCAGAGAGAGTGGGGAGCAGAACAGGCAGACAGACTGAAAACACTGCTGAGGGGAGCAGCGGGCGAGACAGGAGAGGTCTGCAGTGCCATGTGGGTGTCTCCCTGGCCAGCCGGGAATCGAACCTGTGCTGTGGAGGCACAGACAGCTTCACAGCGCTGCGCTCAACCCCCTGTACCACCAGGGAGGCCCTCCATGTGCATCTTTAACTCAATTGTCTGAGGCTAAACTTATCTTGTTCCTCCCCACCCTTGGCATTCAGTCACCCAAGCCAGAAACCCCTTCCATGTCTTATCTAGTTACCCAGTCTTGCCAGTTCTTTGTTATAAATCACATCAGTACATCTGTTCTGCCTGTCTCTGGCATCCTGCTTTCCAGCTCCCTGCTGCAGCACAACTGGAATTCTTTTTTTATTTTTTTATTTCTTTTAATTTTTTAAATAACAATTTTATTGAGGCATAATATAAAAATTCACCCACTCTAGTCACAACTGTAATTCTTTCAGGATATTCTTCAGAATCTTTCCTTTTCCTGCCTACTCAGAGAGTGTTACTGTTGCCTGAAACTCTCTTCTTCCTCTTCTCCTGAGGGCCCTTTACTTTCAGAGTCCACTTTTCCTGAAAGCTTCTCTTGTTTGGAGTAGGTTGCTGTCTATCTACCTCTACAGCATTCTAAGCTTTCCCTGTGGCAGCATTATCACACTACATCAAGAGTCTTTCTGGCTAGTCAGTTCTGTATGGTCAGAAGAAGTCTGTCTTATTCATGCTTGGTATGCTGAGCACCTAGTATATAAAAAATACCTAGGAAAGTATTTATTGAATAAATGAAGTTATCCCCTTCTTCAACAAAATACAGAATTAAAACCTCAGTTTTAGGGCCTCCCCGGTGGCGCAGAGGTTGAGCACTGGGTTGTGAAGCTGCCCCCAGCCTCTGCAGTGCCAGTTCGATCCCCGGCCTCCAGGCGAGGGTCCCACATGGTGCACAGACCTCTCCCGCCGCCCACTGCTCCCCTCAGCAGTGTACTTCGTCAGTCTGCCTGTTCTGCTCTCCCCTCTGGCTCTGGTGAGTTCTCTCACCCTCCCGCGCTTCTGACTGTACCCAGTGCTTGTATAAATAAATAAATAAATCTTTAAAAAAAAAAAAAAAGAAAACCTCAGTTTTATTAAGCATAGTGGCTTCTTTTTTAAAGAAAATGCCATTACATTCCATTTTTCAAATCATGTTTATTTATTCAGAACCACCTTTGTGCTAGGTACAGTCCACTAGAACCTTTTTAGTGTAGAGGAAGACAGATATGGAGGAAGTCTTAAACCAGTCTGCAGTTACTGACAGTCGATATCTTTGATTTTTTTTCAGAGTCAGAGCATGTTCCCCGATGCTGTTTGGATAAAAAGTCACAAAGAACAATGCTTGCTGTTGTGGACTACATGAGGAGACAAAAGAGGTAATATGATGACTAATGCTCTTGAGTTTGGAGATAAAAGTGTAGTATGTTTCTGCTGGCTGAATGTTAACATGATTACTTTAGGTGATGTTGCTCGAAGGTGCTGTATTTAATTTGGGTGATGCTTAACATCTCCTTGTTAATAATCCATATTCAGGATGGCTGAATATGGTGTAAATTCGGTTATATCAATGTCAGGAACTCTGAACTCTAGTCCTTACTGTGACAGTAAAGTACTATTTTTGAAATCACGCAGTCTTTTGGCCTTTAGTTTATTTTGTCTATAAAGTGATAGGAGTACAATAAGTGATTTTCCAGGGTTACTTGTAGTTATATTGCCCTTCTTTTAACTTTTCTCTCTACTTTTTAACTCATAAGAGTAACTAGGGTTATATGTAAGTCCCCTTTGTGTATCTTTATTTTCTTGAAGACCTTAGTCCTTAAAATCTGTGATTTTGTACAGTAGCACTGTGTATGGCAGTGTTTATTTTCTGGATTCTGAGAAATTATATACTAGACTACTTGGTTTCTGTTATTTCTCAATGAGATTCAAGGCAGGAATTGCTGGAGTGGGTGGTTGGTCTGATCTGTACCCTTAAGAGTTGACCAGAACTTTGAAGAAGTAATGTTGTAGGCTTAGCACTTGAATAGGTAAGAACTGTTACCTGCTGAATATGAAAGGTTGTGGCGCAGTGGTTGATAAAGAATGGGAAACAAATGAAAAATTGTTTAAATGTATCTACATCTTAATTAATTCCTCTGTATCCCCCTAAATTTTCATTTCACTCTTAGACAAGTGATAGGCCTTCCAGTATATTTGTTCCTGGCTAGAAAAGTACTGATTCACCTACTGTACCAGACCCTTGTCTGAGAAACCCCATGAGAAGCTCTAAGGGTAGCTGAGAGCATCTCCTTCCTTGATGTTGGGAGGCAGTCTCACCTTTAAATTATTCACTTCTGATTTATCATTTAGACAGAATGGTGTGGACAATGGTAGACCTTGGAAATAAGTAAAAATTGTTAACAATCAAGTTTTCATTCTGAATATGACCTTAAATAAGAGTCCTTCAGAAAATATGAATGGGACAGAGAGTGAAGGGTATGGACTTACGTTCAGGTCTAAGTCTGGTACTTAGAAGCTTTGTGATCTCTGAACTTCAAGTGCCTCAGAATAGCTATGATTAAGTGTATGCTATGTGATAGGTATTTTCTCATCAGCTTTATAAACATTTTTTAATCACTGCCACTGTTCTTTGTGGTATGTTCTGTTCTCCGGTTTTATAAGTGAGGAAACTACTTCATAAGTTGCCAGAGATCTTATAGCTTGAAGTAGCTGATCCAACTGGATTTGAACCTAGCTTTATCCTACTCTAAAACGTGTGCTCTCAACCACTACTTCTTCACTTTTCCATTAGTTTTCCAAAATAGAGTATCTATGGTCCCTTTCAATTCTGCTCTACTACTATTACCATGGAAGGTTTTTATGAAATAACTCAACCTAGGCAATAAACTCAGGAGCATATGAACTGCAATAGGAAAAACATGTAATTGTGTCTTAGAAAAATAATGTTTTCATTAAGTTGGTCATCTAAAAAGATCTCTGTGTATGTTACTAGCTATTCTCTGCCACCTAGTTATAGTCTGTGATCCATGAGTCCCTTCGTGCAAGGCTAGTACAAATCCCAAATTTGTATGGGAGGATGGTCTGTAGCTTTCATTTGAGGAGCTTGTGATCCAAATAAAGTGAGAAATTGGGCTCGTAGGGAATTGTGGCTTTGATTATTTGAAGGTAATTTTCTATTTAACTAGCCCTAGCTGCCATTGTATTCGGTATCAACCTACTTTTATTTTGATATTGAAATTAAAGAATTGGACATGGTAACATGTTTAATTTTTATTCAGACCTTTTTCAGGAACTGTCTTTGATGATGCTTTCTGGCTGGAGTTGAATTATCTAGAGGTTGCCAAGGTAGCTCAGTCTTGTGCTGCTCACTTCACGGCATTGTTCTATGCAGAAATCTACGCAGATAGGAAAAGTATGGATGATCAAGAAAAAAGGTAATGAAATTTAAAGTTCTTGGTTTTGAAAATTGGTGATATTTTTCAGTAAAGGTATTTATTAAAGATTTTTTTTTGTTTCCATTGCCCTATTTAAAAGATATTTTCTGGATTTTAAAATGAAATGGTAATTACCAGAATGTTGTGAGTACATTTTGTCAGTCTGAGGTCTCCTTTGTGCCACCTCTCTATTCTCCCTCCAGTAGGTAAATGGTACCATGTCTTTTGTGCTTATCATTCCTTAAATGATATTTTGTCATTTGAATATGAACCCATACATATAGCTTAGTTTTCCTTGTTTTTGAACCTTATAAGAAAGTATATGTGTGCTTTTCTGCAACTCATTTTTCCACTCAGTATTTTTGTAAGATTAATGGAAGCAGTTTGTTGCTGTGGCTCATTAATATATCACTGCCTCATGAGGCAACAGTGGGAGAGTACCAGCATAGATTTACCCATTCTTCTACTGATGATATATATATATATGGGTAAATATGTGTGTGTGTGTGTATATATGTGTGTGTGTGTGTGTGTGTGTGTGTGTAGAATTACTGGGTTGCAAGGCATGCAGATTTTCAACTGATGTGCCAAATTGTTTTTTAAAGTGTTCATCCCAGTTTGAATACATCTCAGAAATGTAATTTGCAAGGAAATAGATCAAGAAGAACCCTTGTATTTGAAGAAGGTAGCCAAAGTATTTCTAGTTTGAGTGAAAAAAGTAAAGAAGGAACTGGAGTAAATTTATAGGTAAATAACAGAGGTTTTACCAATTCATGACATTATTTTATACATTGGATTATCATTGTTATAGACACTGCAGCTGGCATGATTTTAAAACTGAAATTACTAATAGGACCAACCAAATCTCACAGGTATAAATGGTTTAGAGCTAACACATTGGAGATAAATTTGAGTTCTGACCTTTCAGTGTCATTTATTAGTTTTATAATCTTGGGTTTCAGTGGAGTCTACTAATCCACTTCCTTCCCCACATTTACTAATATCAGACTTATTATTTTTTGGCAATTTATCAGGTATTAAGTGGTATCTGATTATGCTCTTACAAATTTGTGTGCCTGTGATTATTAATAAGGTTGAACTTCAGGTAAAGCCACTGGTAGAACATTCAGGAAGAGAATTGGGGTTTATAAATAATCACATTTTGACATATAACCTACCTATATATAAGAGCTTGTCATTAAAATGCAATTTTCATTCAAAGAATTAACATTCGTAAAATTCTTTTCATTCTAGGCCTCAATGGCAACATGCATAGAGTCAGAAGCGCGGGAGGGTGAGAGAATTCGAAGTACACTGCTTCTGCGCGCCATGTGGGACCCTCCTCCAGTGGCCGGGGAGCAGCCGGGGATCGAACCGGCGCCGCAGAGGCCGCGGACAGCTTCGCAACCCAGCTCAACCGCTCAATGGCATTATGTTTTAAAGTATAAATGGTTCATTCTGTTTTATTTGTGACCTTTGTTAGTTGATCTGTCAAAGTCTTTAACATATGTATCAACAAGCTTCCAAATGGTATATTCTCACTAATATAAGTGCTTTTGTGACAAACAGAAATCTTACATTTGAAGAAGGGAGCCAAAATACAACTATTTCTAGTTTGAGTGAAAAAAGTAAAGAAGAAACTGGAATAAGTTTACAGGCAAGTATAATCCAAGTATAATCCAAATATGTGATAATATTTGGATTATTATTTTGTTATAGAGGCTATACAGGTGTCATTTTGTTTTCAAGTTAAAGTTACTTTTTGGTCTGTCATAATAATAGTTTACTAAAATTATGATATGCATTGTCATTAAAATGCAATTTTCATTCATGAAATTTATTTCACATTATATATAATTATTATATAGTAAACTGTTATAGTAAATACTCAAGAATTTGAGTATCAACCATATTTATCCATATTACATTTTACTCATTGTAACAATTCATCTTTTACTTTTCTTTCAAGAATTTGAAAATTGTTGAACTACATTCAGTTTTCAGAAGTCAGATTTTGCATGACTTCATTTTCCCATGTATGCTTTTAACTGCTGACAGGATTATTTGCTTTGTTGTTGTGATTATTTTTGTAGGTGTTAAATGCTTAGTAGGTTGGAATTTATTTCTTATCTAATTTATGAAGTTGTAAGCAATTCTTCTCAGGTAGCCTACTATTATTCCCCGTTTCCTGGGATCAGTTTGTTATGTTACTGACCCAGTGTTTAGTATATATGTCAATATCACATTTCACTTTTCTAACATAGCATTTAGTATTGGGTGTCATATGTTAGTAATGATATAATTTCAAACTTGTTAAGTTCATAAAGTGTTATGTTTACCCCCTCCAATTTTTGTTATTTACCTGCTTCCAGGACCTGCTCTTAGAAATCTACAGAAGCATAGGAGAACCAGATAGTCTGTATGGCTGTGGTGGAGGAAAAATGTTACAACCTCTCACTAGGTGAATTGAATTTTTCTAGATGATGGCTTGGTAATTCTGTTTATGAAGGAGCCACATGCATATACAACTTAAAGGTATTTTTAAAATATTTTTTTATAGACTACGAACATATGAACATGAAGCAATGTGGGGGAAAGCCCTAGTAACATACGACCTTGAGACAGCAATCTCCTCATCAGTCCGCCAGGCAGGAATAATTCAGGTATGCTTTTTTCTGCTTTTGTAAAGCTCTAAAAGTCTAGTGCTGAGGTTATTTCAGGATGTCCATAGAATATTTACACAAGTCAGGCAAATTCTAGAGATAAGAAGTTATCTTTTTTCCAGGCATTGAGCTTATGATTCAGAGGGGTACACAGGAAAATCAGACAGGTCACTCACCTCAAAGAAATTGTAGGTTTATTGATCCTAATCTTGTTAGCTAACAGGGGAAGGCTCATCCTGACTGTGTACAGTGTGCCTGGGTATATATTAAATGCGTCACTGGAAAAATCTGATGCGAACTATTTCTCTTAGTTTGCATTGTGGTGGTCCCAGAAAGTGCCCTGCCTGTTACTGGCTAATATCCCTTAGCCATTCTTCCAGCAAATATTAGAACCCTTGGAACTCTGTGTTGGTGTTTTACAGGGAATATGCTAAACAAACATTTGAGGGACTTATTATGACTACTACAATTGTTTAAAATTACTATTTAGGGTTGATTGCTATTTTTGTTTCTCTGTTATCTTTTACTTTTTTTTCCTAAAGATTTATTTATTTATTTATGCATACACGAGATGGTCAGATGTGGGGGGTGGGATGAGAGGATCCACCAGAGACAGAGTGGGGAACAGAACAGGCAGACTGACTGAAACACACTGCTGAGGGGAGCAGCGGGCGAGACCGGAAAGGTCTGCTTCACCATGTGGGTTGCTCCCTGGCCGGCCGGGGATCGAAGTCATGCTGCAGAGGCTGCGGATTGCTTCATAGTGCGGCGCTTAACCCCTTGCACCAGGGACACCCTCTTTTATCTTTTTTTTTTTTAACTCCCACTCAGGCCTTGCAGAATTTGGGACTCCGCCATATTCTTTCTGTCTATTTAAAAGGATTAGATCAAGAAAATAAAGAGTGGTGTGCTGAGCTCCAGGAACTTCATTTCCAGGCAGCATGGAGGAACATGCAGTGGGATGACTGCATTTCTGTCAAGTAAGAAGAGCTTTGATATTTTATATTGTCATATCTCCAGTTACAAATAGTAAACTCTTTTTATCTTGCTCTACGAATGTAACAGGAGTTGTATTTTTGGCTGATGCTGCAAATTAGAGATATGTCTAAAATGCTTAAATAAGATAGCATTTAAGTTTAAATTTCACTTCCTTTTTCACTAGAGCAACTCCATCCCACCCCTAGGGTATTTTTGAAAATAGAAATATAAAGTGTCTAATGAGAATCTTGTCATTGAATCTTCTTATATCTAAATGAAAGTACAGGTGTTTTCCTCCCCACTCCCTACTGCAGAGATTTTAGTCAGATAGCACTTTTATAGTTTGGATGGTAAATAAATGACTGCTTATCTTTTTTTGATGAAATATTTTCTTTTACGAGGCACATAGCTAGCTCAGTTGAAAATATTTTCTTTTATTAAAAATATGTATGCATCAATAAATCACTATCAGGAAGAGAGTGTTTATAATCTCTCTGTAAGGTCACTAGGTTTTCTGAATGAAAAGCCAATGGCTTAATCTAATAAAAGTTTTTTTATTTATGTGTAAGAAAGTCATTTGATGATATAATACCAAAAAAAAATGAACTGTTTATTTGCCTCCATAGAAAATAAATTTCATTAATTAGGGTGTCTTTCAAATTTTAAATTGTTAGATTGTTATAAACTTAGAGATATGTGTTCATGTTTTTAAAAAAGTAAACTCTATGAACTTGTTCCTCCTACTTAGCCTCTGTAAGTCACCATAAAACTTCCTTACCCTTGCCTACTATATTTTAGCCACAGCGGGCCAAATTTTTCCTATGAAGACCTTCTGTGTACCTTCTCTTTTCCTGTTTTCATATAGCTGATTTCTTGTCATTTAGACTCACATTAATAACGTCACATCTTCAGAGAAACCCACTCTAACTACTCACTCTAAAGTAGCACACATTTTAATTATCTGCATGCCTCTTGTCACTCTTTGATATTTTTCTTTTTGTCTATCTTTTCCAAACAAGAACATAACTTTATGAGAATGGGAAATGGATATAACTTGTCCATGTGTGGGTCCTCTGTATATCAAGACCTTGGTACCCAGAGCCTGGCACATATTAGGTCTTCACTGAATAAATTTTACACATAAGAAGAGAGCATATCTAGAATCTAGCAAAATATAAAAGAAATTTACTTTTTCTCCTTGAAGAATTGAGGTGACCACAAAATTCTTTGTGTTATGAAAATCTCCAGAAATACGTTAGGAGGAATCCTAATTTCAGGTTTAAAATTTTGTGTCTTGATGAAGTTATTTATGCATGAATATCATAAGGTTTTGGTTTTAAATATATTTTTTCTTTCATTTTTTTAAATTATCTCACAGCAATAAAACAGAAGGAATCAGTTACCATGAATCTCTGTATAATGCTCTGCAATCTCTGAGAGATAAAGAATTCTCCACATTTCATGAAACACTCAAATATGCCAGGTATTACAAAAAGAGTTATTGTATTTTAGCATTTAATGTCATGACGTCTTTTCTGCAAGAAACCTCAGCATAAGGATTTGCAGTGGTGAAGGGACTACGATATGTAGTGATGGTCAGGTGGTTCCCTGAAATTTCCAGCCCTCTCCTAGACTGCACACTCCCTTTGTCATAGTGATGCATAGCTATCAGCGTTGAAACTCCAAAGTGCAAAAGGGTGGGCAGTATCCAGTGATGAACCATTTTATTCCTTTTGCATATCTGAGGAATGAGGGGTGATGAATTTGTCTTCTGCAATCATGTTTTTTAAGAATTAGGGGTGTGCCTATTTTAACAGTTGTTTTCTGTATATTGCAAAGGCGTTCTCAATGCTTTAAGTGTATTATGTTAAAGGATTGTTTAATGTACACTTGGCAAATATTTATGCATACCTTGGTATTTTTTGTTTTAGATATACAAGTATGTGTATATGTTAGATATTTACATAAGTTTTTATTTAATACTTTTTTTGGTGTTTATGTGTTCACATATATTCTTTCCTTTAAAAAATTCTTTCTGGGATCTCCAGATCAAATCTTTACTCTGAACCCTCAAAAATGTCTTGTTGATTCCACTCTTTTGATTTTCCTCCTGGACTAGTATACTGAAAGTTTAAATTTTGCCTCCCTAAGTGGTTATATGGCATTTACTTCTCTTAGCATGAGGGTTCTTTTTACTAAGTGGTGACTGATGCTTAAATTCTTAGAGGTATGTTTGGAGGTACAAGTAGGAGAATACCAAAGAAAGTACTTCACTGTAACTTGATAACCAAATATGCTATATTATTTTTGCTTAATAGAAGTGACCTAATAACTCTTGCATTTTATTACAGAAATAGCATTGTTGCTATTTAAGTGCTTATTATGGGCTAGCTGCTTTATTCAGCTCTTTCCACTTGTATACTCTACTCAGAATAATTCTGGAAGTTAAAACCTTAGGTTCTCAGAAGGCCAGTGATGTGCCCAAAGCGATACAGCCTTAAGAAGCAAAACTGGGATTTATATTTCTGTCCGTAGAACTGACTTTGTCTCCACTGCATTATGCTTGTACTTATAACTTATCTACGTTGTGAAACTATTTAGAGGTTTTCCTGAAAACCTCTTACTTATCAGAGTGTCTTGTCTTTTCTGCCCCCAGGGTAAAGGAAGTGGAAGAGTTGTGTAAGGGTAGTCTTGAGTCTGTGTATTCCCTCTACCCCACACTTAGTAGATTGCAGGCCATTGGCGAGCTTGAAAACATCGGGGACCTTTTCTCAAGGTATGTGATTCATAGGACTTTAAATCCCAATGTGCAGCTTTCCTGTTACCAATGATGACTTTAAAAAAATTAAAAAGAGATCTGATGTATATTTCGTTCCTTTTATCAAGGTACAAGTTGATTAGCCTTAGTGAACTGTGTCCTGTAAATATTTTCAAAGATTTTCCTAGTAAAAAATTGAAGTTTTCAAATTTAGTTTACAGTTTTTCTCCAGACAAAACTATATGTTCATGGTTCCTGCTCAGTGGAGCACTGCATTGCATTAGTGCCATTTACTGTCCACTGCCATCTGATACTAGGAGCTCTAAAAAGTAGGGCCTATTCTCTCATTTATTGTTGTACCCCAGTGTTTTTCCTGATTTTCAGTAAACATTCATTGATTTTTATATTCGGTGAATGTTGATGAATTTTTGGAGGTTGCCTCTTAAAATGGTAAAAAGAAATCTAGAAATAGCTTCTCCAGAAATGATGGGATATGAGATGAAGTAGTTACTCAGAATGCTTTGGATCTAAGTTTGTACTTTGTGACTTTGAGAAGTCATTGATCTCATTGGGCCTCATTTCCTTACTTCGAAAAGGGGGGATTTATATTTGGTGGTCTTTAGGGCCTCTTTTAGCGCTGTCATTCTGAGTCACCATTGTTAAGAAGAAGGAAAGTGCTTATTAATGACCACGATTACCATAACTTTATTACTTGTAAGTAGAAAGGAAAGCAGAGAAGGAAATTTTAGAGTCAGAAAATAATGACTTTTTCCAAAATTGCATAGCAAAAGACAGAGCCATTTATGTCACTCTTCTTAATAGAGAATAAAGGAACAAACTGTTTTCTGCTTTCACCAATAAATACATTGGTAGTTCTCACTGCCAAAAATCCAGGAACTTTTCTTCTGAATGAAAGATGCTTTCAACTAAAAAACAGGAAAGAATTTCTCAAGGAACCCTGATATGTAATTATAGCTCTTTCTCTGATGGGCATTATAAGGAAGAGAGGCAGAGGAAAAGTTTGATATACTAGTGAATAAATACTTACACCCTAGCAACTTATGCTTTGAACTTATGTGCTTAAGCTTGAGAAGAGTAGTTCTCAAAATGTGGTATGGAGATTCCTGGGGGTCTCCAAGATACTTTCCAAGCATCCATGAAACAAAACTGTCGTTATAACTATAAGAAGGTATTGTTTGATTTTTTTTGTGGTTTCGTACTCTCATGAGTAAAGTTTTGATGAGGTAACACAGAAAGATAGGCAAATATTCACGTTTCTCCCTTTTCCAACTTCACATCTGTATGAAGTTAGTCTTCACTTAAATCAGTGAAAACATTGTATCACAATAAACCTAAAGCACAAGCAAGGATGAGAATACAATTATCACTATCAAACCAGACATCAAAGAGATTTGCAGAAATGCAAAAACATTGTCCTTTCATTCACTTTGTTTTGTGTGCTTTTCATTAAAAATGTTATTTATTACATGCAAAAGAATGAAGCTTGACCACTACCTCACACCATACACAAAAATCAACTCAAAATGGATTAAAGAACTAGACATAAGACCTGAAACCATAAAATACATAGAAGGAAATATAGGCGAAACACTACATGATATGCACATCAAAGACATCTTTACAGACACATCACCCAAAGCAGTGATAGTGAAGGCAAAGATAAACAGCTGGGACTACATCAAATTAAAGAGCTTCTGCACAGCAAAAGAGACAATAACAAAAACAAAGAGAAACCCCACCAACTGGGAGAACATTTTTGCACCCAACACTAATGATAAAGGACTGATCACAAAAATCTGCAAAGAGCTGATGAGACTCAGCAACAACAAAGAAAATAATCCAGTCAAATAATGGGCAGAAGAGCTAAAAAGAAACTTCTCTGAAGAGGAAATGCAAATGGCCAACAGACATATGAAAAAATGTTCAACATCACTTGTAATCAGGGGAATGCAAATCAAAACTACCATGAGATACCATCTCACACCAGTGAGAATGGCACATATTAAAAAAACTAGCAACAACAAATGTTGGCGAGGGTGTGGAGAAAAAGGAACTCTTCTGCACTGTTGGTGGGAGTGCAAACTGGTCCAACCGCTATGGAGAGCTGTGTGGAGATTTCTGGACCTTCTAAACATAGAGCTTCCATATGATCCAGCAATTCCACTCCTAGGTATTTACCCAAAGGACACAGAAACATCAATTCCAAAGAACACCTGCACCCCTATGTTTATAGCAGCACTATTTACAATAGCTGAGCTTTGGAAACAACCCAAATGCCCAAAAATAGATGACTGGATCAAGAAGATGTGGTACATATACACCATGGAATATTACTCAGCATTCAAAAAAGATAAACACATGCAATTTGCAGCAACATGGATGGCGCTGGAAGGGATCATGCTCAGTGAAATAAGCCAAAAAGAAAAAGAAAAATACCGGATGGTCTCACTAATAGCAGGAATCTAGAAAACTTAAATAAGGGACCAGGAAAATGAATATAAGAAAGTCAAAATCAAAATCAACAAAAAACTATGAACCAGAGATACTTTTTGGGGCTGGGGGGTGGGAAGGGAAGGATTGGGGTCAGAATGGGGCTTTTGCAATTGTATGGGGGAATATAAAAATAAAATTTATTATTTAAAAAAAAATGTTATTTATACTATATAAAATCTTTGTTACTGTTATTTTAAAATAAATTAATACATATTAGATTTTTCTCAGTTTTAGCTTCTAATACAAAAGCTCTTTGGGATCTTTAATAATTTTTTTAATTTAAATTTTATTTTTTATATTCCCCATACAATTACAACCCCCTTATTTTGACCCCAAGCCCTCCTTTCCCCAAATCCCACCTCCCATAGAGTGTCTCTGGTTCATAGTTGTTTGTTGACTTTGATATTTTCTTTCTTATAGTTATTCTTTTTCCTGGTCTCTTATTTAGGTTTTCTAGATTCCTGCTATGAGTGAGACCATCCGGTATTTTTCTTTTTCTTTCTGGTTTATTTCGCTGAGCATGATTTCTTCCAGCTCCAACCATGTTGCTGCAAATTGCATGTGTTTATCTTTTTTGAATGCTGAGTAATATTCCATGGTGTATATGTACCACATCTACTTCATCCAGTCATCTATTTTTGGGCATTTGGGTTGTTTCCAAAGCTCAGCTATTGTAAATAGTGCTGCTATAAACATAGGCATGCAGGTGCCCTTTGGAATTACTGTTTCTGTGTCCTTTGGGTAAATACCTAGGAGTGGAATTGCTGGATCATATGGAAGCTCTATGTTTAGTAGGTCAAGAAATCTCCACACAGCTCTCCATAGTGGTTGGACCAGTTTGTACTCCCACCAACAGTGCAGGAGAGTTCCTTTTTCTCCACACCCTCGCCAACATTTGTTGTTGCTAGTATTTTTAATATGTGCCATTCTCACTGGCGTAAGGCGGTATCTCATTGTAGTTTTGATTTGCATTTCCCTGATTACAAGTGATGTTGAACATTTTTTCATATGCCTGTTGACCATTTGCATTTCCTCTTCAGAGAAGTTTCTTTTTAGCTCTTCTGCCCATTTTTGGACTGGATTATTCTTTGTTGTTGTTGAGTCTCATCAGCTCTTTGTAGATTTTTGTGATCAGTCCTTTATCATTAGTTCTGTATGCAAAAATGTTCTCCCAGTTGGTGGGGTTTCTCTTTGTTTTTGTTATTGTCTCTTTTGCTGTGCAGAAGCTCTTTAATTTGATGTAGTCCCAGCTGTTTATCTTTGCCTTCACTATCACTGCTTTGGGTGATGTGTCTGTAAAGATGTCTTTGATGTGCATATCATGTAGTGTTTCGCCTATATTTCCTTCTATGTATTTTATGGTTTCAGGTCTTATGTCTAGTTCTTTAATCCATTTTGAGTTGGTTTTTGTGCATGGTGTGAGGTAGTAGTCAAGCTTCATTCTTTTGCATGTAGTGACCCAGTTTTCCCAGCACCATTTATTGAACAGACTTTCTTTGCTCCAATGCATATTCTTTGCTCCTTTGTCGAAGATTAGTTGACCATAAATCTGTGGGTTTATTTCTGGATTAATTCTATATTTGATTCCATTGGTCTGTGTGTCTGTTCTTGTTCAATACCATGCAGTTTTGAATGATTATGGCTTTGTAGTATAGTTTGAAGTCTGGGAGTTTGATGCCTCCATTCATTTTTTTTTTTAGGAGAGCTTTGGCTATTCGGGGTTTTTGGTGATTCCATATGAATTTCATCAATAATTGTTCTATTTCTTTGAAGAATGACATTGAAATTTTGATTGGAATAGCATTGAATCTGTATATTGCTTTTGGTAGGATGGCCATTTTAATAATGTTTATTCTTCCAATCCATGAGCAGGGGATGTCTTTCCATTTCTCTGTGTCTTCTTCTGTTTCTTTTAACAGTGTTTCATAGTTTTCTTTGTATAGGTCCTTTACCTCTTTTGTTAGATATATTCCCAAGTATTTGATTTTTTTTTTGTTTCGATTATAAAAGGGATTTTTTTTTTAATTTCTTCTTCTTCAGATTTATTGTTTGTGTATGGGAAGGCTGCTGACTTTTGCATGTTGATTTTGTATCCTGCCACTTTACTGAACTAATTGATGAGTTGAGTTAGTTTTTCTGTGAAGTTTTTGGGGTTCTCTGTGTATATTATAATATCATCTGCAAATAGTGATAGTTTGACTTCTTCTTTTCCTATTTGGATTCCTTGTATGTCTTTCTCTTGTCTTATTGCTCTGGCTAGGACTTCCAGTATTATATTGAAAAGCAGTGGTGAGAGTGGACATCCTTGTCTTGTTCCAGATCTTAATGGGAATGCTTTCAGCCTTTTGCCATTGAGAATGATACTGGCTGTTGGCTTGTCATATATAGCCTTTATGATGTTGAGGTATGTTCCTTGTATCCCGAGAATTTCAAAGGCTTTTATCATGAATGGGTGTTGCACTTTGTCGAACGCTTTCTCGGCATCTATTGATATTATCATATGGTTTTTATATTTCTTTTTGTTGATGTGTTGGATAACGTTGATTGATTTTCAGATGTTGAACCATCCTTGTGTCCCTGGAATGAATCCTACTTGGTCGTGGTGAATTATCTTATGGATACATTGTTGGATTCTGATAGCTAAAATTTTATTGATGATTTTTGCATCAGTGTTCATTAGGGAGATTGGCCTGTAGTTTTTTTTTTTTTTGTGTTGTCCTTGTTTGGTTTTGGTATTAGTGTAATGTTGTCTTCATAGAACGTGTTTGGTATTATCCATTCCTTCTCAATTTTTTGGAAGAGTTTGTGAAGGATAGGTGCTAATTTGTCTCTGAATGTTTGGTAGAATTCATTTGTAAATCCATCAGGTCCTGGGCTTTTGTTTTTGGGGAGGTTTTTGATTACCATTTCAATTTTGCTGCTTGTAATTGGTCTGTTTAGGTGTTCTATTTTTTCTTTCTGTAGCTTTGTGTGATTGTAGAGTTGTAGGAATTTGTCTATCTCCTCTAGACTGTTGAACTTGTTTCCATATAACTGTTCATAGTAGTTACTGATTATTCTTTTGATTTCTGCTGTGTCTGTTGTGATTTCTCTTCTTTCATTTATGATCCTGTTTATTTGTGCTTTCTCCCTTTTTTCCTTTGTGAGCCTGGCTAGGGGTTTGTCTATTTTATTTATTTTTTTTGAAGAACCAGCTCTTGGTTTCATTGATCTTTTGGATTGTTTATTTAGTTTCAATTTCATTTATTTCTGCTTTGGTTTTTATTATTGCTTTTCTTCAAATGGTTTTGGGGGTTTTTTGTTGTTCTTTTTCGAGATCTTTGAGCTTCGGGATTAGGTTTTTCTTTGAGTTCTTTCTTGTTTCTTGATGTGAGCCTCTATTGCTATACATTTTCCTCTTACTACTGCTTTTGCTGCATCCCATACATTCAGGAAATTGGAAAATGCCCTCGTCATTCAATTCAAAGAATTTTTTAATTTCTTCTTTGATCCCGTTAGTCCAGTGGTCTTCCAGTTGTGTGGTTTTCAATCTCTATGAGATAGGAGAGTTCCTTGCTTTCTTTTTATTGTTTATTTCTAGTTTTATGCCTTCATGGTCAGAAAAGATGCTTGGTATGATTTCAATCTTGGTGTATCTGTTGATGTTTGTCTTGTGTCCCAGTATGTGATCAATCCTGGAGAATGATCTGTGTGAGCTTGAGAAAAATGTGTACTCAGATTTTTTTGGGTTTAGTGTTCTATAGATGTCTGTTAAGCCCAAGTGCTCTTGATCCTTATTTAGAGCTTTAGTGTCTTTACTTATTTTTTTGTCTTGTTGATCTATCCATTGTTGATAGTGGTGTGTTGAAGTCTCCCACTACATATATGTTTTCTCTGATGTCTGTTTTCAAAGATGACAATGGTTGTCTGATATATTTTAGTGCTCCTTCATTTGGTGACTATATGTTAACGAGTGTTATTTGTTCTCGAAGTATTGTCCCCTTGATCATAATGTAGTGACCGTTGGGGTCTCTTTTTACCTTTTTGAGTTTGAAATCTGTTTTATCTGATATAAGTATAGCTGTTCCTGCTTTCTTTTTTGGTCCATTTGCTTGTAGGATTGTTTTCCATCCTTTAACTTTGAGCCCATTTTTATCTTTTGTAGCTAAATGTGTTTCCTGGAGACAGCAAAAGGTTGGGTTTTGTTTCTTAATCCAGGCTGCAACTCTGTGTCTTTTTATTGAAGAGTTTAGTCCATTTACATTTAGAGTTAATATTGATATGTTAGCATCTGTATTTGCCATTGTGTTTGTCTTTCCTTTGATTTTATTTATTTATTCTATTAATAACTTTTTTTTTGGCCTTTTTTCGTTGTTATTCGTCTCTCTGAGGTTCTGGCTTTAGGACTCCTTGTAGTATTTTTTGGAGTGGGGGTTTAGTCGTAATGAAATTTCAGAGTTTCTGTTTGTCTGGGAAGGTCCTTATTCTTTCTTCATAGAGGAAGGAGAGCTTTGCGGGATAGAATATTCTTGGTTGGCATTTGTTTTCTTGGAGTCTATGGACTATATCCCTCCACTCTCTCCTTGCCCATAGTGTTTCTTTGGAGAAGTCTGATGTCAGTCTGATTGGTTTTCCTTTGAACGTTATCTGTTTCTTCCCTCTTGTCAGCTTCATTATTTTTTCCTTGTCTTGGATTCTTGGGAGCTTTACTATTATGTGTCTTGCCGTATTTTCCCTTTTGTCATAGAAGTTTGGTGCTCTTCTTGCTTCTCGTATATCAATTTTCAGCTCCTTCTTCACGTTTGGGAAGTTCTCTTCTATTATTTCCTTGAATATTTTCTCTGTTCCTACATCTCTCTCCTCTCCTTCTGGGATTCCTATAACTCTTATATTTCCTTCCTCATGAAGTCAGGTAGTTCCCAAAGTCTTTCTTCGGTCTTTTTCCTTCATACTTCTTTTTCCTTTTCTGTTTTGGTTCTTTTTATTTCTGTGTCTTCAAGAGTACTTATTCATTCTTCCATTTCATCTATTCTGCTTTCATTGCTTTTCCCAGAGTTCTTTAGCTCCTCCATTAATTCTTTGATCTCCTGCATTTCTTTTACTTCCCTCGTTAGGGACTCAATTTCATTCTTCTGATCGTTGATTATTTTTCCCTTATCATTGTTTTCCTTTATGACTTGTGTCAGTCATAATCACAGCAATTTTAAATTCTCCTTCTGGAAGGCTCAGAAGTTCTTCCAAGTTACTGTCGTTGCAATCTGGGGGGTGGTTTTCTTTTTGTGGTGTGCCTTTTTCCTGAGGAGTTGCTGGGTTGCATGTAGTTTTTCTACTCCCTACTGCCTGTTTTCTAATTTGCTATATGCCTTGGCACACTGTGTTGCTGGTACTGGCCGGCATCTTTTTGGTGTGCTCTTTGTGGGGTTCAGGAACTGGCGGTCTAAACAAGTGAAATACTGTTAGCCAGAAGTCTAGTGAGGCAGTGGTACTTTAAGTATGTTAATTGTTGCTGGCACAGAATATTTCCTCCTTCTGTGTTTAATTACAAATGTGTGTCTTGAGGTCCCACAAACTTCCCTGGAGGTTAGGCAGCTGGATTGCACTCTGGGTTCCAGATCACTGGATCCCTCCCTGGTTTCCAACTTCCTGCCAGGTAGGACGAGGCTTGTGGGGGCCTTCAGCTCACCTCTGACTGCACAGGGAACCTTTTCCCTCTGGTTCCACAGGGAGCCTTCTGCCAGTTTCAAGCAGTCTTTATTGAAGAAAGGTCCCTGTTCTAAAGTGGTGATGGGGAGACGCACTCTCCTGTGCACCCGGTCTGCCCAGGTGGTGGGTGTCCACTCCCCTCTGGGCTTGGACTGCTGGCCAGAAGGTGAGCCCAGCTCACCTCTGGCTCCTCCGGGGACCTTTGCCGGTTTCAAGCAGTCTTTACTGAAGAAAGGTCCCTGTTCTAAAATGGCGATATGGGGACATATTCCCCTGCACGCCCGGTCTGCCCCAGCGGTGGGTGCCTGCTCCCCTCTGGGCTCAGACTGCTGGCCAGAAGGGGCCTGGCGTTGGCGAACTTCCCAGCTCACCTCTGGCTCCTCCGGGGGCCTTCTGCTGGTTTCAAGCAGTCTTTACTGAAGAAAGGTCCCTGTTCTACAGGATCTTTAATAATTTGTATGAAAAGTGTATAAAGTAAAAAGCGGTTTCTGACATTAAAAAGTTTGAGACCTTCCTGTTCTTGGAATATGTGTTATTATTTCTCTGGTTGTCAAACAGCTAAAAGAGTTTCATTTCATAGTTACCACCTTGTCACTTTCTTAGTCTTCCTGCTTCATCTTAATTTCTCTCAATATAGTATTCCTGGAGGATTGGACAGTATTGCTCATTTTGAAGACGCAGGAAACATACTGTTCACCTAACTAATTGTACAATATGCATCTTCTTTTAGTGATGTTGCTAAGTAAAACCTCCTCTAGATGCCAGCATGTCCTGTACTGATTATGATTTCTTTAACAGCTAGAGTTAGGCATAGCAGCATGCCCTGGGCCTGGCAGGCACAGTACTTAATGGTTTTACTCCGTTCCTATGCTGACATGTCTCTTTTTATCAGTGAAGTGGGATTAGAGGTGTAGGCATTCTGTGCCATAGACTGATGAATGTGTTCTCACTTCAGCAGAATACTTATTTAAAAGGATAGCTTTTTGTGAAGTTGAAGGGTGTCTTTAAGAAAATCTTTTAAAATGTTCATCATCTGTGACCTCTTTGCTGAGTCTCAAAGTTCTGATAATTTTTTACTTTTCGAAACTTTGGTCCATATTTCAGGTGATTTAGAAGTTCCAGTTTGTTACTGCAAAAACGCCTTTTTATTATATCTTACATTTCAGTATCTGCATAACAGCAATTTTGTTTGCATTTCTCTTGCTCACACGAACTCTATGATTTGACTTTCAGATCAGTCACAGGTAGACAGCCTTCTGAGGTGTACATGAAGTGGCGGAAACACTCCCAGCTTCTTAAAGACAGTGATTTCAGTTTTCAGGAGCCTATCATGGCTCTACGCACAGTCATTTTGGAGATGTTGATGGAAAAAGAAATGGCGCACTCCCAAAGAGAATGTCTTAAAGACATTCTCACCAAGCACCTTGTAGAGCTCTCTGTACTAGCCCGGACTTTCAAGAACATACAGGTAATAAGACTTAAAAAAAGCATATTATCTCACCTCTTGAGCTTTCCTTTTACCACTCAGGAAATACAAAGCATGAGTGAAAATGAAATGTCATTGAGGGACAGTGGTGGCTGGCTATTAAAATACTTTAAAGCATAATTGTTTAAAATCTTCCATTTTGGAATTAGACCTGAGTTTAAGCCTGGCACAGGGCTTTAAGCCTTGCACCTTCTCTAAGTCTCAGTTTCCTGTTACAAATGAGAAGTTACTTAACTTGCTGTATTGATAACAACTGAATGATTTTATATACTGTGTGTACATACATATATATGTATATATAAAGACAGACAGTAATAGGGCCTGGAGAAGGCAGGTAGAGATATGCTTAAGACAGTCCCTGACAAACAGTCATGTCCTCAACAAATAGTAGTTTCTGCTTTCATGATTCTTCTTTTTTTTTTAGGCAATATTTTTTTAAATTTAAATTTTATTTTTATATTCCCCATACAATTACAACCCCCTTATTTTGACCCCAAGCCCTCCTTTCCCCGCCCCCCACCCTCCATAGAGTGTCTCTGGTTCATAGTTGTATGTTGATTTTGATATTTTCTTTCTTATAGTTATTCTTCTTCCTGGTCCCTTATTTAAGTTTTCTAGATTCCTGCTATGAGTGAGACCATCCAGTATTTTTCTTTTTCTTTCTGGCTTATTTTGCTTAGCATTTCATGATTATTCTTAATGGTAGTTAAGTTGTTACAGTAAAAATATTCCCATGTGTCATTTCAGCTACCTGAAAGGGCGATATTTCAAATTAAACAGTATAATTCAGCCAGTCATGGAGTCTCTGAGTGGCAACTAGAGGAAGCACAAGTATTCTGGGCAAAAAAGGAGCAGAGTCTTGCCCTGAATATTCTCAAACAAATGATCAAGAAGTTGGATGCTTGCTGTACAGAGGTATGCTTTTTTTAAATGGGCTAAATTTGTATTTACCTGTTATAAAAATTATGGTGCTTTAAAGCGTTTTTAATAAATTCACGGTTTTATTTAAGCTATACAATTACTGACCCTGAATAAGAAATTTAAAAAAAGGAGTCTTGAAAAGTAATATTTGAAAAAGAAATTTGGAAAGTGTTCATTTCTCCTATTTACAGTTCTGTCAGCCCACCATGTGTCAGATTAATTTATCGCAGTGTTAAACCTTTTTAAAAAAACTTCCTATACAAGTCAAGAGGGGTATGTGGAAAACAAACATGAAATTTTTCACACTGAAATTTGAATCTGAAAATTAGAAAATGGAAGCAGAAATGCCTGAGAACAGATGGCAGAGAAAGCAAGTCAGCAAGTTGTCAGTCCAAATACTCTGGACATATGGTGTGTATGTTAGTTGCTGCAAACTTGGTTGCTTCTACAGCTCTATCTCAGGCACACAGTGGACAGAGTAGAGCATTTTCAGGAATCATGAAGTGTTTCAAGTTTGGCCACAGTGGTGTTCCTCTGACCTACACTTGCCTAGTATAGTTTACCTAGTGTAGTAAACAGTCAGTTTACCTTCCTGTTGTATCAGGCACTTGTAGTTACAGTCTCCCTTAGTAGAGGTTTCATCAATATACCAAAGCCCTGGGAGCTGATATAAGATGTTGAAATATTGTATAACAGGGCCTTCCCTGGTGGCGCAAGGGGTTAAGTCTCAGCACTGTGAAGTTTCTGCAGCCACTGCAGCATGAGTTCCATCCCTGGCCAGGAAGCTGACCCACATGGCGCAGCAGACCTCTCCTGTCTCACTCACTGCTCCCCTCAGCAGTGTATTTCTGTCAATCTGCTTGTTATGTTCCCCACTCTGTCTCTGGTGAATCCTCTCACCCCCTGTACCTCTGGTCTTTACTCCAATTCTTGCATGCATAAATAAAAAAATCTTTAAAAAAAAGAAAACAAATACTGTGTAACAATATGGGTGCTGTAGTAAGACTGGCTAGATATACCTCCCTCTGTGTTAGTCTCCTACTCTACAAATTAAGGATAATAATAGTACTCATTTCACAGTACTCATTGTATTAAATGAGTTAATATACATAAAGCTATTAGAAAGTACCTGGAATATAAACTACTCAATAAATGTGAGTTGCTCCAATAATGGTAATAATAACAAACAATAGAGGATGATTAGTTTGTAAACTTACATACTTGGATTTATTAAAATAGGTGCTTGGTTGAAAACAGATGAGAAAAAAAAAACATTTTTGACCTTCCTTTCCCCCTACATAGAATTTTTTTGGTACAGTTATGATAAGTAATTACATTTTAAGATTTTTCTTTTTCTGTGCAGAATGATCCCAACCTAAGGCTTATATACACAGAGTGTCTGAGAGTTTGTGGTAACTGGTTGGCAGAAACTTGCTTAGAAAATCCTACAGTTATCATGCAGACCTATCTAGAAAAGGTAAGACTTTTGAACAGCCCTTAAGATAGTTGTTTGGCATGAATACACTGTTTCATCAGGGGCAAATAAAAGTATAATTTCACCTTTCCATATTTGTTTTGGCTCTATATAATCTTTAGGTCAAAATAAGGTAGAAAAATACAACAAAAGAAGCATATTTTGAAAGTAAACCCAGATATGTCTTCTGTCTCCCCAGTAGCATCTACTCTTTCAGCAGGTTGTTTCTGACCCTTATCTTCTTTCATTTATTTACAAAAATAGCTAGCTAAGGAAGATATGAGTCAGCTTTCATTCATTTGTAGCCCCACCACCCTCAAAAATAGGACCAAGACTTTTAAGTTCTATATAATCCTTTGTTTTTGCATAGTTCCTTACAAATATTAACTGTTTTGTTTATTTCTGTACTGCCAAAGTTGTTTGAAATGTGAAGAAAATACTGTACTTCATATAACTTAGTTTATATATGTTAAACTTTAGTGTAACTGTGACTTCAATCTGAGTGATCCTTTAGATGCATTCAGTATCTGTAAATATAAATGACTTATGCTTTCTTGAAGGCAGTGGAAGTTGCTGGAAATTATGATGGAGAAAACAATGATGAGCTCAGAAATGGAAAAATGAAGGCATTTCTGTCATTAGCACGGTTCTCAGACACTCAGTACCAGAGAATCGAAAACTACATGAAATCATCAGAATTTGAAAACAAGCAAGCTCTCCTAAAAAGGGCCAAAGAGGAAGTGGGCCTTCTTAGGGAACATAAAATTCAGACCAACAGGTAACTAGGTTACATTTTTGATGTGCACCAGTTTACTGAGTGAATGTGTTAGTGTAAGAAAATGTGACTTGGTCTTATTTTTATCTGGTAGCTTAAAGCATTAAAGCTTGGCTTACGTATATTTAGATGTCTTGGCTCTAAAGTGGTTAGCCCAAACTTAGATTAATATGTAAGACTTTGACATACTTTTTTCCTGAAGAATTCATGCTCTGGTTCTGAGTTTATTGCAGAGTAGATAGATTTTAGTTTTTTGTTGTGCATTTTTGGTTGGTTGGTTTGTGTCACTGTTGAAAACAAGATAGGTGTTGAAATTAAATACAGAAGAGTTACCTATTTTGATATAATGAAAGCCTTCATTTAAGCCTGCCTGTATAACTAGAGAAGAAAGTTAACTAAATACCTTGGCTGCCTAGGATAGCTTTTCAATTTTTTATTTTCAGACAAAAGTAAATGTCTTCCTTTTATAATCCTAGAATTTTGCTTTTTCTCCTGGAATGGAAACCTGATTTTTCATTGTGTTTGTTGTATGTTTTGTATGATTTTGGAGTTGTATAAAATGTAATGGCTTTGTGTTTTTCTTTAATTATCCCACGCAAGATACACAGTAAAGGTGCAGCGAGAGCTAGAGCTGGATGAATGTGCCCTCCGAGCACTGAAAGAGGATCGTAAACGTTTCTTATGTAAAGCAGTTGAAAATTACATCAATTGCTTGTTAAGTGGAGAAGAACATGATATGTGGATATTTCGTCTTTGTTCTCTCTGGCTTGAAAATTCTGGTGTTTCTGAAGTCAATGGCATGATGAAGGCAAGTCTTCCTTTGTGGTCTGATACTCTAGCCGCCCATTGTCGTGGCATATTTTCCCCACTTGGTTCGTTGCTCTTCTCACTAGTACATGATTAGCACTGGTGATGCAGGTTTATGTGGATGTGACAGAATTTCTGTGGGTCTTTTCCTCTGTGTTTGCAATTACCACAGGAAATTACCCAGAATGTTAGATTGGGGGATTTGGAAAGCAAGTAAAAATGTGGTCACAAGCAAGGGTTTCTCCTGCTTTTTGCTTTTTCTGAGATGTTTACGGTGAATTACTTTGGTAAATGGATAACAAAGGTGGCAATATTTCATAAGATTTTATTTAAAAATCTTAAGTTTTACTGATGATACCTAATTCTAAGGTTATGTTAACAAGATATATATTGGCAGTCAGTTTGAAGTTTAAAAGTACGTGGTTGTCCTGGGTGAAAAGAATAAGATTTATAATAGAAACAACCAATCTCTGCTACTCGTGTCCATTAAGTCCTTTACTTTAGCATAAAGGGGAAAATAGTTCTTTCATTTTATTACCCTCTTGACTTCTCAGGAGGCAAGATCACAGTAGACTTTCAGATCCACATTCGTCCTCTTTGAGTTCACTGGAATATAATCAATGTCAAGTATCCTAGTTCTGACTCCACTTTAACTTAGTATCAAATATATGACTTAGAGATGAATTGATCTAGAATACCCTTAGAAAGATTGGCAAATAAAATAAGTGATAAGGACAAAAAAATTACTTGATGAAGTTTTAGTAATAAGCTCTAGATAGTGTTCTAGTAGATGAGCATTATCTTAGAATAATTTATTTGTTTAGATATGAAACTTTGAAATTGAATTGTTTCTTAACTTTTTTTTTTAACGGTAGAGAGATGGAATGAAGATTCCATCATACAAATTTTTGCCTCTGATGTACCAACTGGCTGCTAGAATGGGGACCAAGATGATGGGAGGCCTAGGATTTCATGAAGTCCTCAATAATGTAAGTAAACCTGACAATCAGAACAAAATAAGAAGAACCAAAAGGGCAGATCAGCAAACAACGACCCAGTGGTCAGAAGATTCTGTTTTTTTTAATTTGCAGATTAGCAAATCAGAGGGCAAAAATTGCTTGTTTTTGTATCATTATATACTATAGAATCTTTATATTACTGTTCCACTCTAGGAAATGGAAATACAAAAACATTTTAGTCATATGCGTGGTATTATATAAGGACAAGAATAAAGATTTCCTTTTGTTTCTTCCTACCCCACATAAGTTACTCATTTTCTCTGTCGTACTCCCTATGTACCCCTGTGACTCATGCATATACATACACTCCATCCACTGCAGTATCTAAAATAGCAACACATACCTGGACATTAAGCAAAATTTAAAAGATTATGCATTTTCTATTTGTTTGCTTAAAAGTAATAATTCCTTATTTTCTGACAGCTCATCTCTAGAATTTCAATGGATCACCCCCATCATACTTTGTTTATTATACTGGCCTTAGCAAATGCAAACAAAGATGAATTTCTGACTAAACCAGAGGCAGCAAGAAGGATTAGAATAACTAAAAATGCACCTAAACAAAGCTCTCAGCTGGATGAGGTATTTGAATTTAATATTTCTACCTTTTTGACTTTAGAGATTCATTCTTTCCACCCAAAATTCCTTTAAGTCTCAGGGATTCTAAGAATGTGTTTTGCTGACACTATTCAGTTCATAAATCCTTTTGTTATTAGGATGCTGCCTAAAATTGGTTCAGAATTTCTGCATATTTCTCAAAGTATGGGAGATACTAATTGTGTTTTACTCTCTTCTTCCCAGTAATAGCAAAGAAAAAATGGATTTGGAAAGCTACCCAAGTAATTTACTATTGCATATTTTAATTACTTCATTCATTGAGTGACTGTTTTGTTTTCTGTCTGAGGGACTTAGTCTTTCCATTGTCTGGATATGTGCATAAATCCTGTTTTTCCTCATTATTATAAATCTGAAAAGTTAAAATGTTGAATATTTCCTGATATAATGTTTTTGTCCTTTATTAATAGGATCGAACAGAGGCTGCAAACAAAATAATACAAACTATCAGAAGTAGGAGACCTCAAATGGTCAAAAGTGTAGAGGCTCTTTGTGATGCTTATATTATATTAGCAAACCTAGATGCTACTCAGTGGAAGATGCAGAGAAGTATGTATCTGAAAGAATGATTGTTGCTTTCTTGCTATGTTATTCTCTATAGCAATGCATTAATTATAAAACCTAATATGTAGATCCGTTTAAAATTACAGACAGTAGTGTAATTACAGATATGAAGGTCCCAATGATTATAATTACATATCATCCATTTCGTTACTTAATATCTTTTGGTGAAACTGTAGCTAACTGCACTAAATCAATTATATGATTTTTCTGGGTAATCATCTGGTTGCAAACACTAAAATAATTGAATAATTGAGAGTTTTAGGGTCAAGGTTTTTTTAAATGATATTGGTAAATCACTGTGCCCTAGCACTTAAAAATTTCCTCCATAAGTGTTAGAATGCCTTGCATGTAATCTATCACTCTTCCTGCTGTGTCTATTCACATACAGGCTGATGTAGTATTTGGTTATGTGACTTCACTAGAAGAATCTCTGTCCTTATACTTTAATAATTGTGTTCCTATTTCTGGTCAGAATCATATCTTAAATTCTTATTTAGGTTAAAAGTAGAACTTCTCATAGCATTTTTTCCTGTAAGTAAGCAAAGAATATTGTCATATCCTTTAGTCACATTTAATAATGACAAGAGCACATGACCTGTGTGCTACACAAACTGTATGTAATTATTCAAAGATGTTCTGCTTGGCACCTTGAATGGAATATGGTTTAATGACAGTGGCAGGTAACTGCAGATTCATATATAAGCCCTGCTAACTGTTGGTGTGCTCTGACCCTGAGCACAGTATCTCCCAGGCCCTGGGAGACATTCAGGCAGTTCATGCAGGCAGGACCAGACCCACAGGTTAGCCCCTGGCATCTGCTGGGCCTATGGCATCTGCTGAATTCCCTTGCTTTACTTTTGGTGTTTCTAAATTTGCAGTTGTCACTAAAACCTCTTTATTTTAAATACAGAAGGTATTACTATTCCAGCAGACCAGCCAATTACTAAACTTAGGAATTTAGAAGATGTTATTGTCCCTACTATGGATATTAAGGTAAGTCACCATTAACTGTTTTGATTAAACTAAATTCTTTTTTATTAAGTTCAACCATTTGAAATCACCTTTTTTTGCAATTTCATTTGTACTAAGCTATAGTTTTTCTTTATTAGATTCCCTTTGCCCAAGTTTTTACATCATTAAAGGCCTCTCCTGCTTTCTCTTCCTTGTTTTCAATTTTACAACTCCCCTCTTTCTTGGAAAGGAAGTCTAGTTATATCTAGTCTGGTTATTTTCATTAACCAGAAGAAAGAGTTAGTGTACTTCTCCCAAGAGTAATTTTTAACTTGGCAAGAAAGTTTTAAATTATTTTGTATTTTTTAAAATTCTATATTCATTAGAATGTGTTGGCTGTGATGTATTATACTTGTTTGCTGTAATATACACAATGCTACTTTCAGCTATGTGTAATGATAGTTTATTGCTAGAAGTACCATGTGGTCAAGGATATATGTAATAATAAAGATCACAGTCTAGAATATGATTATTTTAACAACATTATAAATCTCTTCTTCATATTAGCGGTTTAGTGCTTAATATCTGTAATTGTTTGATTTGAAATGTAGCTACATCATAGCTGTTAAGTAGTATCTTTCCAACTATACCAGGAAAGTTATTTGGCTGAATATTTCCTGAAAATGCTAGATTTCCTGAAAATGCTAGAAAACATCTCACCACCCTTTTCTACAATTTACCTCTGTCTCTGAGGAGACGGCTATTTCTTGTATGCCTTAACATATAGAAAGTTAAATGGTAAGATCTGAATCCTACTTTTTCAAAGGTTCATAGTGATAACTGTTCTAATTTTGTATGCACTAGTTTTATTAAGAGATATTTAGGGAGTTAAATTGTGTTCTTTTGTCATCTTTAAACTTTTCTAACGTCAAAGAAATAATAAAGCTCCAGTTCTTAACAAACAGCATACTATTCTTCATTCCTGTGTTTAATATTAAAATTGTCATTTATAATGCATTTTTCTTTAAATGCAAATAGCATTTCTACCTATTATCATACTTGTACTTTTTATTAGGTGGACCCCACAGGAGAATATGGAAACCTGGTGACTATACAGTCATTTAAAGGAGAATTTCGTTTAGCAGGAGGTTTAAATTTACCAAAAATAATTGACTGTTTAGGCTCTGATGGCAAGGAGAGGCGGCAGCTTGTCAAGGTGAGCCTTTCGCTGCGTGGTTCTTAGAGGGCCCGTGGGGAAAAGTCAAAACTGAATGATAACTGCTATTTTCTTCCTGCTTTATTTGGATCTTTGTTTTTATCCTCAATAGTTAAAAGTAGAGAAAACTTTCAGGATTGAAACACTTATTTTCTAGATGCAGAGTACCTCCCCCATTTTTCGTGTGTGTCTCTGAAAGATCATCATTATTTTAACAGTTGACTGAAGTAAAAGAACATTTGTAACATGTATACATTTGATGGAGTTGATAATCTACTTGTTTGTAAAAGAAAAAATTTTGGTAATTTTGCTTATTTTCTTGAACAGTTCAAGGTCAAGATTCTTGTTTTAAGATCCTGAGTGTGGCACTGTGCCAAGTCCTATACACATCCCCCAAAGGGTCCAAGTTCCTCCCTTACTGCTCTCTAGGTCTTGCTAAAGAGGGGTTGAGAGAACCACCATTTGGCCCAGTTTCCTGCTGTGTTCCCTCAGGTAGAGTTCCAATTAGTCTCATCACTAAAGAAGCTAGGGGACATTCTTTCCTCTAAACTGGTCTGTGGACCCAGTATTATTGCCTATTCTAAATGAAAGAACAGCATTAGGTCTTAAATATTTAAGAGACTGTTAAGAGGAGCACAGATGCTCAGATTGATTTCTGAGTGCCCTTTTGCTACCCTCAAATGAGTCTGTGTGTGATTTTCTAATATGAAAATGAACTGTGTTTGGTTATTCTGAAGGGCCGTGATGATCTGAGACAAGATGCCGTCATGCAGCAGGTTTTCCAGATGTGTAATACCTTACTGCAGAGAAACACCGAAACCAGGAAGAGGAAATTGACTATCTGCACATATAAGGTAACTCGGCTATATTGCTGCTGCTTCACCAAGGACATGTAAAGACGCCATTATTTCGAACGGTGTCAGCAAATGTTGGCTGTGAAGGACCAGAGAGTAAATACTTTTGACTTTGTGGGCCACATAGCTGTTGCATATCTTTATTTTTTCTTCACAACCCTATAAACCCGAACACCCATTCTCTGCTCACAGGCTATACAAAATCAGTTTACGGATTGCCAACTTCTGATTTCAACAATATTGCTTTTTATGTTTCTTTTAAAAAGGATTCTTTAACATTAATTATAGTTAGGTGTTTCTTATAATCAATGAGTAGTTTTCTACCACTTTTGCCCATTTTTCCTATTTTTTGATATGAAAGTGCTCTTAAGAAGAAAATACTGATTTAACAAAGACTGTAGCTTATAAAATAGACTTTTTATATTTAAACTTTGTTAGTTTTTTAGCTAGGTAATACATTTGCATGATTCAAAAATCCAAACAATTAAAAAAGGTATAAAATGAAAAGGTTCTCATCCCTGCCAACCTCATTCTCCTCTCACTCCTACTGTAAGTCCCATTTTCATTTGATTCCCATTTTATGCAAATAGGATATAGGTGAGTCAGGAGAGTTCTGCTGCGCCATATAGGTAACTCCCTGGCCAGGGATCGAACTCATTGTGCAGTAGCTGCGGATAGCTTCATAGGTTGCGTCTTAACACCTTGCACCACCAGGGAGACCCCCAACACCTCCCATTTCTTAGAGAAAAGGCAACACATTATGTGTGTGTGTGTGTGTGTATGTGTGTGTATTTTTAATCTCACCATTATGGAAATCTTATTTTTTTTTAAAGAGCTATATATGTATATATGCAGTTATTCAAGTCCTTCATATAAACTGGGCATTCAAATTGCTGGTAGTCTTGCTTTTGCAAACAGTGCTGCAGTGAGTAACTTTTTTTTTTTTTTTTGTAGTGAGTAACTTTGAACACAGACTATTTCATATCTGTGGTGAATCTGTGGGATAGATTTCCAAAAGTTGGCTTGATGAGTCAGAGGCTAAAAGCATCTAATTTGTTTTCCAGAGGTCTTTTTTTTTGCAGTGTCTGTATTCATATATTCTGTATCTCATATTTGCCCTTTATTTTTCTGTTACTGATGTAACAGGGCTTATTTATTTATTCATTTTTCATGTTTCTGTGAGGATATAGTCAAGAAGAAAATGTATGGATAACTCACTGTGTAGTAGAGAAACAATATTTAGACAGTAAAGAAGACTCTTATGATAGTCCTGTAACTTACTCTTATACCTGTAATAAGGTAATACCAACAAGTGTTTATTTTCTCTAACAAGATAGTTCTTCTTAGCCTAGCGGTATCCTAACCATCAATTAAGACAAGTTTAAAATTGTAATTGAACAACACCCCTTTTACATTAATTAGAAGTAACTTACATGAATAAATTGCTTAGGAGTAATAGTAACAAGAAACATGCAAGAGTGCATGAAAAAAATTACCAAAATATAACCAAAATAAGAGTAAATGGAAACTAGGATAAAAGAGAAATACCATGTCTTAAGTAGGGAGACATTGAAAATGTCAGCTCATTTCAAATTATGAAATCTAATCAAATTTTTTCTCATTTGAAAAATGATCTAAAAGTTTGTCTTGAAAAATGTTTTGATGGGAATGACTAAAATGTCTTTGAAAAAAATAGGCAAGAATGCACTTTAATCCATCATACTAAAACAAGTAGTAAAGCTTTAGTAATGAAGATGGTGTGTCATGGCATAAGAACAGATAAAACAGAATCAGTAGCCAAAGCAGATATCTAAGTGTATATTTATAAGAATTGAACCTATAACTATGACTCTTTAAAAGTTCCTGAATAAGCCTAAAAATGGTGCTATCTCAGGTATGAGATTGTGGGTAACATCTGCATTTTTATATATTCCAAGTTTCCAAAATATTTTTTTATTATAGAAATAGTTGTTAAATAGAAAAAAACAAAATTGTTAGAGGAATGGGAAAAATAGTTATTCTTCAAAATTCTTATTTAGACTTTTATAATTGAAAACAGAAGTTTTACATAATCACTTGGAGAGCTTATTAAAACAGATTACTGAGTCCTGTTCTTAAAATTTCTTTTTTTTTTAAAGATTTATTTATTTATGCATACAAGAGCTGGGGTACAGGCCAGAGATGCGGGAGGTGAGAGGATTCACCAGAGACAGAGCAGGGAGCAGAACAGTCAGGCAGACTGAAAATACACTGCTGAGGGGAGCAGCGGGCGAGACAGGAGAGGTCTGCTGTGCCATGTGGGCTGCTTCCTGGACGGCCGGGGATCGAACTCGTGCTGCAGAGGCTGCGGATTGCTTCACATTGCGGTGCTTAACCCCTTGTGCCACCAGGGAGGCCCCTTAAAATGTCTAATACTAGGACAGTACTGAGAATACACTTGAGAATGCTAACAAGACACCAAGTGATAACTGTGCAGCTGTGGTTCAAGGACTGATCACAGTATGAGACTCACTGGTCTAGTTCCTTTGCTGTCTGTTAATCTAGCTTAGTTGTAGGACAAAGTTGATGAGCTATAACAGTTTCTTATCTGGCAGATAATTTAGTGATTGTTGAGAAGATCTTAGAAGGGGTACAGTGTAAATGAAAGTTTTTTATGGTCTAAATGCCAGTCTTGTAGGTAGGAAAGGTGATAGCTGATGAATTGGGCCACAATGGGTTACAGAAATTATGGGCTATAGGAAACCCTCCTAATTTTATCAGAAAGCAGCTAAGATATCCAAGCAGATAAACAGTTGAGCCTCCAGAATTCACTGCTATAAAGCACAGAAGAGAGAGAAGGCCTTGGCCTAGAATATTTTGAAGGCAGAAATTACTAAACTTCCACACCTACCTTACGACTTCTTAATATCTAATTTTTGTGCAGAATTAAATTACCAACTAAGTAATTGAGTTATTTTAATGTTATACATTTAAATATTAAAGGGTCATCTCTGAACATGAGAATTCAGGTTTGCTTGGCTTTTTTGCAAAGAATTACAGCACTGGCCAGTAGATCTGTTATTTTGAGATTACTCCAAGGTGTGAAAGTTGTGTTATTTGTATTTTGAGCAGGTTGTGCTTAACTTTAAAGTTCTAGGAGGTACTAGAGGGAAGCTTGATGAGTAAGTTAGTCATCTTTAGAGTGGGAAGGGGTCTTAGGTCAATAAGGGGCACAAAAGGAGCTTCATCTCTTTCCCAGCAAATAAGAGAAAGTTGTAAATTTGATAAATTTGTTTAGTGGATAAAAAGGTGCTTATTTGTATCATTTTCTATATTATGTATGTTTATAATGTCATTATTTTCTAAACCTTCCGGTGAAATGGCTCATTTTATGTTTAGAAATGCATTTCCTCGTGCTGAAGCTATTAAGAATACTTGTACTCTCAATTTTTAAGGTATATTAAAATTGACAGCACACGCAGTATTTTTCAAAGTGAAATTCTTCAAATTGGATTGATAATGAAAGTAAAAACGTAGAGTAATTCCTCTTAAAAGGTACAGACTAGGTGTGACTTAATCACAGATGAAGCTGAGTATCATTAACTTCAGAGAGGACTGGCCATTCATGCAATTATGGAGCAGGTTCTCAGAAGTCTAAGAAGCAGACTGGAAAATCCTAAATCTAAATTTATCTTCAGTTGGTTTCCTCACCAGAATTTCGTCTCCTTTGAACAGAGGAGTAGTTCATACAACTAGAGAAAATGTTTCACATTGACTTTGAATGATTGTCAGATGCTCTATCATGCCTTTCTATAATCAAAAGGTAATTAATCTGTAATTTCAGGTGGTTCCTCTGTCTCAGCGAAGTGGCGTTCTCGAGTGGTGCACAGGAACGGTCCCTATTGGTGAATTTCTTGTTAACAATGAGGATGGTGCCCACAAAAGATACAGGCCAAACGATTTCAGTGCTTACCAATGCCAAAAGAAGATGATGGTGAGTTTCCTCTCAAAATTATGTTATTCCAAGATCATTAAAAACTTAGTAAGATGACTTAGCAAAATCAGAGTACAAAAGGCATATCAGGTGTCTAAGTAAAAGAAAGTAATCTCACAAGAATGAAAGTGTATATGAGTGAAAAAGGAAGGTTTTAAAACTAAGGTGTCAGCTGTTGTCAGATGAGAAATTTAAAATTATTCAATGTATGCCAATTTGTTTCTACTTTAGGGTAATTTAAATCTTAAAACAGATTAAGAGAATTTTTAAGACAAAGAGACCTAAGACATTTGCCACATCACACTTGCCATTTGGGTCTGACATTCATTCACCTACTCAGCAGCATTTACTGAATGCCTGTAAAGGGCAGGAACAGACACAGTGCAGGTTTTCTATGATCCAGCAGACCAGGTGAAGCAGGAGTCAGAGTCCTCAGTGGTTTTTTGCAGGTCTTTTATTGGGATTACCAGGTACACGGCAGGCACGTGTATCAGGTACACGGCCTTCTCTCGGCTTCTGCTGCTCTTGCTTCTCTCTCGGCTTCTACTGGCATCCTCATGACGCTGTCCTTAAAAGCCCAGTCTTAGCCCAGGTGAATCCCATCTACCTATGCCCACACCCTAATTCCAGGTGCCCGCCATCAGGCATGCATTCAGAATGCAAGGATCCATCATCTATCCTGATGGCGGGAGGGCAGAAAAGCCTGACATTTTTCCTTACCCTACAATGCCTTCTACCAGTACTATGCTGATACTTCATTAACATGACTAATGAACTAGTACTTAGCACATATTTTCTCCTTTTTAAGGATTTATTTATTTATACAAGCACTGGGTACGGTCAGAAGCGCGGGAGGGTGAGAGAATTCACCAGAGCCAGAGCGGGGAACAGAACAGGCAGACTGACGAAGTACACTGCTGAGGGGAGCAGCTGGCGCGGCAGGAGAGGTCTGCGCGCCATGTGGGACCTTCGCTGGCAGCCAGGATTGAACCGGCGGTGCAGAGGCTGCAGGCAGCTTTGCAGCCCAGTGCTCAACCACTGCGCCACCGGAGAGTAGCCCATTTTAAGATGAAAAAGTTCAGAGAATTTAATTTGCCCAAGGTCTATAACATTATAAACAGTAGACTAAGGGTTTGAGCCTTGTCTGTCCAACTGTAAAGTCCATTTACCTTTTGTAGGGTAAGGTAAAAAGTATCAGGCTTTTCTGCCCTCCCACCATTAGGATAGATGACGGAACCCTGTGATCCCGAATGCATGCCTGATGGCGGGCACCTGAAGTAGGGTGTGGGCATGCGTAGATAGGATTCACCTGGGCTCATACTGCACTTTCAAGGGTGGCGTCACGGGGACGCCAACAGAAGCCGAGACAGAAGCAGAGCAGCAGAGACCACCAGAGAATGCCGGAGAGCCCAGACAGAGTGAAGACTTGTTGGGGGCTGGGAGGCCTGCCAGCCTTCTGGCCCCCCAGCACCCCTGCCTGCCGTGTACCTGGTAATCCCAATAAAAGCCTGCAAAAGCCACCAAGGTCTCCAGGACACTTTCCTCCTTCACCTGTCTGCTGGATTAGAGAACCTGCACAGTGCTCATTCCTGTCCCCTACACCTTTCCTTTTATTTTGCTGTATGTTCCATGTTTTTAAAAATGTGTGGTAAAGCATATGTATGAGGAGAGCGTGTGATAGACAGCATCTAGGGTACAGAAGGTGTAGTGTAGGCATAGAAGAGGAAGTGGTTAGCACTATCTGGGATGAGGTGGAATGGAGAAAATTTAATTCAAGAAGGGTTTCATAAAGGAAATGGTGTTTGCAAGGAGTTTTGTAAATTAATTGGTTTTCCAAGCACAAGGAGCTTCTTTGCGAAAGAAAGGAGGCCTACATAGGCAGTTAATGAGAGCACAGGCGTAGCCTTTGAGGAATAAATAGATGAGGCTGGAGAGCAGTGGATCAACAAATAGAGGGTTATCTTATGAAATGCTATTAGGTTTGTACTTCATCCTGTTGGTTGTCAAATACCCTTGAGAAGGATAGTGATATCAGATTTGCATTTCAGAAAGATAATTCTGACAGCACTATGGGTTATATTTTTGAGAAAGTGAACTAAGGCATGAGACAGGAGGCTTGGACTAAGAAGGATAACAGTGGGAATGGAGAATAGGTGGTATGTATGAGAAATATTAAGGAGAGAGAATAGATTGAATTTGTTGGTTAGAAGTAGGGTTGTTAGAAAAAAAAAATCATAACTTCTTGGTTTTCTGGTTGGCGTGTCAGAGGCAATGGAGAGGCTGTCTATGTGTTGAAGAAACGCAGACCTGCCAAAGAGGAGAGGTGCATTAGTTTGAATAGGGAAGTGATCCAAATGAATGTGTTGAGTGGGGCAGGTGAAGAATCACATCAACCTGGAGCTTACTACAGATATCTGTGCTAATAAAGGTTTGGAAGTCATCAGAGGGTGGAATCTGTTAAGTACATAAATTGTGCTTCAAGAAAATGTTACATAGTGAGAAGATGTTGATGGACAGATTTGAGAATGCTGCCTTCCCATAGGGTTACTATGAAATTCCTACAGGGACTGTAATTGCTTCCCTGACTAGACTGTTAGCTTTATGTGAGTAGAGATAATGTCTCGTTTGTCTTTTCATTGCTTCTACAGCTCTTATATTTTCCATAAAGGAACTTTTATTAGTTGAATTAAACACAATATTGAGAATAATTTTTTATTTGTGATTGATTTACAGGATGTACAAAAGAGATCTTTTGAAGAGAAACATGAAATCTTCATGAATATTTGCCAAAATTTTAAACCAGTTTTCCGTTACTTCTTTATGGAAAAATTCTTGGACCCGGCTGTTTGGTTTGAGAAACGACTGGCTTACACTCGCAGTGTGGCTACTTCTTCAATTGGTAATTTTCTTACATTTTATTCATTTCAGTACTTTTCTATATTCTGAGTTGCAGGGAGGCAATGGTGGTAGTTAAACCAATTTCATCATTAGATCATTGTGTTTCTTGTTCATCCTAATTCTTAACTTCTAACTGCAGCTCTTAGCTTTTATAGAAGAGCAGATTGGTTCTTCTTTGTTTAGTAATGAAGATGGCTTATTTTCTCTTCCCTCAATATATTACTTTTTGAGATTTTCTTTGGAAATTAGTAAAACCCATGCTAACTCCATTTATTTCCTTTACCTATTGTTCTTTTGCATAGAACATCTATAATACTGTGATATTACCACCTTTTTTACACTGAGATTATATTCTGTGTTATAGAAATCATGAGTATTCAGTGTATTTAAGAATTCGATGTACAACATATATTTTGCCTTTTTTTAATTTCTAAGAGGATGGAATAGCTATATAGGACAACTAACAAAATTCTAGAGAATGAAAACTAACAGAAACATCAGAGAGATTTTAGTTTATTAGTTTCAAACTAAAAAGGACGTCCTCCATCACTTAGGCACCATATCCTAGCAAGGTAGGGCATGTATGTTTGGAAAGATTCCTGGGTAATTATGAAAACTTTCTCACAGTGAGAATCACTCCTGTGATTCAAGTAACTTCATTTATAAAGTCGACCTGGTTACCCAGCTCCCCAGCATCCTGACTTCCTAGCCAGTATGTTTTTCCTCTTATTAAAGGCATTTCAAGGCATGTCATTGTGTTAAAAAATGGAAATGCAGTTTTTCCTGGATATATACCTGAGGAATTGAATAAAATGTAGTATGCATGAAAATAGCTGGCAAGATTTGGCTTAAACACAGAATAGGTACATACATATTTCCCTTTAGTCTTAAATACTCAAAATTTAATATAGAATAGGTGTGTTTAGTTGAAACTGTGGCTAAATATGTTTTAGAAATAGATAAACTCAGTGATTTGGGGTTGTTCTTCTTTCCAGTTGGCTACATACTTGGACTTGGTGATAGACATGTGCAGAATATTTTGATTAATGAGCAGTCAGCGGAACTTGTACATATAGATTTAGGTAAGTAATAAAAGATAGATATCTTTGTTCTATCTAATAAATATTTGGTTTGGAATGTTGCTTACCTGCCAGGATATTACAAGTGTGATAGAGACACATCAAAGCAATGAATGTTGTTTTTAAGGAAAGTATAGAAACAGTGATGCTGCAGGGAGTGGCTCACTGCCTGGGATCATGGGTGACACCAGAAAAGGTGACCTTTGTGCCAGGTCTAAATAAATGTTGGATAGTTGAGATAGGAGACAGAGCAGATATGCAAGGAGGAATAATGAAGACAGAGCAAGTTATAGAAATGTTAGACATTAACTGTGATTGGAGTAAAGTTTTCATGTAGTTGAGAAGTTTGTAGATAATTTTGTTATATTAAACTGTCAAAAGCCAGGTTAAGAGTTTCAACTTTAATCTCTTAAAAATTCAGAACTAACTGAAGTTTTGATAGCTGGGATGATCTGTATAGTTTTCTGTATGTAGCTCTTTGGTTATCTGTTGCAGTATAACAAGCCATCCCAAATGTAATAGCTTAAAACCATTATAATTATCTCATGGCCTGTGAGTTTGACTGAGTTCAGCTGGGAAATTCTCAAGTAGGATCCTTCATGCAGTTACAGTCAGCAGTGGAGTCTGGAGTCATCTGAAAACTCAGCTGGAGTTTCCAACTTTTAAAATACATGTTTGTTGTTTCACTGTTCCTAAATGTGATCTGTCTAGCAGTCATCTGGACTTTTTACATAGCATGTCAGGACTCCAAGAGGAAGGAAGTAGAAATTAAAGACAAGGCCTAAAACTGGCCAGTATCACTCACACACTATTCTCTTAGCCAAAGTTGTGTCATAGGACCCACTCAGATTCTCCCATCACTCTCTGGGACTCTAATAACAGTATGTTGGACAGTGCAACTGTATCATCTATGCCTCTTACCTCCTGTATTTTTTCTAGTCTCTTTTTAACTTCCCCCACCTCTCCCTGTGGTATCCACATGGGAAGCCTCACAAGCTGTACCAAGATGCCCCCTTTCTCCTTGGATGTCAGTGGAGGCCAAAGGGGAACCTTGTCTTCCATCACCACTGGGCAGTAGCAAGGTGGTGACTTCCAAAGTCAGCAAGAAAAGAAATTAATTAAAATCCAGAGTCTAATAACATAATATCCAAGAGGGTCAGATCTGAATTGAAAGTCATTTGTCAACCAGGAAAATCTCAAATTGAATGAAATATGGTAATAAATGTCAACATTGAAAGGAGAGAGATATTAGAATTACCTGATGAAGATTTTAAAGCAACCATCATAAAAATGCTTCAAGGCATTCTTGAAATAAATGAAAATATGGTATGTCTCAGCATAGAAATAGGAATGTAAAAGAGAACCAAGTAAAAATTTTGGAACAGAAAAATATAGTAATTAAAATTTGAAAACTCAATGGGTAGGCTTAACAGCAGAATGAGGAGATACAAGAGTCAGTGAACATTAAGACAGAAGAGTAGAACCTTTTCAAACTGAAAACAGTTAAAAATACATGAGAAAATCTTCAGCAGCTAGGGCTAGACAGTTTTCAGTCTTGACACCAAAAGCATAGTCCATAGAACTCTCAAAATTCAATAGTACAAAAGCAAAAACAATCCAGCTATTAATGGGCAAAAGTCATGAACAGACATTTCTACCTATTACTATTTATTTTTGAAAACCATTCCTTAATCTAGAATTCTGTAATAATGCCAACATTTAGTTAAATTTCTTGAATTTGTAGTGGATTTCTTAGACAATGGTGGAGATAATGAAGGCAGGCAGAAGAGAAACAGAATAAACACCTATGTGTTTCAGTACTGCTAGACAAGAGGTGACAAATGAATTTTGCCTCTGCAAGTACCGCTTGGGAGGAAAGTAAATTAGCTATGAAACCTAATCTTCCTGTATTTTTTACTTTAGGAGTTGCTTTTGAACAGGGTAAAATCCTTCCTACTCCTGAGACAGTCCCTTTTAGACTCACCAGAGATATTGTGGATGGGATGGGTATTACTGGTGTTGAAGGTGTTTTCAGAAGGTGAGTGATAGATATACGGTAAGGTAGGACAGATGATGTGGTGTCAAAATTATTTGGACTATGGATTTTTCTAGATTACAGAGTTCATTACTAGAATTATATCCCAGTGCTTTATGAATACTATAAAAAGACCCTGGGTATAAAGGGTATTAAGGAAGGGTATTTCCTTTTCTCAGGCCACACAGGACCTAACCAATATAACATACACACAGTTACTCTAACCTACTCTGGAACAGCCCACTTCAGTTTACTGAATCAAGCTCCTGTTGGGTTCTTATTGTTGAGGATATAAACTATCCTAAAGGAGGTTATGATCTAGTACAAATGTCAGCAAAAGGAACTCGCAGTTGCCTGTTGTTTCCCCAGCACTTTTTTTTTTTTTTTTAATATTATTTATATAAGCACTGGGTACAGTCAGAAGCGCCGGAGGGTGAGAGAATTCACCAGAGCCAGAGCAGGGAGCACAGCAGGCAGAAGGACCGAAGCTCATTGCTGAGGGGAGCAGCGGGTGGCAGGAGAGGTCTGCGGGCCATGTGGGACCCTCCTCCGGTGGCTGGGGAGCAGCTGGGGATCGAACTGGTGCTGCAGAGGATGCTGGCAGCTTTGCAACCCAGTGCTCAACCGCTGCACCACCAGGGAGGCCCTCCCCAGCACTTTTAATGAAGCACATTCTAATGAAAGTAAACTTATAATTGCACTATCATCAAAACTAAAAGAGTTTTTTATAATAGTATTGTGGTTATTTTTATAAATAAGATATTCACACATATATTTTGCATTTTAGAAGTATCTACTGAAAACCCGCTCTGCCAAGTACTATGCTCGTTGAAATGTTAATAAGAGAATTACTAATGAATAGTCTCAGCACATTACATATGAATATATGTAGGTAAAGACAGGGTGAAAATGTTGATGCACAACAAATTCATATTTATAATGTGTTTGATTGTAGATGCTGTGAGAAAACCATGGAAGTTATGAGAAACTCTCAGGAAACTTTGTTAACCATTGTAGAGGTAAAATATAAAGAAACCTTTTATTTCTCTAGCTGATATAGATTTTTTTGTTACACAGTCACCAATTTGAGGATCTGTGTTTCATTTTAATGTGACAATTCTGGGCAGCAGGAGCGAGGATATTGCACACGTCAGTGATTATTGCTTTAGAAGAGCCTTCGGTCCCCTCAAGTTTCTTGAAATGTTACAGAATTATATATTAGTTTTCAATACATAAATCAATACTTTCACACCTTAGATACCTGACATGGTATGTTTTCAGAATGGTTTCCAATTGGGATTTTAAGAAAAAACAGTAAATTATAGCTCCTTTTCCCCTGCCCAGGTTCAGAAGCTTATAGTCAGACACATGGAGATCAAAGTATCAGCAGGCAGGAACATGGCAGGCTGACTGCTGGTTCACATGCAATACCTCTCTGCTGTTTTAAATTTAAGACAGCCTACTAAGTGAGGGCTTGGGCCAGCAGAGCAAACACTTGTAATCACACCACTGCCTCATGTTGATCAGGGCAGAAAGGAAAAGAAGTCACATTTCTAGTGGTTGTGATGTTAGCTTTACTCAAGTGAGAATTGAGGAAGAAGGACTGTTCCTAAGCACATTTTATGAAGCCAACATAGTTCTTTTCTCAAAAACCAATAATGACAAAAAGAGAAAACTGCAGACCATATTCTTAATAAACATAGATATAAGAATCCATAACAAACAGCAAACTGAATCCAACAATTAAAGGGATTCATACATCATGACCAAATGGGCTTTTTTCCTGGGATGCAAAGGTAGTTCAACATATGCAAATCAATCAGTGTATTTCACCATATCAACAAAAGGAAAGACAAAAATCATATCATATTAATAGATCCAAGGAAGGCATTTGAAAATATTAAGCATCCATTTATGATAAAACTCTTAGTAAATGGGAATGGAAGGAACACACCTCAATATAACATATGACAAGCCCACAGCTACCACCATATTCAGTGGTGAAAAATTGAAAACTTTCCCTTTAAGGTTAGGTACCAGTATCATCAAAAAATATTAAATACTTAGGAATAAACCCAACAAAGGTGGTGAAAGATCTATTCAATGAAAACTATAGGGAATTGCTAAAAGAAATAGAAGATGACTCAGAGAGATGAAAAGATACTCCATGCTCACAGATTGGAAGGTTAACATAGTTAAAATGTCTGTGTTATCCAAAGCAATATAGATTCAGTGCAATCTCTATTAAAATTTTAATGGAATTCTTCAAAGAAACAGAGCAAATATTATGAAATTTCATATGGAACCACAAAAGACCCTAAATAATTAAAGCTATGTTGGCAAAAAAAAAGAGGAATGGAAGTATCACATTCCCAGATTTCAAACTATACTCAAGGCTTTGGTAATCAAAACAGCATGGTAGTAGAATAAAATAGACACACTGAATAATATGTCTTTTTTAGAATTTAGAGCCCAGAAATAAACAACATTTATATGAATTTACAAACAGAGGAGCCAGTAAGAGAAAGGAAAATCTCTTCAACAAATGGTGTTGGGAAAACTGGACAGCTCTAAGCAAAAAAAAAGAAACTAGACCACTTCTCACACTATACACAAAATGGATTTAAAAACTTGGATGTGAGACCAGAAACCAGAAAATAATAGAAGAAAACATAGGCAAAACATGCTATAACATTGTCTTCAGTGATATCTTTGGGGGCTTGACTTCAATGGCAAGGAATATAAAAGCTGAATAGTTTCGAATATCAAAAGAAACTCGTTAAGATGAAAAGAAATCCTGCGGAAGACCTAAAAAGAACTCATATAATTCAACAATAAGAAAACAAAAGACCCAATCAAAAAAATGGGCAGAAATGCTAAATAGACACTTCTCCAAAGAAGAAAAACAGATGGATAACAGACATATGAAAAAATATTCAATACCATATTTATCATGAGGCAAAAGCAAACCAAAACCATATGAGATAACCATCTCACTCCTGTGAGAATGGTCCATATCCAGACAAACGAATGTTGAGGGTGTGAATAAAAAGGAGCCCTTGTACAGTGTCGGTGGGAATACAGACTGGTCCATCCCCTATGGAAAACAATAGAAGGCACCAGAATAATAAAAATAGACGTACTATATGATTCAGCAGTTCCACACCTTTGTATTTATCCAAGAAAATGCAAAAACACTAATGTGAAGGGATGTGTGTACTCGTATGTTCATTTCAGCACTATTCACAATAGCCGTTAGGAAAACAACCTAAGTGCTCAAGTACAGATGAGTTGATTAAGAAGATGTGCATATACACAATGGAATACTACTCAGCTATAAGAGATGAAATCTTGTCACTTGCAACAATGTGGATGGAACTGGAAAGGGTTAAGAGAAATAAGAAGGAAAAAGACAAACAACAGATGATTTCACTTGTATGTAGAATACAGAGACACTAAACAAAATAAATCCTATAAATCTGACTAATTTGAAGCTATCAGAAGTGGAGCAAACAGAGGAGGGGATCTAAAGGTCTATTGTGGAGGATTCTGGGTGTTTTGGTGATGGGTTTGGTGTTGTAACATACATCTGAAAAGGTGTGATCCTGTACCCTCAAATCATATACAATGTTGTAAACCACATTATGTCAATACAAATTAAGGAGTAAAAATAATAAAATTATCCTTCTTTACAATTAAGAGTCCAAACTTAGCAAATTAACTTAAGAGCCAAAGAAGTTTAACATATTACCCAGTATTTCATGCTGCTCATTCTCAGAATCATTTTTTATACCTGGGTAGATTAGGGAGTCCTTAGGAGGTGTATCCTGAGTCAACACTCAGTAGAAAATGTTAGTTCCTTCAGGGCATCAGAAGATTTACTATTTGAATGCCTCTCGAACCTCATTCTTTCCCTAGAGTTCAGTCTTCACTTACAACTAAAATCTGCATGGCAAGCATTTACTAAGTCCTCTTAAAAAAAAAAAAAAATCTATAAACACCAGCTGTTCTGGACTGTCAGGGTCAAGATCCCTCATGACCTCACTAAGATTTAAGACCTAAAACCACTTCCTCTGGATGTGCAAGTTATTTTGGTACTCAAATTCTACTCACATATATATTCAATATCACAGATAGGGCTCTAGACCTTGGTTTTTGAGGCGTTTTCAGTACACGAGAGTCTTTCTCCTCACCCAAACTGGTAACAGAGAAAAAAGAAGGAATCTTAGAAACAGTATAGACATCACTATGGCAGGTTATGAACATGGCTTAGGAATGAGGTCCAAATAGGCTATTGCTAATGTTTTCAACTCCCATAACCTAATCTATACTTTGGCACAGCCCAGCTGTTGGAAAACTTGACCTGCAAAGCCTGCAAATGATTTTACCTGTCTGCACTCTTCAAGAGGAGATGAAAGAAGTGATTAGTGTGTATTTCCTTTTAATAGAATAGTTTCACCCAGTCAGGACACATAGGTCAGGAGATGTCACCCCCAACCATGGAGGAAGAATGAATTCAGAATGGATAAGAAGCCCAGAATCCTGTGCTAATATAGTTCCCTCCACAAGGAGACATGCGTTGTTTTTTTTTTTTTTTTTTTTTACCATGGAATGGACCTCTAGTTTTTTTTTTTTTTTTTTTAAGGAGAAAACAATTTTATTTTTCCTTTTTGTCCTGGTCATCTCACTTTTTTTTTTTGAATTTATTTTTTTTTTTTTTTTTTTTTTTTTTTTTTTTTTTTATTTTTATATTCCCCCATACAATTGCAAACGCCCCATTCTGACCCCAATCCTTCCCCTCCCGCCCCCCACCCCCCAAAAAGTGTCTCTGGTTCATAGTTTTTGTTGATTTTGATTTTCACTTTCTTATATTCATTTTCCTGGTCCCTTATTTAAGTTTTCTAGATTCCTGCTATGAGTGAGACCATCCGGTATTTTTCTTTTTCTTTTTGGCTTATTTCGCTGAGCATGATCCCTTCCAGCGCCATCCATGTTGCTGCAAATTGCATGTGTTTATCTTTTTTGAATGCTGAGTAATATTCCATGGTATATATGTACCACATCTTCTTGATCCAGTCATCTATTTTTGGGCATTTGGGTTGTTTCCAAAGCTTAGCTATTGTAAACAGTGCTGCTATAAACATAGGAGTGCAGGTGCTCTTTGGAATTGATGTTTCTGTGTCCTTTGGGTAAATACCTAGGAGTGGAATTGCTGGATCATATGGAAGCTCTATGTTTAGTAGGTCCAGAAATCTCCACACAGCTCTGGACCTCTAGTTTTTATAATACTGATCTACTATTTCTAAATACATCATCACACTGTTCTTCTGATACAAGTTCTCTCTATTTAGGTCCTCCTGTATGATCCTCTCTTTGATTGGACCATGAATCCTTTGAAAGCTTTATATTTACAGCAGAGGCCAGAAGATGAAACTGAGCTCCACTCGACCCCCAGTGCAGATGACCCAGAATGCAAAGGCAATCTCAGGTGAGCACTGGTATTTTAGGAAGGACCTATTGTCGCTGCTCACATTTTTTATTCTCATGCCCTTTGAAACTGTCCCACCTTTTTAAAACTTGTGTTTCTGTCATTAGTGGTATCGACCAGAGTTTCAACAAAGTGGCTGAACGTGTCTTGATGAGACTGCAAGAGAAACTGAAGGGAGTGGAGGAAGGAACTGTGCTCAGTGTGGGTGGACAGGTGAATTTGCTCATACAACAGGCCATGGACCCCAAAAATCTCAGCCGACTCTTCCCAGGATGGAAGGCTTGGGTGTGAGCTTCAGCATATGAATTACCCTTGAATTCAACATTTAGAAATTCTATTTTGGCTTTCATCTTTAACTCACCCATAGGCTTGGAAATGTATTACTATATAATTACTGGTTGTATTTTTAAAAAATGTTTAATACTTGCTTTGATAGTCTCAAAAATAGCTCCTCTCTCACATTTCAAAAATACTGTCTTTAATGCTCTATGTCTAGGCTAAATATTTTTTTCTCCTCAAGTCTACACTTGTACCATTTTCAGTTGAACCACTGACTTGATGCATTAGTTGGAAATGGAAGCGACAGGAGTGCAGGACACCACTGGCAGCCTTTCCTTCAGGGTGAACAAATAAATATACCATTAGTCTTGAGGTGGCTTTTTTAACTTAAACTTACTTGCCACATCATAAAGTGATAAATTATTTGATATTAACATGTAAAAGGGAGAAATGAGCTTCAAAAATTATTATATAGATACGTTATCTGTAGTAAAGCTACATTAAAAAATAAGTGTTAAAAACAAAGTAGTATTTTAGAAATGTAATTTTCAATAACAAGATCATCCAATGTTATTGAATAATAAAGTTGTTACAGAGAACAAATTTCAAAGACACAGTATGGTTATAATTTTTTAAATGTATATTGAAATTACTCGTTTCTTTTAAGCCCTTCCGTATTTTCATTTATGTTGTTTTTCTGTGATGCCCTTAGTTCATTAATATTCTCATCAATTTTATGATCTATTTATTGAGTTTCTCCTTTCAAAAACTTTTCATGTCTAGCTATGTTTCACTCTCCAAATCTGCCTGTTATATATGTTTTATGGTGTCTAATTCTTTAACTTTTCGTTTCACGTCTAAACATTTTAAACATCCCTGTAGTCTCTTTAATGGTTCTATTAAATCAAGTTCTGTTTATCTATGTATTCTGTCACTGTGAAAAGTGAGTTTATTTCAAGAGGAATCTTGAGTACCAGGATTAATAATAATTCCTCCCAAATAAGTTTTGGTTCCGGTGTTGTCAAAGTCCCGGGCCTATCAACTGACAGAAGACTATTCTCATTTTAATGTTTTGGCATTAGGATTTCCAAACCTCAAGAATAGTATAAATTACCGCAACCAACTCCTAGGCCAAGAGAGACATACTTCTTCATTATTTCTTATGCTAGTGGGCAGCATGTTGGAGTGACTCCCCTTTCCTGAAGGTATGAGGTTCCATGTAACATCCCCCACCTCTTTGTGGTAAGTGTGAGGAGAGGCACTTTAAATTCCTATCCTCTGCCTTTTGCAAGTTCAAAGTTTCATGAGTCCCCTACTAGTGGTTAAAGCTGAAACTTAGGTTAATAAGATTGGCACATTCTGTCAGGACAGCTAGAATACCAGCTCATATTTGCCCCTTTGATTTTCAGTTCTTTTTTGACCCTTACTTTCTTTTAAGTTCTGTGAATTTAAAGATCGTTTCTTGCATCTCACCTAGCATTTGTGTTGTGTTGGAGGGGAAGAGTTTGTTACAGAGTTTGATAGGTAGCAGGGAAGCAATGCTTTTCTATCCTATTGGTAAATATATTTCCCACTTTTTTCTTATGAAGAAAATTGTGAAGGGTTTTTTGTTTTTCTTCTTACAGCTGGTGGCAAACACTCACTCAGATCTAATTTCCCCACTTATGTCTCCCTCAAAAGATAATCTCCAGGGCCTCCCTGGTGGCGCAGCGGTTGAGTGTTAGGTTGTGAAGCTGCCTGCAGCCTCTGCAGTGCCAGTTCGATCCCCGGCTGCTCCCTGGCCACCAGAGGAGGGTCCCACATGGCGTGCAGACCTCTCCTGCCGCCCGCTGCTCCCCTCAGCAGTGTACTTCAGTCTGCCTGCTCTGCTCCCCGCTCTGGCTCTGGTGAATTCTCTCACCCTCCTGCGCTTCGGACTGTACCCAGTACTTGTATGAATAAATAAATAAATCTTTAAAAAAAAAAAAAAGAAAAAGAAAAAGATAATCTCCAGAACTTTTTGGACTGTAAATTTCTTGGTTTGGTTTTTGGAGAATTGTTCTTAAAATTAATTTGCATTTCAAATGCAAATTTTATATATCACTTAGCTGCCTAAATGAAATGTTTATTATCTGTTGCTAGTTTTATTACTTTATTGAGTTAAAAGACTGTAATAAACTTAGACTGTCTTTAAGTAAAGCCTTGAAATCTTCATAGATGGAGTAAGAAGTAAAACAATAGTATAAGTGAGTGAATTTGTAAGTAATTATTTTTGGCTTGTATATCCAAAGAGTATTGAATATTATTACTAATATATTCTTAACCTTGAATGGTATACCATAAGGCTGCTTTCCTATTCAAATATTCTTACTAATGGCTTTGTAAAATTTAACAAATTTGCAGATGACAAACCTAGGAAGAAGAGCTAATTCACAGGTAAAATTGTCTAGAACACTATCTAGAAATGAATAGGATAGACATTTGTCAGAATTGGTTAGATTTTTAAAACATCAATCATAGAATATTTGTGTATTCTGAAGACCACAAACCTATATAACATCTCTAATCTTTGCAAGATTAGTAATGTTATCCCAGTTTAAAATGGAGAAAGTGATGTTTACAAAATAAGTTAATTTTTCCAAGGCCACAATATAGTAAGTTGAAAGTACAACTTGAATCTGGATCATCTCTAACTTGAAAAAAATTTAAAGTAAAAGAACGTAGGGTTCATGAGTCTGCTCACAAGGTGAAGTGGAAACTAAGAAGCTACTAGAAAAACTACTAAATGAACTATTGAGCAGTTATGTACAGATTAAAGGAGATAATAGTTCTTCCATCATTCTCTGTGTTGGTCATACCATTTCAAAGTATCTCTGATCAGGGGGTACATAAATGAGTAGTTATTAAAGTACATGCACTTAGAAATGCTAGACTTAGACACATGGTTTAAAGCAAGTAAAAGCAAAGAGGAACAATGGACTTCTTAAGGATTAAAGTAGGCTGGTCTTTTAAATTACAAAGTCAATATATTGGCTTGAATTAAGAGATATGTGCCATTTCAGGTATTTTAATTATACCATAATGAAATTAGATGTTTTATGTAGATTTACTTCAATACTATTGAATGTATTTCTTTATTATACTGTTATCAGAGTCCTGTTACACTATAACTATTTTTGAATAAATCATTTTAAGAGAAAATGTGTGCTAAAATGTATTTGTTTAGTTCAAATATTTGAGTGTTTTGTGTGCAAGACATGGTGCTAGTTCCTACTAAGGAGATACCAGTGAACAAAGCAAGCATAGTTGGCTATTACAGAACTCACAGTCTAGACCAGATAGACAACTTGTAAAGTGGTGTAGCTAGGAAGCCTGTGTCAACATAACCAGCTGTGTACGCTGCAACTCAGTCTAAATAGGCTTGGTCCAAATATGCCACAGTTTTTCTTAATTACCCCATGACAAAAGGACAAAGCAGAGTTTGGGACTCAAGTGCTCTATTTGACATGCCTAAAGTCTAAGAGGTTTCACTGGAATGTGACCAAAAAAATCCTGTATAGGGCCTCCCCAGTGGCGCAGTGGTTGAGCGCTGGGTTGCGAAGCTGCCCGCAGCCTCCACGGCGCCGTTTCTATCCCCGGCTGCTCCCTGGCCACCGGAGGAGGGTCCCACATGGCGCGCAGACCTCTCCTGCCTCCCGCTGCTCCCCTCAGCAGTGTGCTTCGGTCCTTCTGCCTGCTCTGCTCCCTGCTCTGGCTCTGGTGAATTCTCTCACCCTCCCGCGCTTCTGACTGTACCCAGTGCATGTATAAACAAAAACAAGCAAACAAATAAAAAAAAAAAAAGCCTCTTTAAAAAAAAAAATCCTGTATAAATAAGTATTCACATAATTATCATTTTCTAAATAAATGCAGCTGTCATCAGAGTTTTAGGATCTTTGGTGTAGTTTCTGAAAAAGTTGAGTTTTATATAAGTACAATATAGTCGAAGTTTTCATACAGATTAGATTCAGAATTTGGTAAGGTAAAAATCTCATAATGGAAATTATTACCTCAAAAATCCCTTACTTTAACCAGGAAGTACAGCATGCTTGATTTTTTAATGTATAGCACAGTGTAAAAGTATACTTACTATAACAATGTACAGTGTATGAGTCTAAAGCAGATGTCCTTAAGCAAGGATGATTTTGCTTCACTATCCCCAGAGCAGATATTGGGCAATATCTCAAGGCATTTTTTGTTGTTATTGTCACTGACAACGGTGAGAACAAAATACTGGCATGCACTGTTAAATGTTAAACTCAGTTTCCAAAGTAAGACAGGAACACGTAGGTAAGGCATGGTTATTGTGGGTTCGTATGAGCTGATCATTTATGGGCAACTGTGACCTATCTGCTATCTGCAAAGCACAACAGAGCATTTCTGCTTGACTGCCTATAGCCCGTATCACGAGGCAGGCCCGGGGACGCCAGACCACCATTGACCTGATTACGCGACTATCTCCATGGTGGTCTCAGGATAACTCTGCCTGTGATAACATCATACTTTGCTGACACAAATGTCCCTTGATGTATGGTCACAATGTTCCCTTCTCTGTTCCTTATAAACCTTTTGTCCTCCCTGCTCCCAGGACCTTATTCTTAACACCATCATCACCTGATCAGCTTTTACTAACCTGTATGCTTTCGTTAAATGGCACACGAACTTCTACTCAAGTAGCAGAGTCTTACCTTGCAAACCTGCTCCATGACTGTTGTGTGTTCCTGCAGCAAAGTGGCAACAAAGTTCCCATTGCAACAGGTTGCGATTTTGCTGGTGGCTCTTGCCATGTTACAAGGTGTGTGTCTGCAGCTGGTCTTCCATTAATGGCAAGTTGCATTTTTTTAATTTAAAAATGTAAAATACATATAAAATTTAGTCTTAACTATTTTTACGTGTACAGTTCAATAGTATTAGGTATTTTCATACTGTTGTGCAAGCAAATCACCAGCCCTCTTCATTTTGCAAACTTGAAAGTCTATACCCACTCAACAGCCCCCTTATCCCCTCTACCCAATCCCTGGCAACCACCATTCTCTTTTTCTCTCTTTAGCATTTACTCTAGATACCGCACATAAGTGGAAGAGTTTTTTTTTTTTTTTTTTCAATAGTAGCTATCCTAATGGGTATGGATGAGTCATTTTTGTAAGTAAAAACATCGTACACTTTATACAAATCCTACAAGTGACCGATACTGCAGAAAAAATTTTCAGAAGGAAAATATGTCTTTTAATTGAAAATTTCAAAATCCGATTGTGTGTAGTGCCATTAACCTGGCTAGCAGATCTTAATATTAGGTTACTGGAAAATACCCCAAAATGTTCCCTGGTATTTTCTAGTGTTTGAACATTTGCTATAGAATTAGAATTGTAAACTAAACTTATTTCTTAACCAATTTTTAAAGATAGCTAATTATAAGAGAATTATTTTATGAGGGACAAATGAAGTCAGTTGGTTGCAGATTTTTTTTGAATCACTGCAGTGTAAAGCAACAAAGACAACAAAGACTTCATAGGCTTTGCAAATGCATTCAAAGAGAACAAAAAATATTGAAAATAATTCTGATGAGTCACACCTTCTAAGGAAGAAATGCTACACAAACTTTTCTCAATATTAGATGAGTCCATTTTATGAGGCCAGTATTACCCTTACATCAAAATAAAAAAAAAAAAGAAAACTGAATGCCAATATCTCTCATGACCATAGAGATAAAAGTCTTTATGAATATTAGCAAATTAATTCCATTGGTATAAAGAAGAGATAATATATCAGACCAGATGGCATTATTCCAGTAATACCAGATAGATTTAATATTTGGAAATCAATCAATGCTAATAAATTAACAAACATCTTATGATCATGTCAATCGATGCAGAAAGACCATGTGACAAATTCAATACTCACTCATTATAAAACTCATCAAACTAGGAATACAGGGAACAGCTTCAATTTGATAAAGCATGTATATGAAAAACCTAGAGCTCACATTGTATTTAATGGTGAGTGATTTCCCCCTAAGATCAGGATGCAAGGATGCCACCCTTAGCAGTTCTATTAAACATTGTATTAAAGTTTCTAGCAATTGCAATAAATAGAAATAAAGAGTCTTGAGTTTGAAAAGGAAGAAGTACAGTTATCTACATTTGCAGATGGCATGATCGTCTATGTAGAAAATCCTAATAATTCTCTATTAAAAAAAAAAGTGCAGTACTAACAAGTGAGTTTAATAAGCTTACATGATAAAGGTCAATTTATCAGCCAGCACAGTATTTCTATATACCAATGTTAAAATGTTAAGACAAGGCCTAGTATGGAGATGCTTATACTAAGCCCCAAATCAGCAAACTGTAATATAATATTCTATACTCTGCTCTCCTGGAAAAGAAAGTCCTAGGCCAACCAATCAGTGCTTGCCTGCTCAGCACAAGTTACCTACTAAGCTCCAAAACTTCTCTTTGCTCCATATACTAGACCATGCTTTAACGAATCAGCAAATACCCAGTATAAATTCATGTTCCAGTGTACTTTGGTCTGTGAAACCCTTTTGTACAGTTTTTGGAAGCTCCTTACTAATTTTTAGACAGGATGCGTTTTGATTCATGAAATGTTAAATAAAAGTCAACTAGATCATGAAATTAAGTTTCCAAATTTTTGGTCACCAGCAATGAACAGTTTGGAGTTGAAATTAAACAACTGAATCAAAAAACATGAAATAGTTGGCATAATTTTGATGAAATGTGTGCAGTAAGTATACACTGAAATATATAAAACATACATGAGAAACCAAGGACCTACATATACAGAGAGATGTACAATGTTCATGGTTTGGGAGAATCAATATTGTTTTGCTATATAGGATTAATGTACTCTCAATCAAAATCCCTGAATGCTTCTTCCCACCCCATCATTGACAAACATAAAATTTGTATGAAATGCAAAAGAACTAAAATAGCATTTCTCTAAAGATACAAAGATCATTGATGCATAGTAAGGAACCCAGAAATAAACCCACATATGACTAATTGATTTTCAACAAAAGTAAAAGGAAAAAGATTGTCTTTCCAAAAAGTGGTGCATATCTATATGCAAGAAAACAAATCTCAAAATTTCCCATGATATATAACTCTTACCCTGTAACTAAATGTGAAAGTAAAAATTATGAAATTGGTATAAAACTCCTTTACAATTTTGATTTAAGCAAAGATTTCCTAGATTAAACACTAAAAGCATGAACCATGAAAGAAAAATGGAAATGAAGGCCAGTCCACCTATTGGGCACCTAGTGCTTATGCAATCAATCCATGAACAAAACAGTCACAAGAACATGGGTAGAAACCACAGGTTCAAAAATTATGGGGCCCCTCTTACAAAGACTAATCTAGCTACTTCCAACTGCTATTAGCCCTAGAGAATGACCCAGACCTAGATATGGTGCCCATCACTTGAGTAGAATAGTCAATCATTTGTTGGTAAAATAGTGGTTACATCAGGCCCAGTCTGCCTCTCCTTGAGCATGAGCTTGCCTTACTGATGCATTTCTAAGTGAAGAAAATATAGGAGAAATGATGTGTGTGACTTTTGAGACTGGAATGTAAGGTAGTACAGCTTCCTCTGCATTCCCTGTCTCTTACAGTGCTCACTTAGTCATGTTATGAGGACACTTAAGCAGTCCCATGGAGAGATCCAAGTATCAAGGAACTGGGACTTCCTGCCAATAACCCTCTTAAGTGGCAGCAGATCCTCTAACCCCAGTCAAGCCTTCAAATAATTGCAGCAATGGCCAAAATCCTTTTTGAAACGTCACAAGAGATCTCAAGCCAGAACTAGCCAGTTAAATCACTCTCAGATTCTTAACCTTCAGAAACTATATGAGGCAATAAATGTTGTTTTAGGCTGCAAAGTTTGGGGATAATTTATTATGCAGTGATAGATAACTAATTCACAACTGATTGGTAAGAGAAGGAACAAGAATGCAAGAGATCTATTAGGTTCAAAGTAGTGAAGACAAATTGTAGACCCTGAAAAAACAGATTAGGGAAAGAATCCAGAAAGAAAAATGAAAAAAGGAAGAGCAGCTATCTTTTCTAAGTGAAAGCTATTGAAGAGAAAAATGCAAAAAGGAAAGATAAAGAGTATCATAAAAGGAAGGCAAG